CCTCAGCTTCTTGTAGCTTCGCATCAGCAGGGATATTGTCAAAGAGAGAGTTGACGGCAGCCAAATCAATGTCTTCAGGTGTGTAGAGATCTTGATAGAAAGTACGAGCTTCTTGGAGAATGTCGCCCATGTCTGTCAGCTTCTCTCCAGTGCCAGCCTTTTTCAAGGACTGGATGGTTTGTTGCGCCTCACGATCCTTGATCACATTGAAAAAGTATTTGTTGTTTTGCTCTCCCATTTCCAGCCAACGAGTAGCCGAACGCAGCATAGCTTGACGAGTGTCATCTTGAATCCGTTGCTCAATCAGTTGCTCCAGTCTTTTGATCCTTGCCGACTCCTCCGGGGTCCCAAGTAGCTGTTCTCGTTCACGTTGGAGGTGGGAGACTCGAGCTTTGAAGCGAGCCTTCTGGCCTTTGGTGAACTGTTTGGCACAGTACTTGATGATCGACTTGAGAGATTCCCACTTCTCCTGAGCAGAGACACCCATATCAGCCACATCTGTCGTATAATAGTCAGACGCCAAAAACATATCCACGGTTTTATCCAAAAGGGCTTGGAATTCACGGTTCTCAAGCAAGTACGGATTCAAACGCCAGCTGCCAGGACCCAACTGGACGCCAGAGGTGACCAGATCGATTGTGAGGAGGCTGTGATCGGTCCACTCAGGTGGAATGTGGTGAGTCTGAGTGTTGATGATACGAGTCGCCATAGGAGGAGGAGCAAAGACATAGTCAATGGTGGTGCCAGCTTTAGGGAGAGTCATTGTGCCTTTTGGAAAACAGTTGAAAAAATGAGTGTTCAGCCATTCAACAAAAGGTTGGACTCTAGGGAGACGAGCTTCGACCGCATCATGTAAATGGATATTGAAATCCCCAAGCAAGATCCACTGGGAGTCAAGCATATCAGACCAGAAGGGCATGGACATCAGCTCCTCCAGGAAAGCATAGCGATGGGCTCTGTGCACGGGCATGTACACATTAGCTATCTGGCATATGGTGTGATTAGCGTCCTTAATAGTGGCGGTGATGCAGCGTTCGTCACGAGAGATGGTGGCATCCGCGAGCTCCAAGCCTTGCTTCAGACACACTATTGCACAATGCTTCGAGACGACAAAGGAAGACCGAGGAAACATAAAAGAGAAAGCACGCACATTATCATCAGTGAGGTGGGCCTGCTGACGGTAATGAGAGGCCTCCTGCAGACAGAGAATATCTAGCTGGAGGGTTTTGGAGCGCAGAAAGGAAGTGAATTCCTTCTGTATAGATTTTGAGAAACCCTCAAAGATGCTCCGGGCATTAAGGGTACCTATGCGCAATGATTGTTGTATCATTATGCCCTATGGGCGACATGATACACTTGAGGCTGCGACATAGACGTCGAGCTCATAGAATGACGGCGGAGAGAGGGCACATCAGTCTGGAAATCATTGGGAGAGGAGACATTGTCAGCAGATAACTTGGGATCCAAATGCATATGGAAGGACGAAGCTAACGGAGCATGCTTAGAAGCATCGCTACCGTTGGGAGAACGCTGGAGGGTCTGGGGATCTACCTCCATCACATCCGGAGACTGATCCCAGGTTTGGCTGTCATTTGCGGAAAACAAGGTACTGATCTGGCTACCTGTGAGCTCGGTCGTTTTGCCGGCTAGCTTGTCTGTGGTGGTGGGCTGAGATGGCAGTTGCTGCGCGAGAATATCATTGATCGCAGGGGATGCTCTGTGGCCCTTCTCTTTTTCGTTAACTTTATCAATTGGAGTGACTGAGTAGGAATCAGTGTGATCCCTTTGGCTCGACTCATATTCAGCGATTGCTTCGTCAAAAGGCTTCTCTTCCTCTCGACAGAACTTAACAGTGTGTCCCAACTTGTGACATTTGAAACATTTGCGTTTAGCTAGGATAGGACAAGCAGCGCGAATGTGTCCACTCTGACGGCAGAAATGGCAAACTGGTGGTGCTCCTCTGTATGTCGCTGGCACATAGACATCCCAGGCGGAAAGGTAAAGCATGCGACTCAAAGGCTGTACGTCGTAGGAGTGACCTTCCGCGTCAGTGTACTTGACCGAAGTGTCGATCAGGAAGCTGACATGACCCTCAAAGAAGCCATCAACAGTGTACTTCTTGATTTGGTATAGCTTACCATAGTATTTCAGCGAGCGTTGCAAGTCCTCCAAAAAAGTGGTCATGTTTGGCATGCGGACAATAGTCATCTGCACATGGGTGAGTTTGCCCTCGCTGTTGTCCTTGACAGCAGTAGCTTTGTATACCACATCGCCATGAGTGATGCCGTTGTTGATGGCTCGTTTGGCATCCTCAGGGGAGTCAAATTTAGCTTCCACCAAGAGATCTCCAGTTGACTTCTGGTGATACAGACTAAGGGGGCGAAACTGGACATTAGCAGCTATTTGTTCCTGAATGAGGCGATACGCTGTTGTACGATGCACAAAAAGTTTGTTTGGAAAGGTAAACAAAACCGATCCCGGTGTCAAAGCTTGCTGCAGGATGGCAGTAGCTTTACGAGTGAGCACCTCGGCCTTCAGATCTTCGTGTTCGAACATAACTTCAGGAATTAGTTTAAAATGGTCATCTTTAGCTCGCTGTTGTGGAGCATTGATGACCTTCTTGGAGAGGCCTCGAGAGAGGACCGTGACCCAAGAGAGGTCAGTGGTGGTAGCCATGAGGATGGGTAGTGGAACGCTGGTGGTTATAAGGTTGTAGATGTGATTTAAGCAGTGGCGTAATTTTCACCTTAGGGGTAGTGATGGTTACGCGAAAGAGCCTTATAATAAATCAAAATGTTGTTTTCGATCCAAAGCAGCCCCTGACACTTTGTTTGTGACACCTTCATATGTAAAACCTCAACATTTTGGCCAGAAATCTCATTTCATACTTTTCAACATTGCTCAATAGGTTTGTTCATAACATCTATTATAATTAGCACCATTAGATGCGCCTTAAAAAGTACTCCAAAGAGGCTTAAGCAAGCGTGAAATGATCAGCACATTTTTATAGTTGAATCTTGCGAAATACTTCAACCAAGTCGAAATTTTTAATTTTGTCCAATCTTGAACAAAAAAACAACAACCGGAGATTCAATTATTTTTTGCTGACAAAATCAATGCTTTCATTGCCATCAACGTAAACGATGCTTTTGAATGCTCACAGGGAAGAAATTACGCATTAAACAAGTAACATTGTGTAGCAAGATTAGTTTATTCTGCTTTTTTTATGCAAATTTATGTCGGATAACAATGTGGAGGCTCAATTTTCTTATAAAGACATTTAGGGTGTCTGCTGCATCCAAGAGATTAGAAGGAGAGAAATGTATGTCAATTAAAAGACGAAATAACGATTTTCTGGTCATGTCAGTTACAAAAATTAGAAATTTATCAATTGAACTGTGCAAAGATGCTTGCACTATACTATAAACATTGCGAGATCAATCAATATATACCTGGAAAGGGCTTCCGTTGTCCAGAACATTATTCCCTATGAATGTTTCTTTTTTTTTTGATGTTCAAGCTCTCCCTTCCAACTTTTCAAAGATGGATATGACTTGCAGCGCTTGAAAGGCTCGTTTTCGGTTTGGCGTTGTAGAAAGTCTTCATTGCAGCATAAGAAAGCTGACTATATTTAGTGTTACGTTTGGATAAACTGTATTACTCAAACTGCTACGTAGACATGTGTATTTGCTGCTGGTATTATTGTCATAAAATGTGCGTCCATCTATAAAAGCACGCCTTGCTTTTACGCCCTTAGACTTCACTTTAACACATTATATACACCTGTTTCTATCCAGTTCGGTTTGGAGAGAGAATAGAAGTATTCTACTATAGCTTCGTTGGTGATATAAATCCCTTGTCTCAGTCTTTGAAAAGGAAACATTATTGCTTTCAATTGGAGTTGTGGAACAAGTTTCTATGGAAGAATAGGACGCTTCAGCCTAATACAACACGTTTCAATAAATTTACAGCGTTATTTTTAAGGGCTGTATCAGATGTTGCTGTATTGCTCGCACCCCGAATACCTGTGTACTCCATCGCCAATGAAGATATGCTACTAGTAGCATGCATATCTAAACCTTAGATCGACATTCTGAACGGTGCCCGAAAGAGCCGAATAGTAACTATGCTAATAAGGGCACTTTAAAAAACTTTTATACATTCTTTAGAAACTGTCCAGGGACAGTAGTAAGATATGGCTTAATGACATATCTGTTTCTGTTATAGTATTCGCGTAACATTAATCGATGCGATTCAAGAATTATTTTTTTTTGTAGGGGAGTCGAGCTCCAGGTTTTATTTAAAGTCCTTTAAATGTCATGCTGAGGGATAGAAAAGACTGATTTAAGAATTAACAACAAAATGTGCATGGACTAGCAAATATGCCGCATTTGACCATCCAGGACAACAACATTCGGGCCGAAATATATACAAAAAGTATGTGATCACTTTTTATTGTCATGAAAACATCTGTAAGGAGCTGTTTATGTATGCATACTTGTTTTCTCAGTAATTTATGATCAAAAGAATATCTTCTAGAAACTCATTACATCTGTGAGCTGAGCAGGTTAATTTCTACAGCAGGTCTAATAGTAAGAATTGAGATGTTGGGGTTCAACGGATATCTGAGCCAAGCTCTTTTGAGCACATCTTCATCTAAATATGACATGGTCAATGTAACTGCAGAGCGCGCAAATTTGCACCGCATATATCCGACATGTTGTTTAGTTAATCAAGCTGCTATTTTGAACATCAAGACCATATGAAATCCTATTCATTAATTTGGCATCTGACATCAAGTAGTCGCAGCCTCTTCAGCATCGATTCTACATGTCCGTTTTCCTTGCCATAGAATGACAAAACATAGTTTAGATTATGTTATATGTGTAATACAACAACCGGAAGAATTATTCTGTGCGACATGTTATATGAGAGATGATTACATATTTGTCGTAAATAATTTATTTTAGCTACTGATACAAAAGTCGAATATAATACACTTAGAGGCCAGTAAAAATGAGAGGCTCACGAGGAGGGAATTTAGTCATGCCTAAAAGAACATTATCCGGAGCGCGTTTTCCTGTTCTAGTCTTCACATCATAGCGCACAAGCATCTCAGCAAGCACGTATTTGATCTCATTTGCAGCAAAGAAACGACCAGGACAAGCATGGGCGCCCAAACCAAATGTGAGATGGTCCAGACCAACGGTAGTAGACTTAATCTTCTTGCCAACGTATCGATAAGCATCAAATTCTTCCAGAGACTTTTCGCCCACAAAAACTTCTCCAGTCTCTTCATCCACTGGCAAGAAACGGAGATCTCTATGCACCTGTTCCAGGGCGCCCACCACTAAACTGCCTTTGGGAATTACTTGGCCAGTAGACATGGTTGTATCTTGAAGAGCAAGATGGTGCATGCCCAAGAAATCCGTATCTACTCGAAGCACCTCGCGGAAGAAGGAGTCCATCAATGGAAGTTTAGCAACAGATTCAGGGGTTCTATTGTTACCAAGAGTTGCCACTTCGTTTCTCAAATCTTGAATCAGCGTAGGGCGACAGGCGAGTTCGTGCAATGCAAATGAAGCAAAATGTGAGGTGGTATGGATACTGGCTAATGCGATATTGTTAAAATAATAAGCAGCGTCTTGAACAGTTCTAGCAGAACCATCTTCCTTGGGTAAATTGAGAGCCATCGAAGCAAATGTTACTTCATAATCATCACCAGCTTGTCCGTTTCTAATCTTCTCCAATTCAGGCACCAAAAGAGTCATGATGAGGTCCATTTCGTGTTCAACAGAGAAGAATTTGCGAACCACAAAGCTACCTAGCCATGTTGGAAGTACAGACAAAAAGATGCCCGCCTTGATGATCTTTTGTGTGAACTGCGCCATGCCGGCTATCAGTTCTTTGTCATTGCCAACTTTACTACCGGCGAAACATGGACATGAGATGTTAGAAATGAGGATGGTGAGTGTGTCCCAGACATCTACGACTCGTTCTTCTCCCTTGTTGAGATTGAGTTCTTGGTCAAGGGCTGATTTCAATGCAGTTTGAATACGCTCTGAAAAGACATCAATTTGGTTTTCCTTGAAGTTATGCTTGATGGGATATACAACTACACCATGTTAATCATTCATGTCTAGTATAGTAGCTGCCTAAAACCTACTGGGATGCTTCTCTCTGGGGCTGATGGTCTCGGCCACAAATTTGTGCTTGTACGATATTTGAACAACTTTGGCAGCAGGCACCAACGTTTCAATCCCTTGCGTAAAACTAAAGTTCTTGGTTGCTTTCATGACCTCGCCAATCAATGGGCCTGTAACTACACACAGCTTTCCTTGACCTGGAATGGCAATTCTGAAGCAAGGACCATAGGTGTTCTTTGCATTATCCAAGTATGTCGCAGGATCCTTTTGAAGGTCCAGTAAGTTGCCAATGATCGGTTTTGCACCTTTGATTAAGGGGGGCAAAAGGGCATCATCGATCGAAGACTGCTTGGTTCTATTTTTGTATAATTTGTACGCTAGAAAAGTGACAGTGGCTGCAACAGACAATGGAAGGCATTGCTTTTTGATTGCTTCTTCGTTTTTGGCATAGATTTGTTGAATTGTGTCTGTAATCATGACGCATAAATAAATGAGTGTAACAATTTGAGAGATAAAGAGAAGAAAGAGCAAAGAACCAGAAAGATGTTGCTTCCTTTTATATTTTTCTGGGTGCTGAAGAGAGAAATCAAATGTCCATAAAAGGTGGAGAAGCTTCTCTGAGGGATGGACATGGCTTTATCCGAAGGTGGGGATCGAAAAATGTAACCCGGATCAGCATGTCCGCGACCTTGGTTGAGTTCCGTAGTACATGCTTGCTGCTGTAATTACTATCTCTGCATATAGTCCCACATTGAGTGGTCGAATGGGGATGCTGATGTGTGAGGTAAAGAAATCAAAGAAGGCACAATGTTTCAAATAAAGGAAGCATTAATTGCGCATTGTATCAATGTGTTCCTTGCGTTTTCTAATTACCACTGGTGCCATCCAATCGCACTATTTTGCTCAGTGACAATGCTGCAATTAAGCAGGATATTTGAATGATTCAAGACCTGAAGATGCTGATATTTACGCTTGGTTCATGAAGTATAAATACCGTCTGTTGACATATCAAGCCAAAACCATAAAATCCGTCGGTTTGAGTTGATTGACATTGAGGCTGGCCAAGCAGCGTTAAGGAGCTATTTCTGCCACCTCAAGAGCAACGAGCTCGACGTACATCTGACTATTGTAGATCAGTCCCATGTCCAGAAGTGTTTATCGGGCTTATATAATCAAGATTTGACATTTTACACATGTGGGGATGGCCAATGAAGAAATGTCCAAACTATGCCTACCATTGAAAACTCCTTGAGATATGCCATCAAAAGCGTACCGATACAATGTGATTTATTTAGGATTCTCGACCAAAATCAGACATATTTTACAATCAAGTCAATTTTTAGTTTCTTTGCTGCATTTGATAAAGTAAGCGATGGCTTCAAAGCCAACGAACAAAGATAGTTGGATAGAGAAAGTACCAGCATGTAGCCTAGGTTATGGGCTTTATTGCTGTATAGCTGTTGTCCGGTGTACTCGACTCGCTCATGTTCAAAATTACGCTCCACTATCAAATGCTTTGTTACCGCAGCAGCGACATGATGATTTACGACTATTCAAAAGTGTATCGAGCACTGTGGGACCCAATTCAATGGTAGTTTCAAACGCAATCATCGAATTCATGATATATGTAAGTGTACTGGTATCAACTTGTATACATCAATGACACATGTCGACTGTTTGAATAGTGGAGAAGCATTGCATGTGGGCGCATCTCCGCCTGGAAGCCACCTTTCTATGAGTAAATCATTGGTGTAGATAAGAGGACGTCATGATATAGTTGAAAAAATGTATTCAAAAGACTCTTTTTTTCGCATCTTGCTGCGTACTAGCCTTTTGTTCGAACCAAATTTTTTTATTCTTTTACATTAATTTGCGTATCGAACAACAAGATTCCATCCAACAACCACACCTATTAGATACAGTAACAGCCTTTTTACTTGTTGTATCTTATCGTCGCTTTCTCCATCTCTTTCTCGCCTCTCGACTCGAATAGAAGAAAAAAGAAAGCAAGAGAATTTCTTTCATTTGTTTGTTCTAGTAGCAGCCTCCCTTTATTTCGCTTCATCAGTGGTGATTTCTATCTCTATCCTTGTTCTGTAGTGAAATCAAGCATACGCTCGACAGAAGATTATTGAAAAAAGAAAAAAGAAGCACACAAAACTACACAGACCGTTCATTTCGTACATACATCTACCAAACGGTCAACAACCTTACAACAAAACAACCTAAAAAACAACTGAAAAATTTTCATACAAAAAAAAAAAGCCAAAAAAATTAGTACATTACAATGAGTGGACATCCCTTTGCATTTTCATCTGCTCCTCTTCGACGTGTAGATGCTGTTCAATTCGGTATCCTCTCGCCTGCTGAGATTGTACGTGTCAGACAACCGTGTGTATCATCTCATTGTTAATCCTTCTATTATTATAGAAAGCAATGTCCGTCGCCAAGATTGAATATCCTGAATTATACGACGAAGGCACTCAAAAGCCTAGAAATGGCGGTTTGTTGGATCCTCGTATGGGTACTATTGATCGTAATTATAAATGCCAAACCTGTGGTGAAGGCATGGCTGAATGCCCGGGTCATTTTGGCCATATTGAATTGGCTAAACCTGTCTATCATATTGGTAAGCGTGATACACTGTTTCGATGAATGTATGAAGCTCATGCCTCTCTGTAGGTTTCTTGACAAAAGTGAAGAAGATTCTTGAGTGTGTTTGTTTCCATTGCTCCAAGCTCAAGGTCGATGAAGTATGTATCTATCATGGAAAGCATAGCGTGTTTTTATACTCATTTGCTGCCTCTAGACCAATCCTCGTTTCGAAAGAGCAAAGAAAATTACCGATTCAAAAGCTAAGCTTCGTGCAGTGTGGGACCTTGCCAAAGCAAAAATGACTTGTGAAGGCAGCGACGAAGCTGAAGGCGGTTTAGAAGAAAAGGAAGAGTTTGACAATGGCAAGCGCAAGAGCACACACGGTGGCTGCGGCTACAAACAGCCTCTTATTCGTAAGGATGGCTTGAAGTTGTACGCCCAGTTCCGTGCTAGTGCAGGAGATGTAAGTAAGTGAGTGTTTTGTAGTGAACAGTGTGCTAACAGACAGCCATATTAGGACTCTGGCAATGAAGGAAGACAACAGCTGACTGCTGCCAAAGTACTGCAGATTCTCAAGAACATCTCTGACAAGGATATCCGTGATATGGGCTTATCTGAAGAGTTTGCTCGCCCTGAATGGATGATTACAACGGTCTTACCTGTGCCTCCACCTCAAGTGCGTCCCTCTATTCAAATGGATGGTACCAGTCGTGGTGAAGATGATTTGACCCACAAATTGTCTGACGTTCTCAAGGCAAACGGCAATGTAAAGCGTTGTGAATCAGAAGGTGCTCCCGTACACGTTGTCCAAGAATTTGAGCAGCTCTTGCAGGTTTGTTAATATTGAATTGGATTGCTTGACCCGTATTTTTTTTTATTAAATACATGTACAGTTCCATATTGCTACCTACATGGATAACGATATCGCTGGTCAGCCTCAAGCTTTGCAAAAGTCGGGCAGACCTCTCAAATCTATTCGTGCTCGTCTTAAGGGTAAAGAAGGTCGTCTTCGTGGTAATCTTATGGGTAAACGTGTAGATTTCTCTGCACGTACTGTTATTACTGGTGATCCCAATCTTGCCCTGGATCAAGTGGGTGTTCCTCGTAGTATTGCCCGTAATTTAACCTATCCTGAAATCGTTACTCCTTATAACATTGACAGACTGCAAGTCTTGGTGCGCAATGGCCCATTGGAACATCCAGGTGCTAAATATGTTATTCGTGATAATGGTGAGCGTATAGATTTGCGTTATCGCAAGCGTGCTGGTGAAATCCCACTTCAATATGGCTACCGCGTTGAAAGACACATCAACGACGACGATGTTGTCATTTTCAACCGTCAACCCTCTCTTCACAAAATGTCCATGATGGGCCATCGTGTGCGTGTGATGCCTTACTCTACCTTCCGTCTCAACTTGTCTGTCACTTCGCCTTACAATGCTGATTTTGATGGTGATGAAATGAATCTTCACGTCCCTCAGTCCTTGGAAACCAGAGCTGAAGTTACTGAAATCTGTATGGTGCCCAAGCAAATTGTATCTCCTCAGTCCAACAAGCCTGTCATGGGTATTGTGCAAGATACGCTCTGTGGTATCCGTAAATTCACGCTTCGTGATTGCTTCTTGACCAAGGATCTCGTTATGAATATCGTCATGTGGGTTCCCTCTTGGGATGGTTATATTCCCCCTCCTGCTATCCTCAAACCAAAGCCCATGTGGACCGGTAAGCAAATCCTGGCTATGGTGATTCCTAAGGGTATCAATTGTCAAACCTTCCATTCCACGCATCCTGATGGCGAAACCACCTTGATCTCTCCTGGCGATACGCGTGTTATCATCGAGAACGGTGAATTGATCTGTGGTATTGTGTGTAAAAAGACGGTTGGTACTGCTGGCGGTGGTCTTATTCACACCATCATGAATGAATTGGGCCCTGAAGCTGCTAAAAACTTCTTGGGTGGCACTCAGCAAGTTGTCAACTACTGGCTCTTGCAAAATGGCTTCAGTATCGGTATCGGTGACACCATTGCTGACAAGGCCTCCATGACAACCATCACCAACATTATTTCGCAAGCCAAGCAGCGTGTGCAAGAGGTGATTATCACTGCTCAGCAAGACAAGCTGGAAGTGCAGCCTGGTATGACTTTGCGTGAATCTTTCGAAGCCAAGGTCAATCAAACACTCAACAAGGCTCGTGATGATGCTGGTAAGATGGCTCAAAACAGTTTGAAGGAGGACAACAATGTCAAGCAAATGGTTATCTCTGGTTCCAAGGGTTCTTTCATTAATATCTCTCAAATGTCTGCTTGTGTCGGTCAACAGAACGTCGAAGGTAAACGTATTCCTTATGGCTTCAAGTTCCGTACCCTTCCCCATTTCTCCAAGGATGACCACAGCCCTGAGAGTCGTGGTTTCGTCGAAAACTCCTACTTGCGAGGCTTAACGCCCACCGAGTTCTTCTTCCACGCTATGGGTGGTCGTGAAGGTTTGATCGATACTGCTGTCAAGACTGCTGAAACTGGTTATATCCAACGTCGTCTTGTCAAGGCTCTGGAAGATGTGATGGTCAAGTACGATGGTACTGTGCGTAATTCGCTAGGTGATATCATTGAGTTCTGTTACGGTGAAGACGGTATGGATGCCATGTCGGTGGAAAGCCAAAAGTTTTTTTCGCTCAAGTGCAACGAGCAAGAGTTCGAGAAGCGTTACAAGGTTGATGTCATGAACAAGGGCTTCCGTAAGGGTGCTCTCAACTACAATGTGCTCAAGAGCATTGAAGGTAGCGAAACTGCTCAATCCTACTTGGACCATGAATTCCACCAGCTGTCTGAAGACCGTCAAAAGCTGAGAACTGTCATCTTCAAGAACGGTGATGACAAGTGGCCCTTGCCTGTCAATCTCTCACGTCTGATTACCAACTCACAGCAAATCTTCCATCTGGACCCTCGCAAGCCCTCTGACATTCACCCTCTGCAAATTGTGGACGGCATCAATGCGCTTGCTCAACGTCTACTAGTTGTGCGTGGTTCTGACAAGATTTCCAGCGAGACTCAAAAGAACGCTACCTTGCTGTTCCAAATCTTGCTCCGTTCTACCTTTTCTGTAAAGCGTGTAGTGGAGGAGTTCCACTTGACATCTCAAGCATTCGAATGGATTCTCGGAGAAATTGAATCTCGCTTCTTGACCTCCATCGTCGCCCCTGGTGAGATGGTTGGTACCATTGCCGCCCAGTCTATCGGTGAACCTGCTACCCAAATGACATTGAATACTTTCCATTATGCTGGTGTGTCCAGTAAGAACGTCACCCTTGGTGTCCCCCGTTTGAAGGAAATTATCAACGTTGCCAAGAACATCAAGACGCCTCGTCTGGAAGTGTGGTTGGATGCAGAGCGATCCCGCAACATTGAATTGGCGAAGGAAGTCCAGGTTAATCTCGAGCACACAACACTGCAAAAGGTTACCTCTGTCACTGAGATTTACTATGATCCTGACCCAAGAAACACCATTATTGAAGAAGATGCTGATTTCGTCGATACCTACTATCAATTGGAAGATGACAACTCTGCCTTCGTCACGCGTGTGTCTCCTTGGTTGCTTCGTATTGAATTGAACCGTGGTATGATGATTGATAAGCGTCTCAACATCACAGAGGTGGTACAAAAGATCTCTGAGGAATTCCGCAGCGATTTGCATGTCATGGGCAGTGATGAGAACTCTGAAAAGCTAGTGATTCGTTGCAGAGTCATGATGGATGAGAACGAAGACAAGGACATGGATGAAGAGGATACTCGCTCTGAAGAGGATACCTTTTTGCGTAAACTGGAAGCCAGTATGTTGGGCTCTATCAATCTTCGTGGTATTCCTGGCATCAGAAAGGTCTACATTGTCGAGCGTAAGAACACCATTCTCAACGAAAAGGGCAACTTTGAAACTACTACTGAATGGGGTCTTGATACCGATGGTATCAATCTTCAAGAAGTTATGTGTCAATACGGTGTGGATGAGACTCGTACTTACTCCAACAACACTGTTGAAATCATGGAGGTACTTGGTATTGAAGCTACTCGTAAGGCTCTTCTTAAGGAACTGCGTAACGTTATTGAATTTGATGGTTCCTATGTCAACTACCGTCACTTGGCCTTGCTCTGTGATGTGATGACTAACCGTGGCCATTTAATGGCTATCACTCGTCATGGTATCAATAGAGCTGAAACTGGTGCATTGATGAGATGTTCCTTTGAAGAAACAGTTGAAATTCTGATGGAAGCTGCTGCTGTCGGTGAGCTGGATGACTGTAGAGGTGTTGCTGAAAACATCATGCTAGGTCAAATGGCTCCTCTTGGTACTGGTGAGTTTGATGTCATGTTGGATGAAGAGATGTTACAATCCGTGCCTCAAGATCACAGACAAAACATGCAAATGGGTGTCGCTGGCGATGTTGCTGGTTTCGCTACGCCTGGTCCTGGTTACATGACTCCCAACATGGCTACACCTTACGATACTCGTTCTCCTGATTGGGTTGACTTTTCACAGCCATCATCTCCTTCAGAGCCCATGTTCTCTCCAATGGGTAACTCGGGTGCTGCCACATCCATTGCTAGTCCTTGGCGCGGCGATCTTAGTCCTTATGCACAGAGTCCTGGTTATTCTCCTACATCGCCAGGCTACTCACCCTCTAGTCCATCTTATGCTGCATCTCCCGGCTATTCACCTGCTTCGCCCAATTATTCACCTACAAGCCCAAGCTATAGTCCCACATCGCCTAGCTACAGTCCAACATCGCCTAGCTACAGCCCCACATCGCCTAGTTACTCACCAACTAGTCCTAGCTACTCGCCCACTAGTCCCAGCTATAGTCCTACTTCACCTAGCTACAGCCCTACTTCGCCTAGTTACAGCCCAACTTCACCCAGTTATAGTCCTACATCACCTAGTTACAGTCCAACTAGTCCTAGCTATAGCCCTACATCTCCAAGTTACTCCCCTACTAGTCCTAGCTACAGCCCCACATCACCAAGCTATAGCCCCACAAGTCCAAGCTACAGCCCCACATCGCCTAGCTACAGCCCTACGAGTCCCAGCTATAGCCCAACGAGTCCAAGCTATTCACCTACGAGTCCTAGCTACAGTCCTACCAGCCCTAGTTACTCGCCTACTAGCCCAAGCTACTCACCTACCTCCCCTAGTTACAGTCCTACTTCTCCTAGCTATAGTCCTACTAGCCCTAGCTACAGTCCTACCTCCCCTACTTATGGTTCTTCAAGTAGCAATGGAAAGAACAAGAAGTAATGATAGCAACATTTTAAACAAGAAAAAAAAACAGTACATTTCCCTCCTCACCTTCTTTATTTCGCACATCAATATAATTTGCCTTGATCATACACACAAAAATAAATAAATAATAAGGCTCAAATTCATGTAAATGTCAATACCATTGTCTTGATCCTTCTCGCATTTGTGGTTTAACAGTGCAAATGGACAGTCAAAGGGGGCATTTGGATGCCAACGAGTGATGACACAATGTGCACATTTAATACAATTGCATGAATTGTGCATCCTTCAAACTTGATGGTTGACTATCGGATGCTCAAGGGCCATAATATCCAAAATCTCACTCTAAATATTATATCTTTAAAAAAGTGTGTTTGACCATAGGGACAGCCTTGCGATCCTCGATCCTATTACAACACATGTGCATGTGGAAAACGCAGTAAAAAATGACCCCATGTGTCCCGAACGAGGTCTGTCTGTAAATGGTGCTTCCGTGAGATGCGCAAGTGTAATAGTTGATTCACACACGCACACGCACACGCACAAAGACGCCAAGTTACAATCGGCATCCAAGACGACCACATCAACAAGACAATGGGCTAATATCAGAAAAGGACAGACGTAGGAAAGGGTAAAAAAAAAAAAAAACAATGGTACAAGAGAAAAATCCTATACACATGTTTTGCATAGGGCACCCATAAAAACTCCCTTTTTAAATTTTATCTCCTTTTTTTCTCCTTCTTCTTCTTATCACACACACACCCACGCTTTCAATATCGCTTATACCCTTTCACTTGTATATCAACATGACAACAACTGCTGCTGCTGCATCCAACTTGAATGATACCCTGCTTTACAACAATGTCAATCTGCATCGCTCAGTGGCAAGTGGACAATTGACACTGGTCCAGCGACTGATAGCAGATGGCTGCGACCCGAATCTGCCACATGTAACCACCGGTCTTCGGCCAATTCATTTCGCTGCATCAAGAGGACATGTTGATCTAGTGAAATACCTAGTGGAGACCAGTCAATGTCAAGTAGATGCTACAGATAAAGAAGGAGAGGTAAGTACAGTGCTTGATTTTTGATGGATGGTGATTTCCAACATTTGATGTCTATATAGACTGCGCTTTTAAAAGCAGCCTATGCAGGCCATTTGTCCGTTGTCATGTATCTAGTCAAAAAGGCAAATGCCAATTACTTGCACCAGGATCGAGATGGCTGGACTGCTTTGCACAATGCTTGCTCATTTGGCAGTGTCCCTATGACTGAATTCCTGCTGAATCAACCACTTATCAATGTCAATGTGGCGAGCAAGAAAGGACATACACCGTTGAGTGAGTGACACACATGTGCGGCATGAAAAAAAAAAATCTTAGTATTGACACCTATGTAGTGAATGCTGCGTCCAAGGGACATGTTGATATTGTCATTCGATTGCTACAAGGAAGCCATGCCAATCCAATGCTGAAAAACAAGTTTGGTGAAACTGCCTATGATGTAGCTGCAGCAGCAGGAGAAGCTTATCTCTGTCAGGTGCTTGAAAAGTACGAAATGCAGTATGGATTGATCAACACACCACTCGATTTTCATGTGACGATACCAGTGCTATTATTGGAAGTAGTAGCCGACAATTCATCCTACATCAGCCTGTTTGGTAAACCAATAACCAAATGGTATCATCATGACCAAGTCATACAGAACAAATCCAAAGTGGCATTACCAAATACTTCGTGGTTCTGGTTATCAGATTGGACGATTGACTACACATTTCCAGATCTCAGCTATGATGGCTGGTCTTCTGAGGAGACTGATTCGTCTGGCTGGATCAAGAAACGGCGATGGGTAAGAATTATGAAGAAAGCCATTGAGATATCGACAGAGGAGGAGGAGAATGACCTGCATGATCAAAGCATGAGCAATGCCAACAGTGATAGCAGTAGTGACAGTGACGATAACCATAGCTTAGGTACATTGTGTTTTTATTCTTCTTGATTTACCATCTTTTATTGACATTCAAATGCTAGATTTATCTCAGCATTCCACAAGCACCACATTCGAGAGTAAGACCTGTACATCAGTAAGCACAACAATGACAAAAGCACAGTCGATATTCATTGGATGCTCTACGTTACCACAACCATTGTTGCAAGAGCAAATGTCTGCAGACAATATACACCAAATCATACCAGTTGACCAAGTCGAGGAGCAGCAGCAAGACAACACGCTGTTATCTTGGGAAAGCAATGATCAAGCACTTGATTGCAGACGATGCCATCGATGGTTCAACTTTATTACAAGACGACACCACTGCAGAAAATGTGGGCAAGTTATTTGTGATCGCTGCTCTGCTAATAGAGCCTTCCTACCCAGTAATCAAATCATTCAACCTCCTCATGCCACCCATTTGGATCAAGAACACTGTTCACAACAGCCCCAGCGTATTTGCGATACATGTGTCGATATAGTCGTGTGCGAAATCAGTAGAAACACCAAGAGAAGAGCTAGCAGTATCATGTCAGAATGTCCAGTTTGCTCTAGACGGTTGGGTGAAATGCATACAGAAGAGCAAGAGGAACATGTGCAAGCCTGCTTATCAAAAGATGCATCAAAAATCAATGCAGGTGGAATACGATATGTTGGTAAAGTGCAATACTGCTTTATTTAATGGATACAATGATACTAATAAACATGTTTCTTTTAGTTTACAAGTTGACTCCAAGTTCGACACTTATAGGGCAAGAATGTGTCATTTGCTTTGAAGAGTTTGAATCAGGTAAAAACGATGGCATTCTCTAGTTGTTGTTTGCGTCTTTTTATTCACGGTGTGCCTAACTATAGGTGATACCATTACTCGATTGAATTGTATGTGCTCGTATCATGGCCATTGCATTGGTAGCTGGTTTGCAAAGGGAAAAGAGTGTCCCATTCACTCGCAGTAGTAGGCTAGTATGTAAATAAAATTATTTTATCTCTTGAACGGGAGGAAGTTCTCTTGAATCAATGATATCTACCATGATATGCAATATTGTGTTGATTTTGATGGTAATTAGCTTGAGGAAATATCACAGGGAGGAGTCTTTTAATAATCGTATAAAGATGAGTGGTATGAACAAGTAGAGCAATATTAACAGAGATGGAGCATATAATAAACACATATGATGCGTGTCATAAAGTGTGGATATTAGAGGAATCACTAACGCATCAAGGTATAACCAACATTAAGAAATGTATAAAGTAACTGGACGCCATTGTGAAAACGAAAGAAGAAGAAATGAAAAGAAGCCTCGTCAAGGATGTATTGTCATTGCAATAGACAGCTTTATAGGGAAAAGCTGCAAATAAAACCAAAGAAAAAAGGATTCAAGCTAATTGATTGCTCTTTCAAATCCACAATCCCTATTAATCAGTATCGCAATCATCATTGTCATCATCAGAAAAGTATTTGGGCCAGCCAGCAGCAGCAAGCCAACGCCAAAATTATTTCAAACTCAGAGTACTTTTTTTATGTTCAAGATTGGACAGAATTTGTCTATTTTCGACTCGATAAAATTATTTTATGGTATTCGACTATACAAATTGATGCTCATCCTAAGCTTCCTAATACATTCTTGAAGTGCTTTTCAAGGCGCTTCCAATGGTACTAATCGTAATAGCTGTTTTGAATAAAAGTATCGTGCAAATTCAGAATATATGAAATGGGGTTTTCGGCGAAAACATCCAAATCTTGCATATGAAAACCTCATAAAAGTGGTTTCAGAGGTTGCTTTGGATCGAGAGAAACATTTTGATTCAATATATACCATAGTAAAAGTCTTCATTTTCGAGGTCAAAAATGAGATTGCTTGATTCTCAATGAAAATCATGAGGTATCCCTCATGGTTTTTGATCAATTTTTGGCCATGTTTTTTGGGTCCTCAAAAAGTTGAGCAAAGGTGTCAGAAAGTTACTACTACTCGAATACAATTGTTTGGCGTCATTCCGGTGGTTCAGAAAGGTCTACATGTCAAGAATAAAAGCGTGAAAGCTGTCAAATTTGGTTATGTATTGCTTTATAGAGTTTATTTACACAGCATGAATCACATCTTTGATAGATAGCTGAAATTCTTTAGAAGGGCGGTTCTGCCTCATGCTGATTGCGTTAAAGGCCGTAAAGCACAAAGACTCCAGGGTGCCAGTGTTTATACAGTATTTATCAGTTGTGAAAGTGTGAATAATACAAGTATGATAATTTGGGTTGTTGTTGATCGACAGTTGAAGCAATATAGATAAACATCTCTACTGTATGCTGTCTCAAATAGCACTTATGTAGATCAGGTCAACTATCGCCAATGACATGCGAAATGTATGAAAGGAGTCATGTATGAGTCAATGTCATTCGTATACACCATTAGACGCTGCTATGCTTTATGTCCGTATCATTTTACACAATATCATCCCACATAGTTTCGTTTGGGATGGTCAACTATTCCTTTTTTCTTTCAACGGATATTTTAAAATAACCGATGTTTAACAGACACACTTTTGAATCATACAACCCGCGTCTGTTTGATCCACATGCTCTTGGTTAATAAAAAAAAATGAATTCTTTATTTCCAATCATCATCGTCATCATCATCCGAGTCATCGCTATGAAGAGCACTCTTCTTTCTTTTTTCAAGAGCTGCAGCAAGACTAGATGCCATATCACTTTGATTGGAAGTAAAATTTTTCTGATTCAAGCCTCGAGAAGCTGGTGATGATACAGGGCGTCTTGTGTTTGCAGTTTTCAGTGATCCACCCTTTTTCAATAAGCCAAAACCACCAGTCGAACGAATAGCAGCCATTAGGTTCGAACGACCATCACCACCAGAAGGAGCCATACTACTGATAGGCGAGGGGCTTGCAGGAGGTCCAGCAGAAGGAGGCGGTGGTGGAGGAGGAGGAGGAGCACCAGTTGGTATAGGAGAGCCTCGTTCAACGGGAGGAGGTAGTGGTGATGGTGGCGGCGGTGGTGCTCCGCCTACCGCGACTGAAGACCTCATGTTGATGAAGGGGATTGATGGCGACTGCCTGATACCTCTGTTTGGAACAGGTGGAGGAGGAGGAGATCCTTGAGCAATAGGATTTGGTCTATTCAACATGGGAGGGATTGGTGGAGGAGCGGGTGCTTTTGCATGTCTGTTTCGTGATGGAGGTGGTGGTGGAGGTGGCCCTCTTTTATCTATGCCTAACGTGAGTATCTCGATATCCAACGCTATACACTGGTACTTACTGGATGATTTCTTGCTGCCACTTCTATACTGCCTAATGAAATCTTGGATGAAATCTTGGTTTTGATCAATGTCGGCTGCCGAGAAATCTTCCAATTTCTCCAATTCCCTTAGAATCTCGAGCACTTCAGAGTCGTTATTGTCAACTGAGAATCCCTTTCCTGGCGTGAATCGTACTCGGCCCACATCACCACTGTCATGAGACGTCAGCAACGTCATTTTGATGCATTACTTTTGTACAAATATACCTTTTCTGTGTGTTACGACTATCTTTAAGTTTGATGGAATCTCGATTCAATACTTTATCATAAAAGACATCAGCTTCCCCTTGGTCTACAAATTGTATACCAGCTAAACAATCCTACAGAGAGTGTTAATATCGGCATGGATGCAGATCAATTGTCTTGTAACCAACGCACATCAGTTTCGAATGAATGTAAAAATGGACAGTCTTTCGAGTAGTCAAATCCAACGTATAGCTCTTGCTCCCATATAACACCTCGATTAGACTAATTGCTGTCAATAAACATCATCGACAGACCATCATGCTATTCGCGATTCTTGTACATACTTCAATATCAATGAGTCGAAGAAAATAAGAGTTGTTCCTCTGGCGATCTTTGCAAAATGCCATAGCACCCCACAATCCAGAATATTTCCATACGTTGCCATCCTGCTCGAATGCTAAATACAGTCTGGCAACGGCAGCTGTGAATATATTCTATATGTATATATATATATATGCCAAATTCAGGTACAAGACGTGGCGGATGCAAAACAGGCGAGATACGTACGGACGTTGGCAGAGCATGTCTGACGATTTTCTTGTCCTCAGCCCTTGGAAGAGTGATTGATTTCATACAGGTGTATAAATGGAAATAACGCTAGAGAAAAGGCAAAACGAAAACGTGGATTGATGCCCAAATAAATCGATGCTCTCTTCCATTTATAAAATGCCAGGAAATTCAGGTCAGCATGCTGCAGTTAACCAATGACCAATGAGCACTGTTGCGGTAAATGAGCCAAATGCTCTTCCTCCCTTCTGATTTCTCGAATCAGACCTAATACAGACGAGGGCAATTCGCATCTCAACCGAGAATAAACCTTAATTCCTCATCATACAATGAAACTACAGACAAACAAATTGTAGATTTACTTATGCTAGGATGAACGGAAAAAACATGCTCGGGAGAAAACGACTTTAATTACATGTTAAATGTGACACAAATGACAGGAAAATAATGAGGAAAGGACGCTCAGCAATTGATATCGCTATCCTTTTTTTTTTTCTTTAGCTACATCTCTTTTTCCCTCTTTCTATCCTCATTTAATTGCTGCCTAATTTCTCTCTCTTTCTCTCTCTCTCAATAATAATAGTAAGTCTGAATTGCGGCATTTCTTGATCCGATCTCTAAATCGAAATCCAGTCATTAGAATATAATAATGACCATTGCTACATTGCCAGAGGGTGATTTTCAGCATTCACAAGATGCAATAGCCAATGTAGATAAAGCAGCCTTCTACACGCTGGATTTTGAGCAACTCGCCATCAAAGAAGCCACTGAGAATGCCGCTCAAGTGAATAACAGCTCGCCATCAAAGAGTATGTATACGAATTCCACGATTGTACAGAAGCCAGACGAAGTTCGATCCAGCGTCACCTCCAATACGCAAAGAGAGAGTTCAGATAATAGCATCCCAGCCATCGGAACACCCACTTTGGTTCATGATTCCCCACATCAATCGCCCTCCTTGCAACATGCTAGACCTGTTCAGCAGCAACTACAACCACAACCACCACCACCACCACCACCACCACAGCAACTTTCGCCATCTGCTCAGCATGTAAGACCCATGAGTTACTCGCCTCAATTCCAAGATGCGAGACTGCAGCACTCTCCTTCCATGCAAGCAAGACCTGCGTACAATTATAACAGCAATCCTGTGAATAGACAACCTTCCACCATGTATCATCCTCACCAGCAGCAGCCATCACCTCCACAGGCTCAATTCCAATATAGGCAAGGTGCACCATTACCGCCACAATCCAATATGATGTCACATCAAGGTATGCCACCTCCATCATCCGTGTCGCCTCAACAGCACATGAGCTACAATAGGCCTCCACCACCGCCATCACACACCTATTACCAAAACTATGGTCCCATGAGGCCAATGATGCAACCACCACGTCCACCTCAACACCCACATCATAATTACAATGGTGGGCCGCCTTCCATTGCACCCACGGACAACAGTTATTTGGCTGACAGCTCACTATCCGTTGCCAATTCAGCTGGCAAGCGACCCAAGAAGAGTCAGTTTCCTCCTGCCACCAAAGAGAACCTAGAGATGTTTCGTAACGAGGCAAGAAATGGAGATCCACGAGCCACCTTGGATCTTGCCAAATTTCTACTCGAAGCAGCTAATCAATTATGCATGGATGAGCAAGATCCCAAAAGAACAAAGAAGGCACGTGAAAACATGATTATGGAAGCACAGAAAATTGTCAAGAAATTAGCCACTCATTCAGGCATGGGAAAGCAAGGCTATCCAGAGGCTCAATTCTTCCTCGCCAACTGCTATGGCACAGGCAGCATGGGCCTGCAGACGGATCCAGAAAAGGCGTTCGCACTGTACATACAAGGCTCAAAACAGAGTCATCCTGGCTGTACGTTTCGAGCAGCTGTATGTTATGAGGTCGGTGCTGGCACCAAGAGAGACAAGAACCATGCCATACAATTCTATAGAAAGGCTGCTAATTTGGGTGATAATGTGGCCATGTACAAGCTGGGCATGATCCTGCTCAAGGGGTTCCTGGGCCAGCCAAAGAATCCCAGAGAAGGCATCTCTTGGTTGAAGCGCGCGTCTCAAGAAGCAGACGAGGATCACCCGCATGCATTGCATGAACTTGGTTTGGCGTATGAAAAGGAAGGCATCCCCTCTGTCATTCCTGATCTCAACTATGCAAGAGAGCTGTTCACGCAAGCTGCTCAGTACGGCTATGCTCCATCCCAATTCAAGCTCGGTTTGGCCTACGAGAATGGCTTCCTCAATTGCCCTGTGGATCCTCGTCGCTCCATTGCATGGTATTCTAAGGCTGCTGAGCAAGGCGATGTGGAAGCGGAATTTGCGCTCTCTGGATGGTACCTGACTGGCGCTGAAGGTGTGTTGCCTCAGAGCGATAACGAAGCGTATCTATGGGCTCGCAAGGCAGCTGATCGTGGTAATGCAAAGGCAGAGTATGCAGTGGGATATTACACGGAGACTGGCACTGGTGTGCGCCAGAACCTGGATGAAGCCAAGCGGTGGTATATGCGAGCAGCAGCACAGAATTACCGCAGAGCAATGCAACGTTTGACAGAGCTAAAATACGGCGGTGCTCGCCCTCAACAAAGACGTAAACACACGCGTGATGAAAAGAACACTTCTTCTAATTCAAAGGATTCTGAATGTACAATCATGTAACACATATGCAATAGTTTTGAAATCATTTAATAGCAGTAATAATAAACTTGTTGGGTATATATATACATATGTTCTCTGACTACTACTACTACTACTACTACCAATCCTTGCTCAAATGACGCTCCAAGGCTTGGAAATCAGCATTGGAAGGCCCACGCAGGGTGCGTCTTTTACCTACATGGATGTCGCTTTCATCACTGTCCATCATCTTGATATCATCTTCATCCATGTCCTCTGGCTCTCCCACAAACTGGTCACTCATCACCATGAATTGCAGCTGTTCATTGCCTGTCGTGCTACCAGCCATAGTGACATCTTTGCCCTGTTGAGCAAGCTGAATTGCGTTCAAATTCGCTTCTGTGGTGAATGCAGAGGATGGTGTCGATATCGAGCTTCCAGTATAACGACGGCTTGTTTGATGCGATGACGCTGTGCTGGTGCGATGAAGGGGTGAATGCGAGCTAACATCAGTGCCTTTACTATGCATCACTTCCTCGATAATACATTGTCGTAACACATGTTCGCTTTCAATCATTTCAAAGCTCTCAAAATCAAACAGAGTTGCGCATTCAATCTCTTCTGCTGGATCTCTGACAGGAGCTACAAATGGATGCTCTAATGCTTCGTTGGCGGTCAATCGTTTTGAGGGATCCAGTGTCAGCAGGTTTTCGAGGAGGTGAATGGCTTCTGGTGGTGCATTGGGAAACAACGTGCTGAAATCGATGGGCTCTTCTGGGGGAGGGAGTCCACTCTCATCGCGCAAATTACGAATGTATTCTGTCACAGATGATGAGCTATCCCAAAAAGATGTATCTTTGGGCAATCCAAGTATGCCTACGATTTTGTGCAGTTGATCCACATAGTCGGTACCTCTAAAAAGCACTTTTCGACCTAGTAGTTCAGCCAAAATACAGCCCACGGACCATATGTCAACTTGCATCGCGTGTGAGTCATCACTGCAAAGCCATCCCAAATGACCCACAACTTACTTGGTTTATCATAGGTTTTGCGGCTCAGCATGATTTCTGGCGATCTGTACCATCTTGTTACCACATAGTGTGTCATGTATTGCGATTCTATCTGCGCATTGGATCTTGCAAATCCTCTTGCCATGCCAAAATCACAAATCCGTAAATCACAATTTTCATTCACCAAAATATTCGCTTGACAAGTGTCAATAACCATAACATGTGATAGCAGTCTAAACGTGCTTACCAGGCTTCAGATCTCTATGCAGCACGTTGGCGCTATGAATGTACTTGAGGCCTGAAAAGAGCTGGTACATGAACCACTGATAATGCACAGGCTCCAATTCTAATTTAGAGTGAATGATATCGGCCATGGTCGTGTCGCAACAAGATTGTATCAGGTAGACTTCATTGAAATTTCGAGGATCGACAATGTCCAACGCCTTCAAGTCAATGATACGGGGATGTCCATTAAAATGCTGCAATACCTTAATTTCTCGTAAGCAGCGCTTTGTAATCAGCTTTTTATCAAACACATGGCGGCATTTCTTGATAGCAACCACTATAAAAAAGCGTTGTCAGCAGTGTGATCGCAGCTTGTTTTGATGGGGTGCTACGTGTATATACCTTCATTTGTCTGCACATCAAGGGCACTGCAGACTGAACCGTAGGAACCCGAACCAATCTTTCGAATGACTTTGTATTGTTTGTTGATGGTGAATTTCTCAGGGCCATTATCAATAGACACTGTGTAGTAGTCGTCTGATAATGTCATTTGTTGTGTGTGTGTGTATTTGTATTTCGAATGGAAAAAAAAAATGTGGAAAATGAGAAGAGAGAGAGAGAGAGAGAGAGAGAGAGAGAGAATAGCTATTTCAGGGAATCGAAACTCAATTGTTTGTCCCACATTTGAAGCTGAAGATTAGAGTTTCTTCTCGAGCTTGGTGATGGGGATTATTTTTAGACAGTGCTCTTGTGTGTTTTGTTGGATTTGCTTGACTCGTGTCTTTTGGAGCATTGGCAAACTGAAATCAACTCTCAACCACACTCAAGGGAAGCTCCGAAATCGCTTATGTCGAATGAACCCCAAGATTATTATGCTAATCAACTTCATTCACACTTTTTCCCAAATTTGTTTGGCACAAAAATAAAAAGTTGTCGTGAGACACCTGAAAAAAACGAAATGAGACAAATTACAAATGGGACAGAAGGCCCATCTCCACTCAAAGCAAAGAAACTCCCCTGAAAGTATCCAAAATCGCTACGAATGGGTTAAGAAATGGGAGCAAACAGATATGGACTACATGTCTAACTGCGTCTTCCTTGATGAATCTGCTTTCCATATCAACCTGAAGCGAACAATGGCTTGGTCTGAGAGGGGAACTCGCGCTGAGGTAATTGTTCCTGTAACGAGGACCAACACCACAGCTATTCTCGGTGCAGTAAGTGTTTGGGGCATTATCAATGTTCAAGTAAGAATACCAGGTGCCTCTGTTAAGAAAAGAAAGATAGGTGGAGGCTCTGGCAAAGTAGGATCTGGGGGGGGGGGTACCGTAACAGGGCATTATTTCAATTTCGTGGCTAAGACACTGGATGTTTTGGATAAGGATGATAGGTTCAAAGGCTTCTATATCATAATGGATAATGCGCCTCTTCATACGGCCGATGACATTGAAAGATATATCATTCAGCAAGGCTATAGATGTGTATATCTTCCTCCATACTCTCCTGAGCTAAACCCTATTGAACAATTTTGGCATGTCGTAAAAAGCAAGCTGAAAAGAGAAAGGTTATTGTCAGACGAGAACCTCACTAGTAGAATAGCTGATGCATGTAACAGTGTTCTGTATAGCGATCTTGAGGGATCTGCTCGTTATTCTGTCAACAAATTTGAGGCATGCTTGAATAAACAGCCTTTGTAGTAAATGGGACACTCGAACCTCTGAGTTTGTCTCATTTCATTTTTTTCAGGTGTCTCAAGGCAACTTTTTATTTTTGTGTCAAACAAATTTGAGAATTGTCCCAATCATTTTGGGAAAAAGTGTCATTTTTATGAAGAAAGAAAATTCCTAAGAATAGCATCATTTGATGTACAATCTCATAAGTTGCACAAATCGTCCTCAACGATATGGATGCTTGTGTCATTTTAGGAGAGAACAACAGCTGATATGTCCTGGAACAATGGGCATGATCCATGATCCATCTTGTTACAGGCATTTCTAAGTTAGGGTTGACAATTTACTTGAATTGCGTGATGGGGTCTTTGGGAAAACGTGCGGCAGAATAACCAGTTGTTGCTGCGATTACCAATGGCATTGTATGATGAGCTCTGGCCGATCTAAGGCAGAGTTCTCCTGTACTGTGCTTCCACTCTCAATTTGCGGGATATTTAAAAACACCACTCACCTTTTTGAATAATTTTGGACACTTGTCCTCGCTGCCTTCAATTACTCTTGCAGAAACTGTTTCTGCATCTATAAATTCACTTCTTCTGATTCGGTCCTTCGACACTTTTCAAAACACCTCGATAGGATTGAGTTCAGGCGAATAAGGAGGAACGTATAATGGTATATAATCCCTCTCTAAGATGATGAAGCCAACAGCGTTAGGATAATGGATCATCACGTTATTATGTAGTGCCCATATGAATGATCATGTCCTGATGTATCTTTTCGATTCAATAGGTGCAATGATGGCAATGCTTTCGATTTGGTTTCAATGGGCTGATTTTCATCACATACAGCAATAATCTTTGGCTATGATTCGAATGAGATGAAATGCTGGATAATGCAGTTGCCTTTGATTATATCTGGCATGGTTCTTACCAATACAGTCTTGATTGAACTATCTTGTAATGTTAAATGAGCACATCATTGAATGCACACACATCTACTTGCCTGCCAAATCTCGCTCAAGGACACATCCATTGTAAGTGAAATACTAAAGCTTTGCTAGCAAATCAGCGATTCTAATAGATTTATCAGTTTACGCATAGCAATCTCAATAAGATATACAGTTCAATATAATAGCGTTAATAGTGAAGTATTCCATTACTAAAGGCAGTATACAGCTCATTCTGCCACAGGCTTGGTTTACCGTTAAAACAAATTAGTGCCTGGCTAAAGACTGTGATGACAAATTTTTTATTCGAATTATCATGTGTTCAAAAGGTGGGATTATATGGATTTGGTGGTCTCATGGCATTGTCTGCACTGATGAAGATTATGTGAATGGATGATTTGATAGTGTAGTTCTTTCACCATTGCTTTACTTATATAAAGGCCGTGTGTATCAGCTTGATCAACACTTCAGCATCATCTGATCTTGCCAGTAATTTTATACAAAGCGCACTATGTTAATTATTCTTTGAATGATGATAAAGATGATTGATAATAATAAGGATTCATTCAATCTTCACTTTTAGCTTTATATCTCCAAGTTGGAACCAGGTTTGCTTTGAGGGAAGGTGCCACTTTGTCATAATCAATTTCTTCTTGAATCTTTCGCTTCATGCTTTTCTTTGCTTTTTTCTTATCATTGAGTGTCTGTTTGATGATATCTGTAGTGTTCAATGCATAATGCTAAAGTTCGAAATATATCAGTATTAGGTTTATCTTTTTCGTTTCTTCTTTTTTTTTAACCTTTAAATCGAATAAATGGCCAATGATAGTTTTGCTATGTTTCTTTAGTTGGGAGACAGTTGATGGTAACATGTATGAATCAATAGAACTAGCAATATACAAGTAATCATCGGCAGTGTTTACAGACATGACATGCGCCTCTAGACCTGAAAAAAATGACCATGTTAAATATTTAGTCATGTAATAAAATGTAAAAGAATGAAGTCAAATTTTACCCATGATTTGAACATTGACTATTTTTAAGAGAGCTGCATTTCCTTCATTCACGTTCAAACCCATTACTTTATCGTAAATTGTCTTTGCTTCTACTAACAATTTGCTTCGATCGGTTTTGATCTTTCTTGGGCCAGCATAGGGTGCAAACTCAACAGAGGAAATAGGGTATTCAGCACCATCATATAATAGTACAAGCTTTGCATCTAATTTAAAAATGGTGTGATCATCGTTACCAGTATCCAGACCCTTTTCTCCCCTATGTATATGTAAGCTAATTTTGTTCGTAGACATAAGCTCTATATAAAACTTACCAGCGAATGTAAACTTCAGTGTTGTAAAAGAGAACTTCAAAGAGATCAGCCCAGATTTTGATCATAATGTCTGCTTCAGACGGGGTTGGTTTCGAGATAGTAAATATTGATTTATGTTTGATCATCTTATCAACACTAACGGATAGACTGTCAATCATTCAAATAATGGTTTTTAAGATAGTGTAAACTTACATGACACTGATCAGTTCATATCCCATTTTTTCATTGAATTTTAATGCCTTCTTTTGATAATTTTTTGAGTTCCAATAACACTCTTCGGCATCACGAGGGTTCTATAGTAACGTTTGTTATACATTTAATACAACTAAATGGCTGTGCTTGATACATACCTTGAATATTTTGTCGATTTTCCGCAATGCCGGCCAGGATTCAATCAAATCATTATTGGTTGGAGATGTGGAGAGTAAAGCTTTGATTTGGTTCCAGTCTTCTTTAGAGAATAATAAATGCTGATTTGTTAAACTGCCACGTGTTAAGTCAAGTATGCAGTTGAGACCACATCTTTTTCAAAAAAGAAATTAGTATTATTTTTGTCGGTTGAAGTCAATCGTCTAAACTTACTCCACGAGTGCGATATCGGATGGGTTTAACGACTTGTACTTGATGTGCTTCATCATTGCTGCACGCTTGATGATAGTTCCGACCGACAAAGCATTGTTTACTTTAATATTGTCTTTACCAATATACTATAAAAATGTCAAAATTTTAATTTGCATTGAAAAATAATATTTATAAGGTATGTTTACCTGCTCGATTTCTTCTATCCTCTTCTTGATTTGCTCATTGGACTCCTCTGTAGAATTGGGAAGAGAGCCGACTAAAGAGAACGCGGCTGAGCTGGAAACTGCTGCTTTTTTTTTGTTAACCTGCTCAAGGAAACTTGTTGCTGTAAGGTTATTAAATATTGCTTCTTGAAAGGTTTTATTTTCTAAGCTTTGTAAGTAGTTGCTTTCGTTCTAAGCAAAGCATATATAGAGAAGGTTAATGAGTAATAGTGGAGACACGCTAGTAAATTGAATAGTACCTCTTTATTCATTTTGGTTTAAAAAAAAAAAGAACTGTTGGCTATTTTTGACACACGGAGATTTACTATCAGCAAAAAGTCCGACGTAGGCTTTTTTTTTGTGCATGACGCGCTCATCTAAACTGCAATGTTTATGTGTGCTTTTTGTCCATTCACAACTTGTTGACTCAAATCTCTTCAGGCATAACTATCTCTGATATTGGTGTTTTCTTGGCGACAAACTGCCATCTCCATGACAGTAAACTGGATGTCAAGATTACAATTGTGATGGATAGACTCGGATCTTTTGTTTCTTGAGATAATATTGATAAGAGATAGTTATGCCTACCTAGACCTTGCTTTTTTCTATAATGAAGGAGCTCAATCTTTTGATGGTTGGCAAAGATGGCTTGAGCTAACTGTTCGCAATATCTGGGGAGTGCCTCCAGCCTTCATTGTAACTGAAAGCAGATAGCAGTTTCTCTTATTGACTTGTGTAAGTATAATTCAAATGTGCACTTCTTTATTTTTACTAATTTGCAATTTCTTATGGCTATGAATGAGGCATAACTATCTCTAATGTTGGTGTTTTCTTGGCGACAACCTGCCATCTCCATGACAGTAAACTGGATGTCAAGGTTACAATTGTGATGGACAGACTCGGATCTTTTGTTTCTTGAGATAATATTGATAAGAGATAGTTATGCCTACCTAGACCTTGCTTTTTTTCTATAATGAAGGAGCTCAATCTTTTGATGGTTGGCAAAGATGGCTTGAGCTAACTGTTCGCAATATCTGGGGAGTGCCTCCAGCCTTCATTGTAACTGAAAGCAGATAGCAGTTTCTTTTATTGACTCGTGTAAGTATAATTCAAATGTGCACTGCTTTATTTTTACTAATTTGCAATTTCTTATGGCTATGAATGAGGCATAACTATCTCTAATGTTGGTATTTTCTTGGCGACAACCTGCCATCTCCATGACAGTAAACTGGATGTCAAGGTTACAATTGTGATGGACAGACTCGGATCTTTTGTTTCTTGAGATAATATTGATAAGAGATAGTTATGCCTACCTAGATCTTGCTTTTTTCTATAATGAAGAAGCTCAATCTTTTGATGGTTGGCAAAGATGGCTTGAGCTAACTGTTCGCGATATCTGGGGAGTGCCTCCAGCCTTCATTGTAATTGAAAGCAGATAGCAGTTTCTTTTATTGACTCGTGTAAGTATAATTCAAATGTGCACTGCTTTATTTTTACTAATTTGCAATTTCTTATGGCTATGAATGAGGCATAACTATCTCTAATGTTGGTATTTTCTTGGCGACAACCTGCCATCTCCATGACAGTAAACTGGATGTCAAGATTACAATTGTGATGGACAGACTCGGATCTTTTGTTTCTTGAGATAATATTGATAAGAGATAGTTATGCCTACCTAGACCTTGCTTTTTTTCTATAATGAAGGAGCTCAATCTTTTGATGGTTGGCAAAGATGGCTTGAGCTAACTGTTCGCAATATCTGGGGAGTGCCTCCAGCCTTCATTGTAACTGAAAGCAGATAGCAGTTTCTTTTATTGACTTGTGTAAGTATAATTCAAATGTGCACTGCTTTATTTTTACTAATTTGCAATTTCTTATGGCTATGAATGAGGCATAACTATCTCTAATGTTGGTATTTTCTTGGCGACAACCTGCCATCTCCATGACAGTAAACTGGATGTCAAGATTACAATTGTGATGGACAGACTCGGATCTTTTGTTTCTTGAGATAATATTGATAACAGATAGTTATGCCTATGGATAATGCTTTATCTACTCTCTAATGCTGCTGACCCCATCATCTTAGAGAGGGATTATATACCATTATACGTTCCTCCTTATTCGCCTGAACTCAATCCTATCGAGGTGTTTTGAAAAGTGTCGAAGGACCGAATCAGAAGAAGTGAATTTATAGATACAGAAACAGTTTCTGCAAGAGTAATTGAAGGCAGCGAGGATGTTCCTGTTGAACACATAAAAAATTTCATCCAGTACTCGATCAATGTATTCCCTAAATGCTTGAATAAAGAACCTTTGTAATCATTTCTTGAAGTTGGGCAATTTATTCTCGAAATGCTGGACAAATTAGTTTCAGATACTTGGCCAAATTAGTCTCACACAAGAGTCCAAAATTATTCAAAGAGGTGGGTAGTCTTTTCAAACATCCTGCAAATTGAGAGTGGAAGCACAGTATAAAAATACAATAGAAATTCTAGCTTGAACCAATCAAAATTGAGCAGAAGAAAGCAAGGGCTTATAATCAAAGTATGGAACAATAGCACATGGAATAACGATCTTGCATCTCATCTCGAGCACCTCCTTCTAATGAGCAATTTTCAACCAACAGAACCATCAAATGTAAAATATACAACTAAATAAGAAAGACTTAGCCAGGCCAGGCTATAGTGCTTTTTCGATGCGTAATCCCTTTGCTACTATGAGCATTTAAAAGCACCATTTGCCACCATAATAGCAAAAACATTGATTTTGCCTTCTAAAATTAATTTAATCGTCGGCTGTCTTTTTCGTTTAAGATTGGGCAAATTGTGAAATTTATCGACTTGATTACACTATTTTGCGATATACGACTATATCAAACGTAATAATCTTTGTATACACTCTTAAGCTTTCTTGGAGTGCTTTTCAAGGCGCATCCAATGATACCAAGTAATATAGATGTTTTGAATAAACTTATCAAGCAATCTATGAAAATATGAAAAGAGGTTTCTGGCCGAAAAGTCGAGATTTTACATATCAAGGTCCCACAAAGATGATTTCAGAGGTTGCCGTGGATCGTGAGAAACATTTTGATTCAATATATGCATAAGTAAAAATCTTCATTTTTGGGGTCTAAAACGCGATCGTTTAATTTTCGATGGAGACCATGAGGTACCCCTCATGGTTGGGAGGCAATTTTCGACGATCTCAAAATAGTTGAGCAAAGATGTCTGGAAGTAAGTGCTAGATCAAGGAAATAGTTTGGTACTGTTCCGGCGGCCCAAGACGGCTTTTAACACAAAATAAAACGGCTCAAACACATTCAGTTTTCGCTGTAATTTTCGTATTATTGAGTAATAAGAGGTGATGCAGGTATGTTGTCTGCCCATATATGAGTTGTTTCTGTTGATACAAACGTGGAGCGTCGTAGAGTCATCGAATTCGCAGTTATAAAGTGAAGTAATTGATCTCTGTATACTTTAAAACTGTCAACCACAGTTCAACGTGGTGAGGATCAGCATTAAGTTGGGGAACCCTTAAGATGGAAACTTGTTGATTGGAATTGGAAGCACCTCTTTATCTTTATTACACTTGCTGGCATACAGCATGACCATGAACAACTAGTATGTATATATCTGCTTATTTACGCTTTCCACCTCCACTCTTTTTGCCACCAGTAGACTTCTTTTTGGCGCCTTGACGCTTGATTCTCTCAATATCAGATTTATTGATGGTCAGGGTAGCGCCCTTCATGCGACCGATACCATTTGTAATACCAGGATCACGGTCTCGCTTCTTTTCTTTGGTTTTCACATACAAATGCTTCAGTGACTTATCATAGATACCCATATCCTTAGCTTCCTGCAACTTTTTGATGCCCTTTTGCTTTCTAGATTCATCTAGGCTCAATTTCACTGATAATGGCATTTTCTCTCCAGGCGAACTCTGCATTGTGAATTAGTAACTCATATCGCACAAATATAATCCTCTTTTTGTCTTTACCTTGACACCCAATCCTTCTAATTTCTTCATGGTATTCTTTCGTCTCTCCTTGGATGTCATTTCCTCTCTTTCTATAAATCGATGGGTATTAGCAAGCTATACCAGCTAAACAGTATCCATTTACACACCAAGTTCCTCTAATAAATTGGATGTCGCTAATAATTGTTTCAATTCCATATCGTGCTTTTGGTTTTCACTGTACTCAAAGTCATTAGCTGATCGTCGTTGGATGGCGTTTTCACAAAGATCCTTACGCTTCCTCCTCAACGTCCTTGGCCGTTGGCTTGTTTTTTTGCTCCACAACATCGGTTGGATCTACAGTTGAAATGCGAGAATCCTGTATAGATTGTCAATCCCTGATCTCCTCTCATCCAAGCGCACAAGACTGAATTTACCAAAAATCTCTTTTTCGAAGCTTTGTCCTCTAATGTTGGCTTCTTTTGCAATACAGATCCATCGAACACGACCACGCTAGGGCCGCTGGTTTTGGTTGCACTGCCTTGTTTCTTTTCAACAATCTGCTTCTTTCGTTGTTGCTTCAACTCTTCCCTGACATTTTCAATATGAATGATTAAGGTGCCCCAAGATGGATCATTTCGTAAAATGCTTACTTGGATGTGGTTGCCGTTCTCTTCAAACTTTTGGTGATGTGAGGATTGCTTGCTGTGTTTGCCTTGACACTGTTAATCAAACTTGCAAGAGATGACATGTTGAAAATAAAGCAAAAAGAGAATGATTTCAAAATGAAAGATTTCAAATGTTAAAATAAGCCACTATTGCCCTGCTTGAGAAATTCACTCGCTCTTTGAAATGGTGAGCCAAATGTAGAGAAAAGGTCGCAACTTTGATTTCATGCAAATAATTTCCATATCATTATTACTTGGAGTGTTTAAGCATTGGGTGGCTCTCTACCTTTGTGTCACTTTGGTGAGAACCGACCTGCTCAGCGGCAACTCGCGCTACCGATTGCCCTTGTGTATCTTATCAGAATACTGCTACTACTTTCATTTTGACCCTCCACTTATACATGAGAACCCTTCATATTATCTGTGGATCTGATTCTTATGTGATGTTCTACATCCATATATAGGTAGCTACTTCATATACGGTCAAGCAGCATACTGGTATTTCCCCTTTTTAGTCATTAGTGTCCCTGATACAGCAGAATCTGGGTGCTTTTGAGCTGCGTTTTCTTGTGCTCAAGGCCGTTTTAGATGGTCAGAATAGCACCAAGCAGTTGCTCTCATCTGGTAGTTACTTTCTGATACCTTTGCTCAACTTTTTGGGCCAAAAAAAAACATGACCAAAAATCGACCAAAAAGCATGAGGTACCCCTCATGGTTTTCAACAAAAATGATCAACTACGACAAGTCCGTGGCCTTCCCTCTTCATGGTGGAAGAATGACAAGCCAAACTGGTGGCCTAATTCAAGATCATGCAACAAACAATCTCAAAATCAAATGGTATGGTTCTACGTCTAAAGGATTTATAAAATACCTAGGTTATCCAATTTGGTTCTGCAATCAACAAAGAGACGTATACATTGCTAAGCTGCTGGGTGATATTACTACTGCTGTTGAAAGGTTGGCAGCACGGCAAGTCTCACTGTACGGCAGAGCGAATATTGCCAACACTATGATATTGCCCAGACTATGGCATGTCATTCGGATCGTTTCCCTGCCCAAAGACACAGTCAAGAAGATAGCTTCAATCATTTATCAGTTTGTAATGTCTGGTCTGTATCGACCTCTAAAGGGCAATTCTCTCTTCCTACCAAGGTATCAAGGCGGTTTAGGACTGCTTGATATAATGGCTCAACAAAAGGTTCTGCAATTCAGATATCTGAACGCTTTGCTAACAGAAAACAGCAACAACATACCTGGTCTCACTTATAGGCTACTAGTGGATTATTTGAAGATGTCGCACGACTCACCATCGCACATAATCCCTATACTGCTCCAAACGGCTAGATACAAAAACCAGTTAAGAGGCTTCCACCCTTATTACATGATGTTCGAGGCAATAGATACCTGTATGAAGCATTCTCCGCTCTCACTCGCTTGGCCTGTCAAACCAAATGTCATGACACTCTTGTCATTGCCAGTGCTGGAAATTCTTGATTTTGACAATGAGGAAGTAGCTATGGGATATACAAGCAGAGACTCGATCAGGGAGAGCAAAGTTCACGACTTCTTCCACATCGATCAGGAAACAAGTACTCTGCAGCTAAAGTCAAGAAGTGAATGCAAGCGACCAAACATCAGGAACCAGATAGAAAGAGGCCGTCTTTGTGGAAACATCAAATTGAAATCCTTCGCGGATACAAGAAACATGGAGGCTCATCTAGATCTACAGCCTTTCATTGCTATGCTTAATTACCAAGACCGCCCAATGCTTCGAATGGCGAACAAAGACTTGAGATCAATTATGCTGGACATACACAACCTTGATGTTGGACGAAAGTTCAATCATACCATCAGCAAAGCCCAGTGGAAACACTTCTATCATCAAAACATGCATCACTCCGTGAGAAATGTCTGGTATAGAATGATCCATAAGCAATGCCCAAGTAAATCAGCTCTTTTCGTTCGACGACTGAGGAATGTTGAAGATGACAAATGTACTCTCTGCAATGATACTGAAGATGCCAAACATCTCATGGTTAGCTGCCCCCACAAAAACGACATTTGGTCCAACATCCAATCCACAAGTATACCAATCTATAGTCAATCTGAACCTGAAGCAATACTTCATCTACAATCTCGACATCAAGATTACAATCTTCGACCTGTTTGCTGCCACCATTCGTATGATATGGAGATTCCAGCTCCTACATACGTTCGAAGGAATGCCTTTTGATACCAACTATGTCACCACCAAGATCTGTGCCGAAGTGATGAGATTGTCAGATCTCAAGCATTAATATAAGTAGTAGTTTAATTAAATATTATATATGGCAAGTCATTTTGTTATTACATACACTTGTCTTCTAGATAGCTTAAGGCTGTAAAGGATGATCACTACAACTTTCATAGTCGAATTTGGTAAAATGAGTCGATCAATTCGCAAAAGGATCAGAAATCAACGAATTGTGATAGAATGTCAATCGAGATTTTAATTCCTTCTGGCTGGCAAAAAAAGACTCTCCTTGATTGCTCAAAGCCCTATAATATAACGGCAATGATACCCACAGAAACGATTATACGAGAAAGCGAGACTCCTTCTCAAATGGATAGCGTATCCAACGTGAGACCCAAAAAGGACAGGCTGGTGACATAGGAGGAGCGTGGCATGATCCAAAGCAACAGAAGAGCACACAGACAAAAATGATATTGCAGGTGAAGTTTAATTCAGAAACCTCCTTCTTTTGGAAATCCCACGGCCTTGTTTGATGAATTTCGCAATGTGTACTTTACTTAGAACCCTGAAAATAGTACCATTGGATTCCTCAAGCGATTTGCTTTCTAATGATGTACATACCTTCTAATAAAATATCCTCTCTTTGACCACAAATTGGCCATTTACTTGCTTATCTCTCTTCAATTCATGTCCTTTTGTTTACTTTACATGTGATTTTTTTTAAAGCTTAATTTTGCCTAGCAAATGAATTGTTTTGATTTTGCATGATCCGAATACCTTCTAAAAGAGGACAATCCCTAAAAGAATGACATGAAATGTGTTGACTCTTTATGAGATGAATACTCTTGGCGTAAAAACTACAAACAGGTTGCAGGAATGATACACGAGAATGACCAACTCACTATGTAAATGTGGGCATGTTGATGATGTCTAGTAGCGCAAACACTTGATTAAATTATTGACAGCAACCATGATAGTTGAAAATAAGATGACTTGCACTGGTTCGAAAACAATCGATTATGTTCCATTCCATGGAGATTGCCGCAATAATATTCATATGATACTCTTGCTTTCCGAGGTGTACACTTGTCTCTTGATCCAGAATCAATTGCACTGGCTCCAAGATGATGTAAACAACAAGTAAGCCAACCTTATCATCCTGTATTGCCCAATTAGATGGAGAGTTCATGGCGAATACAAACAACAAGAGAGATGGATCGGGCACTGTGTGATTTTGGAGAGAGAAATTAAGGAGAGGTAGAAAAAGATTACTTGATCTAGCAACCAACTGCATTTGTTTCAGAGTCAAATGACATTTTTTTTGTTTACGTTTTGATGAGAATGAGCCAGTAAAAAGTTGTCTGTTAATTACATCTAGGAAGAGATGGGGGAACTCGTTTCATGTGAAGGTGGAAAAAGGGCTTTTTGAAGTAGCAAAATGGACATAACTCGAGACAGAAAACAGTTGAAAGCCTCGGACGAAGCGGATCAAATAGAGCAAGTGTCAAACGTCAAAATGGCACTATTTTCACGCGCTCAAAGTAGTATATCGTGGAGAAAAGTAAAAGGAAACGAATTTGAGTGTGGCAAGGATACTAGACTCACATGAAAGTCGATGAGAAGGATATAAATAGGGATTTTTTTCAACAGCTTTTCCCTCTTCTTCTTCATCTCATCTCTCTACAACAAGCAAAATACTCTATACATACAAACTCTCTACAAGACATTTGGGCTCTCTCTCTCTCTACATATGGTCATCTAAATCAAATACTCTACTGTCTATTGGCCTCTACTACTGCTACATACAATGCCTTACAAATCCATGGTCCTCTCTACGTCTCTTGGTCCATGCTAGAAAAAGGCCACACTATCTTTGATACATGCAGACCTTGGTGAACTGTGCGAGTAAGTTATTATCTTGTTGGACGTATGAGCCATGTTGACTAACCTATTGATTACATAGTGCCGAAAAACTACTTTTTTGTAGGGACTGAGTAGGATCACAGCTTCATAATCATGAGTAGACTGCAGGACAAATCCTTTGGTCATGCTACGGGATGACCACAGGCTTTATTGCCGACGAGAATTGGGTTCAGCCCTATGATCCGAGATAAAGGTGTCTTGAGCGTGTCGATAATCTTGTGATAGGTGAAGCAAGTTTACACCTTGGTACCTGTTTATATAGTGTTGGTTCCTTTTATTGATGGTCAATTTTCTTTGCCCAAATGGTTTGTTACGCACTCATGCCACAGTACTTGTGTACTCATCTCATCTTTATCTAGTTGCCTCTGCCATCTCATGTTCTATCTCATCTAAAGCAAGCTGTCCTCTCCAAATGCTATCAAGCCAAGTTCTCTGTGCCTCCTACAAGCTCCTAAAATGACAAGACTGTTCAAATATACCATCTCTACATCTATACAAGGTCAAGCCCTACTCTCATCTGTGCTTCCTCTTACTCAATCAATTATCAAGACAATTAATGCCTGACATCTATACAAGGCCAAGTCGTTCTTATATCTCTGCTACCTCTATTTATACAAGTCAAAATAGCCTCAAAAATCTGAAATATTTTAATCCATCAAGTATGGTGATCTCATAAACTCAAATACACATTAATAAAAAAAACAACCACGTCTTGTCATTAGCTTCAATATTATGCTCTTTTATGATTGCATCTTGTTTCAAAGCTTGTACTGTCCATTAATTGCTGTGACCAATGTATTTTAAAGCTTGTACATAATTTAATCATACTCATATAATTTAATGTCAAGAGATTTTGCCAGTATGTAATATCATAACATGATAAATTTATGGTCCCTAGACACTTTCAAAGCCTCAAAAAGGAAAGAAATTGATCTAACAAGTATTTTGATAGACTGACGTTATTAAATATAGATTCAAGAAGAGCAGCACAACTAGCGATAGTGATATATGATTTGCCACCTACTTTCCATACGCTTCAAAAGCATCTATTACTGTATTGCCTTCATGATGGAAAGGGCATTGAGTCTGCCAGCCGGCCCCACCAGCCGCCAAAATTGATTCAAACCCAAAACATTATTTCTGTTCAAGATTGGACAGATTTTGCCTTTTTTCGACTCGATTGAACTCTTTTGTAAGATTCGACTATACTAGTTGTGATGATCACCCTTTGCTTCCTAATAAAATTTCGAAGCACTTTTCAAGACGCATCCAATGGTACCAAGTAAGGTAGATGTTTTGAATAAACTTATTGAGCAATTTATGAAAATATAAAAAGAGGTTTCTGGCCAAAAAGTCGAGATTTTCCATATAAAGGCCCCACAAAGATAGCTTCAGGGGTTGCGTTGGATCGATAGAAACAATTTGATTTAATATATACCATAGTAACGTGCCGCCTGAACGTAGGTTGGTTTCTACCGAAGCGAAGCGTAGGTCAGGAAACCACCCGAAGTGTCGAAAGGCTCGTATACCATAGTAAAATTCTTCATTATCAAGGTCAAAAACGCAATCGTTTGATTTTTGATGAAAGCCATGAGGGGTACCTCATGCTTTTTGGCCATTTTTTGGCCATTTTTTTTTTGGTCCCCAAAAAGTTGAGCAATAGTGGCAATAAGTAACTGCCAGATGAGAGCCATTGTTTGGTGCTATTCTGACAATCTAAAACGGCTTTGAAAGCGAAAAAACGCAGCTCAAATGCACTCAGATTTTGCTGTATTAGCCACACTGTCGACTAAGAAGGGATAATACCTGTATGCTACTTGCCTGTATATGAAGTATTTACATGTATACGGATGCGGAACATCGCATAAAAGTTAGATCCACAAATGATGTGAAGGGTTTTCAAGTGCAAGCGGGAAGTCATAATGAAAGTAGCAGTATTTTGATAAGATACGCAAGGGCAATTGGTAGAGAACTATCCGGAGCATAATCACTCGTATATTATAATGCAGAATGCTGCTCTATCATTCCAGATGATCATTGAAAAGTATGGCAATGTGACAATGACACGATCAAGGTCGTGCTTTTTGGCATCTTATATAGTGTGACATTCAGTCATTCTACCAATATATGCTAGGATTTCGCTGTTTAGCCTTCAATTATCGCATGAGAGCCATTTATATACTATCTGGACTACGGAGCTGGCTTTTCAACAATATACCACGCCTATATCAATGGAAATAACCAATATGCGTACAGACAGCATACTTGTATTGTCTCTTACTACCTAAAACTATGCAAAACGCAGCAAAAACTGAGTATATTTAAGCTGTGTTTTCTCGTGTTTAAAGCTGCTTTAAATCACCAGAATAGCACCAAACAATTTCTCTCAACTAGCATTATCTTACTGACACCTTTGCTCAACTTTTTTAGAATCGTCAAAAATCGGCCGAAAACCACGAGGGATACTTCATGGTTTTCACCGAAAGTCCATCAGCAAAGTCCACTGGAAGCACTTCTATCATCAAAATATGCACCACTCCGTGAGAAATGTCTGGTATAGAATGATCCATAAGCAATGCCCAAGTAAATCAGCTCTTTTCGTTCGACGACTGAGGAACGTTGACGATGACAAATGTACTCTCTGCAATGATACTGAAGATGCCAAACATCTCATGGTTAGCTGCCCCCACAAAAACGACATTTGGTCTAACATCCAATCCACAAGTATACCAATCTATAGTCAATCTGAACCTGAAGCAATACTTCATCTACAATCTCGACATCAAGATTACAATCTTCGACCTGTTTGCTGCCACCATTCGTATGATATGGAGATTCCAGCTCCTACATACATTCGAAGGAATGCCTTTTGATACCAATTATGTCACCACCAAGATCTGTGCCGAAGTGATGAGATTGTCAGATCTCAAGCATTAATATTAGTAGTAGTTTCAATAGATTTATATATGGCAAGCCACTTTGGTACATACACTTGTCCATCATTTAATGTTCTTATTATATTCGTATATTTACTAATAAATAAGCAACATCCATACCAAAAAAAAAAAAAAAAAATCCAACAAAAATCCAACGATCGCATTTTTCACCTTGATAACGAAGACTTTTACTGTGGTATGTATTAAATCAAAATGTTTCTATCGATCTAACGTAACCCTTAAAATCATCTTTATGTAACTTTGACATATGAAATCTCGACTTTTTGGCCAGAAACCTCTTTCCATATTTTCACAAATTACTCAATATGTTTATTCAAAACATCTATCTTACTCGGTGTCATTCGATGCGCCTTGAAAAGCGCTCCAAGAAAGCTTAAAGAAGCATTTTTTTTTTTTTTTGTAGGGGAGTCGAGCTCCAGGTTTTATTTAAAGTCCTTAAAATGTCATGCTGAGGGAAAGAAAAGACTGTTGGTGGACCCAATGTCTGCAAAGAAGGGGAATAAGATATTTTTGAATTAAGTTGGGAAAGAAATCTACTGCTAATAAGGTGCGACACCTAGAGCCAATACAGTCTTGCGGAAATCGTCAAAATAAGCTTAAAGAAGCATCGGATGATCATCACACTTTATATAGTCGAATATGCTAAAATAGTTCAATCGAGTCGAAAACCATTCAGGTTTAGCCAATCTAAAGCAGACTATGAGTCTGGATTTGAATTAATTTTGGCTGGCTGGCAAACTCATGCCCTTCTAATAATCATGAAGGAGCCCTTGGTGGTTGGGCATAGTAGTAGAAAGTGCGTTTGCCAAACGTAAGGTCACCAGTTCAAATCTCGATGGAAGCAAGAATTTTGGTATGCAGTGTGTGATACTGTAGCCCCATTTTAGTGTTCAGTTGGTTATCAGGTGTTACAAATATGACAAAAATTAGCAGCCGCATCAAGTGCCCTGCTCTGGACACTGCCCTCTCTGGTCAACGAAATCTTTCCCAATTGCACACTCTTCAGAGGAACTCCAGATAAAATTCTTCAATCATCGAGACCATCTGATTGACTTCTCAGCCTCTTTCTCAATTCAGATACACTTTGCTTTACATAACGTTAAGTAAGAGTTTTGTAAATATTAGGCCAATCGTTAAATAAAAGTATATCCACTACGGTTACATTAAAAAAATAATAATAATAATCATGAAGGCAATATAGTAATAGATGCTTTTGGAGCGTATGGAAAGTAGGTGGCAAATTACATAGCACTATCGTTAGCCATGCTATCTTTCTTGAACTCTATATTTAATAACGCCAGCCCATCAAAATGCTTGTTAGACCAACTTCTTTCCTTTTTGAGGCTTTGAAAATGTCTAGGGACCATAAATTTATCATGTTACAAGTACGGCATTGACAATGCGTTTGGCTTGATGGAGACACCTATAAAGAGATTGCTTCAAAACGCAATGAATACTGCCGAGAAAAGAACTGCATTTGCAATTGAAATGTGCGACAAGAGGTTTTCAGCAAAGCCAGTAAATCATCATTATTTCACTGAAGATACTGAAGGACGATTTCGACGAAATCAAGGCTGGCCAAACACAGCGTGTAAATGCTGCTAACTCTTCAAAGCCATTTACAAGCGATCTCAACAGCAATCATGGCTCATATAGCAATGCAGATGTGATAACTGTTAAGGAAAATGGGCCGTTCCGTCATGGTAAGTTAATTGCAGCCTTTTTTTTACTTGCATATTGCATTATTCATCCATTTTACGGCACCTCTGTCATTTAAATAAGGACAGATGCGTACAATAAACGAGAGGTGCTACTGAGGATATCAGAATGCTGTTAACCAAATGGCACCTCACGCTGAACATGACAGACACTTGCAAACTTATCAAATTTTGCACTACCGCTGTCATGGATATACGGGAGACAATGGTAATAATGATAATAAATATACAACGCGCTAATAAAATAAAATGGGAAGAGTAAGACTGACTACAATCTAAATCTGAAATCAATGCGATTACTTCCTTCTGATGTTGTGGTCTTTGAATACTCCTTCTTCTCGTCGTCAGACATGGCGCTCCATTTCTTTTCTCTGATTTTGTTTGTCAAACTATAGCTTGTTCTTTGGAAAACAAAAAAGAGAGCGGCAGTGGCCATTAAACCAAAGTTTACCCAGTTGCCTACATGGAAATGAGGAGCATCGCTTGCCTCTATGGAGTTACTTGTTAGATGCTATTTACACACTTTGAAGGAATGAGATACTCACGGTAGATCTGAGAGCCTGGGACACCACAGATGTTGGCAGCCCCGATAACAGCACCCAAGGCAATGGTACGTTTGCCAACAGGCGCTAGGTTAGAAGACATCCAAGCAATTTGCATTCCATGCCACGGTGGTGTGGAAGCCACAAACAAGGCAGCAGCGTAAAAACTCCAGCGACCAGCACTGTTTGGCAAGAACTGCAACACCAAGAAGGCGATCATGGACCATACACAACCAATAAGAGCATGAAGAGCGTAGTTACCAAAACGATCTGCGCTTTTTGCAATGATAATGGAGATGATCAAGCCAATAAAGAAGGATGGCACCGTTAAAAGATTACTGGTTGTAACATCAAATCCATATCCCTTGATCAAAGTAGGCAGATAGATGCTAACCGGCGTGTGAGGCATGATACCAACAAATGTGACGAGCAAGTGCACCCATAGCTTGGTATCAGTAACACTGATTTTGACATCGTGCCATGTAATGCGTTCATATTGTTCCTTCTTGGTCTTGTCATCACGGATTACTCTGGTTACAGCAATGTTGCGCTCTCGTTCAGTAAACCAGCCATTCTTGCCGCGCAAAAGACCAGCAGTAGTAGCAGGACTCCCAGGGACGTAAAAGTTAATACGTAGTGTGTCAATTTGTGTGTTTCTCTTCAAAAATGGACAGCATCACTTACAATGCAATTATGCCGACAAGATGAGTAAAGATACCATCGATGATAAACAGCCCCTCCCAGCCATGCAGACCGCCAATACCAGCCATACGAAAGATGCCAAACGAAATCAGTCCTGAGAAAGCAGAAGCAAACGATTGAATGCCCCAAAACCAAGCGAGACGAGTGGCCAATTCGTTTGTCTTGTACCAGCCAGTGAGATAGGTTAAGCTAGCAGGAATGAAACCAGCTTCAGTCAGGGCAACAAAGAAACGAACAGCGATGAATCCGCTGAAATTCTATTTGGGCAATGAGACTTATCGAATGCTTTATAGGATAAAACTACACGCTTACATGGATCAGAGCATGCGCCCAAGTGACAACAGCCCAGGAATTCATTAAAATAGGAATCCAGCGGTGAGCGCCCACACGTTTGACGATGGGATTGGTGAATAGCGTACCCACAGTGAATACAATCGAGTGCACCAGCGTACCTGTGTTGACACCGCTGATACCAAAACCAAGACCAGCAGGCAAATTATCAGAGATGGCGTTGGCTATGCGTGGTGGTCATGTTAGCATAACAGCAAATTTTGTGTATAGAACATCACGCCTTACAGATGTTGGTGCGATCCATGTTGACCACAAATGTCATGAGCAATACAAACGACATGAGTCAAATATCAGTCTTGTTGACAACAGCACGCTCTTCTTCTTCCGTCCACTGTAAGTCATGTATATAGCCTTCCGCAGAGATCTCACTGCCTTCTGTGCTGTAGATTGAAGATCCATCTGAGGCAGAGACACCATCCTTTTTTTTTTCCATCGGAAATCTTAATGTCAATGATTTCTTTGATCTCTTTGTCTTGCTGGTGTTGCTACTGTGTCACGTTATTTTAAAAAAAGAGCAGAGGGCCATTTCAGAGAAAGTTTCCAGTCGCTTATATATAGTCAATTTTGACATGAGCTTCTGGATGTACTTTTTTTTTTGCATGATACATGATAGACACAACAGCACCACAGCTTCACAGGGCGTATGGAAACAAAGACTCAATCAATGTGAAAAGGTTCAAGTAATAAGTACCAGAAATCGCATCATATCACTTCTTGCACTTCCATCTATCATGAACGCAGAGCTCTGGAACTGGAAATGCCCGAAATCTGGATTCATGTTACACTCTTTTATCCACCAAAAGGAATGCCAATGATTTGACAAAATAACGCAATCCTGAAAAGTTACACTCTCACAATCGTATTTCATACAACATGTCGCCATAAAACCACACTGTTTCGCAACTGCTCTGAATGGCTTTATTCAACAAAGGCTTGTTTATTGTGCGACTCATACTGCTTGAATGCTTGTCAGCTTGCTGCTGCTAATTTTTTTCTGATCGATGCTATCTGACCCAATACGGCTCTCTTGAGAAACATGGTGCTTGACTGGCATATGCCTTCGATCAGATCGATGGCCTGGTACTCAATGATGGCTTGAGCGTATTTGCTGGTGAGTAGCAATAGCAGTTGCATGGCACCTTTGTCTTTTGGGTTGCTTTGAACGATGGTTTGTAATGGCTGAACAAGGTCATATAGAAGCGTCTTGTCCAATTCAATCAGTGGTTGTGTGCTCAAGATGGTGCTCATGATCTGGACCACAGTGTCACTCCAGGGCCGCAGGTAGTTTCGGTGATCCATCAAGACGAAATGTGCTGTAGCGTTGGCTGCAAAGTAAGACTCTCCATCCGATAGAATAATTCTACATAACAGATTGCATCAGCATAGTATGCTTTGCATGATTGTGCACTCTTACTGTAGCATCGACACCCGCTGCGATGGGTTTAATTCGCTTATTGACTTGTTGATCACTTCACATTGCGGTTTACCTAGTTCTGATTGGAACAACAGCGGTACAAGCAATCCATCCATGATGCACTTTCCTTCCTGTTGTGCCAGTTGCTGAATGCCGTTCATCAAGACTCTGGGCACATTAGATTTAAGTGCAGTCATCTAGCGCTCAAGTTAGTGGACAACAAGCAACATGTGGCATACCATATACCTTGGCAAACGTGGCTGCATAGACTAGATATGCTGCATTTGTGCTGGGTAGAGTGTCTGCTTTGCCTATCTCTTTGAGCAACTCAACAGTAATATCATCCACCCAAGATTGCATATCAATGGACGTCACCGCCATTTTCAACTATTGACATCAGTGTTCCAGTCAATACCATTGCCCGTGCAAACGTACCTGTCCTAATGGTAAATCCACTAGATTGCCCAATGATTCGACTCGCACTTGTGTTTGTATTTGTGAACTGGAGCCAGAAAAGATGGACATGGACTCAATCAATGCTTGCAAGTCTGGCAAATCTTCCTTCATGGGATCATCTTGTGCATTGTGTGTTGACTCTGATTTAACGGGTTCACTGTGTTCTGTCATGATGGGCCTTAATGCAGCATGACTAATGTAGAAAGATGAAGCGGTTAAGGATACTCTATGATGCTTCTCGAAAGTTGTTTTGATAATGAATTAAAAAAGGATATGATAATAGGCGCTGGTAATACTGGTTCACGTTGCTTTGACCACATGGGATCAACTAAGAAACCAATTCATGTGTAAAAAAAAAAAAAAAACTGGAGCTACGCAGCAGTTGAACAGTGCATTACCTGCTTGTCGATGGCCATGTGGATCAAACACAGCCTTTAAATTGTCCTCAAATGAAAATGCTTGGCTTGTGGCAAGTTTATTGCAAAGTACATTCAGTTTTTCTCGATTGATATCAGCAACAGACGACATGTTTATACCCGCGTCTATCAAAAGTTTCTTTATTTTATTATACAATTCGCCGCATGAACACGGGGTCACACTGAGCTGTCTATAAACAACCACTGTCCCAATACTTTTCAAACTCTTGACGCACATGGATGATGCCCTTGTTAGCCTTGAACTCTAAAAACCACTCTGGATGATCCACCACTCTTTTACGCAGCCATTCAATATAAAACCGAGTCTTTTCATACTTGCATTTCCAATCCTTCTTGGCCTCGTGAATCGACACAGAACCGTCCTTGACCTCCAACATGGCATTGGTGACTTCTCTGTATTCTCTGTACATGAGATACTGCTCATTCTTGACCTTGAACATAAAATCCATGCCGTGCCTCTTGCATCGCACCACAGCGCCTTCTACCTCTCGACCATTGTAAATGCTACTTTGCTGCATCGTATGTCCAAATTCCTTGACTTGATCTGCGGTATCAAATACGGTAAAATCAGTTGCATGAAATCCAAATTCTTTGGCTGTTTGTTCTACAACAGCGACTGGAAGGGTATATAGCTCTGATGTGTTGTAGTTGATGCCATGAAGATACAATCCACGATCTCTGTCGACATAAGGCAAAATGTGCTGCTCAAATTCATCATCACAGAGTTCAGCGACCAATGTGATATTCTTGTCGTAGAGCCACGCTGCCAGGTCCTTTTCTGTCAACTGCACAGATGCCAAATGCTTCAGTACCCAGTTATATCCCACACCCGCATGTGCTTTTGTGTCTGTTTTCTCTACAGGGATTGAATGCTTGGACGTGACAACGACCTTCTCGTCAGATAGTGCTGCTATAAAGATAATGCATCCGTTCTCCTTTGCCATGACCTCGTAAGGTCCCTGTGTCTCCTCCATGATGGAAGGCCATTGTGTCGCCTTGGTTTCCAACACATTGAAAAACTTGTCGTAACCTCGCACCATGATCTGATACTGCCCACCAGGTAACTGCTTGGTAAAGAGTCCTCGGCTCATGGTAGGAAATGTGTCTTGCTTTTTTTTGTATACACTCTCTCGCATTGTCCAGCTGGTCCACACTTGCTCGTCTTCTAGTACAAAATCCTTGGACCGCAATTCTTTAGGTGTATTCAATTTAATTTGATATAGCTGCTCAATGACATGTTGGACTCGTACTTGATCTACTGTGAATCGAGGGATATGGATGCCAGGCATGTTGCGCGTTGCTGTTTGCTCTTGTGAATAAATTGAATAAAAAAAAAAAAAAAAAAAAAAAAAAAGAGACCAAGAGCCGTTATATAGTTTTCTGACACCCGGAGTTTATTATCATTACTGCGTCGGCTCCTACGTTCGGTAGACCATTCACCTACTGCGCCAGTCAAACGTAAGGTAATGACCCTGATGGCTCGAGACGTTATGCTTTGCATAGCTCTCGCTTCTATCATACATGGTTTGTCATGTTTTTCTGTGATGCAATGTTGGTTGAGCAGCAACCAGTACATAGTTTACCTTGGACAAGAGGTATATTTAGTATAATCACCTCTCAGAACTGCTTCTATAGCGATACTAAGCTGGAATTGTTCCATCATGTGTGGTGTGAGCTTCAATACAAATATTAACAACGGCTATACTAATGGAATATCAGGCTGTTAAGATGCACATGCTCAATGCATCCGCGAGGAGTCTTTAGTGAGCATTGATAGCTTAAATGGAATCTATGTCTAAAATAATGGTTTGCCATCTTCATCTTTTGGAATCTGTTATACTGAGAATGAGCGATTGCACGCTCATTTCAGATCAATGAGTGAACAAAATTTTTAGACGATAAAGAGATTCACTCCATGTCATTGAGCAGCTGTAAGCTTTATATAACCAAGTTTTTCCTGGAATTTATCTTTCTTTGTGAAGCGAACAGCTCTTGAGAAAAAGAGTTGGCAGATTGTGTGTTGTATCTTTGTTATTTAAGGTCTGTTCATAATCGTCAAAGGGAATCATATTTGAGTCAACACCGTTGTCTAAAAAGAGAATGCCATCTGCAGAGAGCTCTTTGTCTGCTTTCAATGAGATACTGCAGTCAGAATGCTTTTTGACTAAATAGCCAAGCATCTTGGCTTGATTTCAGACACAAAGGGTCGTTCAGCACCCTCCATAGCCAGAATAGACTTCAAGAGACGAGACCTCGCAAGAGATAACTCCAAATAAATGAGAGGCTCCTCAAGACTACCATCCAAGTGAAATGGAAATGTACCCTAAAACCATGCACCTATCAACTGAAAGAATCAGAAATGTCGTAAGCAACGAAATAGACTTGCATGCTTTGCAAACACATTGCGGTGGCAACCCAGGTAACAACGGAAAATACACCAAATGTCATCATTTTCGTAGTGATGATGAACTCTCTTTAGTCTCATGGTACATTGAAAATCTATAAATCTCGCCGTACATCAAACAGTTTTTGTAACGTACATTGCAATTTCTGCTCAGGATTGCATCTTTTTTCTTGACTATTACCGCATTGAAAGCTTTTGTGTCACGCTGATCCACGGAATTTTGTACCAAATGTTGGAAGCTGCTTGTTTATTTGTTATCAGACCACATTGCGAATAGGTATATATATATATATATATATATATCCGTCAATGTTACTACTGGTGCCGCCAAACTATCCTTTAGCAAAGGCATGGCTTGGTAGGAGATGCATAAAGGGTGCGATAGGATAGACAACACAACTCCTCATCAGGAGATTACATCCAATCAATGGTGGGCTCGCATACGTCAAAAGCGATGGCGCAAAATTGCAAGATTGTTCTTCTTTTTGTATAACTCTGATAATCCGGTAATTCGCTTCAAGATGGAGGTTGTATGCGCTTTATGAAGTGGGAATCATCCATATATAGTAAAAATCAGGTACCACATACTCGCAATGGCAAGATACCAGGTTCGTATAGTGGCATCTCTAAAGTTGTGTCTTCAATTGCACAATCACTCTACACTATGATTAATGCACTTTGGACATACAGAAATGGCATATTATGCTACATGCGACGTAAATTGAATATAAAATAAACAAAATGGCCTTTATTCTCTACTTTTATACAACACACTCTTTTTCTTACATTCAAAAATGGGATTCCTTCAAGAAAAGTCTGATATCACGTCAGAGACACATACATTGGACGTACCCAACGAGAAGGTCGAGGTGGTAGACCTTGTCGATGAAAAGCACAAGCAAGTGTCTGCCTCAGATTCGTCATTTAGTAGCGCTGCTTCCGCCACGAGCACAGCTATTGATGTGGAAGGCTATGTCTCTAATCTGGCATGGACGGATGAAGAGGAAAACAAGGTGCTGTTCATCATTGATACAAGATTGATGCCTTTTGTGTTGTTGATGACATTTGTGCTCAATATGGATAGAACCAATATTTGTATGTCATGCACTGGATCTAGATTACTGCTTTCCTAATCCAATCTCTAATAGCAAATGCCATTTCTGATAATCTACCGGCAAATTTGGGTTTCGGTATCACTGGCGTCAACACAGCTACATTGCTCTACTCTATCGTGTTTACTGTGGTTACTCTTATCACTAGTCCAATTGCTAAAAGAATCAGTCCTCATCGATGGATCCCCATCTTGATGTCTGCTTGGGCTGTTGTCACCTGGGCGCATGCCTTACTTCAAGCAAGTGAAAGCTTCCAATTGATACTAGTCTTCCAAACTAATGAATTGATAATAGAACTATAGCGGCTTTCTTGCTGTCCGTTTCTTTATTGCCCTCACAGAAGCTGGCTTCATTCCTTCTAGCTTAATTTACTTGACAGGCTGGTACAAGACAAATGAATTAGCTACTCGTCTCTCTTGGTTTTGGGGTATTCAAGCTTTTGCGTCTGCTTTCTCTGGCTTGATCTCATTTGGAATTTTCAACATGTCTGGTATTGGCGGTCTGTACGGTTGGAAATGGTTGTTCATCATCGATGGCATCATTACCCACATCATTGGTTTCATTGCCATGTAAGTGGTATTCATTCAAACTAAACAAAACCATGCCAACATCTTGTATTCAATACAGCTTCTATGTGCCTGCTGGTCCATTCTACACGTCAGGTCTGCTTCGCGGCAAAAAGGGCTGGTTTACTGAGCGTCAGAGACAAATTGCTGTGACAAGAATCATCCGTGATGACTTGTCCAAGGTTGATCAAAAGGCAAAGGTGACATGGCACGATGTCAAAATCAGTGTTCTTGATACCAAGCTGTGGACACATTTGATCATCACATTCACAAGGTAATAGGCATCCAATACAATCAATGATAGAGTGTATCTCACCCAGTGATACGTAGTATGATGCCCCACACACCCGTCTCCACGTACCTGCCAACACTCATTAGAAACTATGGTTTCAGCGTTACCATCAGTAATCTCTTGACTGTCCCTGCTGCCATTATCAACCTCATCATCTCCATCGCAGTGGGTCGCAGTGCTGATAAACGGGGTAACTATGCATACCATGCTTTGTTTGGTGTTATTTGGTCGTTAGCTGGCTTCTTGGCCTTGGAGTTCTTGCCCGGAAACGCTGGTCGTTGGAACTTTTATGCTGCTGCTTTGTTTGTTGCTTCATCTCCTGTCTGGCATGGAATGCATATTGCCTGGATGTCATCCAACTTGGCTCCCTTGGGCAAGCGTACCATTGCATTGGGTGCTGTCATTGGTGCTGCCAACATTTGTGGTGTTCCAGGCTCTCAGATTTACCGTAAGTCTCTCTCTGGTAGAATCACCTGGATGACTAACTGATTGTCCGTAATATACAGAGGCAAGCGATGCCCCTCGTTTCTTTAGAGGCAACTGGATCAATTTTGGCGTCATGCTGACAGCTGGTGTTCTGCTGCTCACTCAACATTTCAGATATGTATTGACCAACAGACTGCGCCAAAAAAAATGGAATTCATTCTCTGATGCCGACAAGCAAGAGTATCTCAAGAATACCAAGGATGAAGGATCCAATCGCTTAGATTATAGATTCAGAATCTAAAATGCTCTATTCAACTTGTACATATTATAAGATGATTCAGTTACCTTGATAAAATCTGTCGTATCACACTGTTTTGAGCTATACACTTTTGAGGGCAATCAACCAGCAATCATGTTGTTGTTTTTTTTTACGCAAGACTTTTTATTCTACAGAATATATATACAAACAAAAAGTGCAGTAGTGTATATGATAATAATCTAGTAATTTAAATAAAAATTAACTCAAGGCCTGCCCCAAGTACGAATTCGACCTCTTCTATCGGTTGTCACCAGAGTGTGCTCTCTAAATGTGAGCGATAAACAAGGATCTGCATGAATCGCTTTTATAGTTGTAGGCTGTAACACAGCTGCTTGATTCTTCTTGACAGGAGGATGCAGCACAGGCATATGTTGCTTCAACTGATCTTCTACAATCACATCATCATTGAAATCGTTGTTTGCGCTAAAGATATTGTTTGATCTCGATGATCGTTTTCTGAATCGTCCACCAAATGAAGATCCACCGCCACCCATCGTACTACCACCACTGTTGTTACTTCCAGCACTACTGCTTATAAGAGAGGAGGTGTCTGGAGAGGAGAATCCGCGAAATAGTCGATGCGATTTCAGTGATTTTTTACGTTCAATGTTGATAGGTAGTGCTGATTGTGGCTGAATGGTAGGGGGTAATAAAGTTGCCGGTATAGCGTTGGATATTGCAGATGGTGGAGGTGGTGCCCATTGCTTGGGTAAAATAGTGGGTGGTGATGATGCTAATGCACGAGGCTATTACACGGGTTTAGTATGCATTACCAAGCAATCTACTCAGTCAACTTACGTGTTTGGGCTTTTGAAGAGCACTGAACGAAAAGTCCCACAGAATCAAGTTACAATCCTCGCCTACGCTGCCAAATCTATACGTTTGGTCATCGCATCTCCAGCGGTCAAATGCAACACCCGTTACCTGCATCATGCATCAGTTATCATCCAAGCTATACACATATATTGCCACTTACCCATGATTTGTGTCCAGGACACCTGGCAATAATTCTTCTTTCCAAAAATGACCACAAAGTAACGAGATCATCCTCACCACCAGTCTATAGACCCCAAAAGCGTCAATTTCTCGTTCAAACTTTTACATGTCTCTGTACATACCAAGATATAACGACCATCCGGACTCCAGTCCACGCATGTCAGTTTACCGTAGTAACTCGAAAACACATCCGTCAGCTTTTCATTTCTGTAATCAATGATGCGCATTTGACCATCGACACCCGTAATAGCTAGATGCATACCATCAGGGGCAAAAGCGAAATCTGCCATTTTATACAGGATGAGTCTGCTATTATCCATACCGAAAATCTGATCCATATCGCCTTACCTGTCAATCCCTTATCGCTGATCTTCCACACAGACACTGGGTTGTATTTGTTGCTTCGATGAGGCCTGAAGGCATTGAATCTGTGAATAGACAATTAGTTTCCAGCATTCCTTTTGAATAATCGCTTATACTTACTGTGATTCCACCCAAGAAGTCGGCTCAGGCATATTGAACGACTGGTCATCTCTTTCCTTGTCCATGATCAGAACAGTGCCATTCTTAAAGATGGCAATGAACAGCTCATCGGATCCAGGGATCCATTTGATCATGCTCACTGCTGAATTGACCATAGCGCCGCCCTTGTTCAATCTGACGTATTTGCAACTGAGAGGATCATACCAAATAATGTCGCCTGTAGAGAAACCAATAATGATATCCAAGTGGTCATCACAGCGAGTTGTCTCGTTAATATCATGGCATAAAGGGTATGATTTAGAAAAGACAATTCTCGATAACGGCTCCTATCCATCTAATATGAGTGACACAATCCCGAAACTGAGCCATCTATGCCGCCTCTTACCTTTGGCTTACTGTTGGAATCAACCCAAATAAAACTGGATCCAATGTTGAAGAACAAAAACTCGTCTCCCAACCCATGCGAAGACATCATCTTGTGCAAATGTTCGTGTATCAGAAATCGCAGCACAAATGTAGAATTGGTTTTGGACAGGTGATTCTTTGGTTTGCTGCTGCTGACGCTAGTGTTCATGCTGCGAGCAATGGAAGAGGACAGTTGCGGTGTGGATCTGGCGCCTGGTGTATTGACACTTTTCCCAAACAGACTCGACAGGGATCCAACGCTGCCTGTATTGTTGACAGGGTTGGTGTTGTTGAAGCTAGATGACAGTGAGTATTCGTGGTTGGTATGGCTGGCTGCCAGATTGGACATGCCAAGGTCCTGTGATGAGCTCATCATGTAGGACCCTGACGCAAATTGCTGCTGTTGATGTGGATGTTGAGCCACTGGCTGAGGGGGTAACTGTGAGGAGGATGTAGGTGTAGTTGAAAATGAAGTGGAGTAGGGTGAATAGGGGCTGGCATTGTTGCCATTGTTGCTCGTCATGATCTTTTGCGGCGAAGTCAGTACCTGTAAGCCATTGCCATTCGCATTATGGATGCTGGACGTGGATGAGGATGTGGCGAGCGTATTACGTAAGCTTCTTTTTGAGGAAGAAGACGAAGCAGCATTAGGGATGGGTAAAGCAGCGGACTTGACAGGTGTCATTGAAAACGAAGGGCCGCCAATGATCAGGCCTTCATCTTCTGAGGATTCGTTGTTTGTGATGTGGAAATGCTCGTCTTTAACACTCACAACTGAAGCACGAGTACCTGTTGTGAATTGAGGTGCAATTGTCTCGTAAAATGTCTCGTGTAACAAGTGATAAATGCCATCGGGGGTATGTAATTCAGTGCAACTGAAATCTTTGTTTGTGGGTGGAAAATGAGGTACCACTCTCGCTACTTGAGCTATCGCATTGTTTGCATTGTTGCGGTTGATGTTCTGTTGCAGTGTGTTGGCTGCTAGCGTCTAATTGAAGAGCGAGAACGAATCAGCAAAAAGCGGTACATTGGGAGGCATGTCTATGCGTGAAAATTTTTTATGAATGTAAACACTCACTGATTGAAAATACCCGTCCATGAGCGAATTGAATAGCGAGCCAAGATGAAAGAGCAAGAAAGAGATAAAACGAGAAAAAAAAAAAAAAAAAAAAAAAGACGTCTGTTTTTTTTTTTTTTTGGCTATATGAAAAAGTAAATTTGGAAAAAAGAAGGGAAAAAGAGAGAACTTCACACGCCTTTTGGTTTCTGAAATGCCCTTTCTTGGCCGGACTTTTTTCCTTGATGTGCAAAGTTCTTCCGTACGAGCTATGCCATCATATACATGCAACATCATAAAAAAGAAAATAAAAAGGCCGATGATGATGATGATGCTATGCTAGCTTGATAATTAGTTGCATATCTTCCTCGTGGTGTGCACATCTCCACGTTACTGTGAGAAGAAATCTAATGAGGCATTATTCAGCAAATTACCATTTGATGCTTTGCTGGACCCTAAGGATATTCAAGTTACACCTTGAGATCGTTTATGGCAGGTTCTGCATCTTTGTTTTTTTTTTATCTCCCTGGACACTGACTGAATTGTTATCATTTAGGGTGCACACTCTTTTGTTGAAACAGATTTCATGTAAAGACATTTGGAATAGAATGTCAAATGTTTTAACAATAGTAACGATAGTTTAGGGCACTCCTGTCATGAGAGCGTGTATCTACACTGGACAAGTACTGCATTTTTATCTTACTTTTGGCCGTGGTCCAAATGGCTCGAAACTACTAGGTATGTTGTGGCATGCTTGGCACTGCAAAGTAGTTCACGATGTTTACGAATACTACATTTCTACAAAGTATTTCAATCATGATCAGTAAATAGATGCATATACGCTAGGTTAAGCTACATTGCATGCAATATATTTCCATTAGCGTTCAATGTATTCACCGCCTTGATGGATTCAAGCATGAAGACGTCTCCATTACAGCACATTAGGCAGTAGAGCGTAGAGCTCAATGTCGGCCACCACTAAAATCGTCAATTGAACGACCGCTCAATTCCTTCCCCAAGATGGGAATTTCTGACCAATTTCGACTTGTTTGGACTATTTTACCAGATTTGACTATATGAAATGTAGTACTGATCTCATACGTCTATAAGCTTTCTTGAAGTGCTTTTCAAGGCGCATCCAATGGTACCAAGTAAGATAGATGTTTTGAATACACTTACGAAATAATTTACGAAAATATGAAAAAAGGTTATTGGCCACAATGTCGAGATTTTATATATCAAAGTCCCACAAAGATGGTTTCGGAGGTTGCTTTGGATCGATAGAAACATTTTGATTCAAGATATACCATAGTAAAAGTCTTCATTATCAAGGTGAAAAATGCGATCGTTTGATTTTCGATGAAACCTTTTTTTTTTTCTGGATGATATTGTTTTATTAGGATAATAATTAGAAATAAGACAAATGCATCAAAGGGATGGACAAGTGTATGCGAGCAAAGTGACTTGCCATATATAAAACTATCATGATAAATCTGGTAAGAAAGTTGCTTAAGATTTGACAATCTTAACACTTCGGTTCTGATTTGGCGGCTGGTTTGGATTGAATCAAAAGGCATGTGGTTGTAAAGCTGTTGATAATGGTTTCTCCAGATAATACGCATGATGGTGGCAAAGAGGTCAAAGATCGTGATGTGGATGTCCAAGTTGTATATGAAATATCGATCCAATTTGAAGAGCGTGATTGATTTGTAGATAAGATGAGGATCTGCAGATTTGGGGTAACCAAGGAACTCGTTGAATGAAGAGTCCCATACATCAAGTTTGTGGACACAGCTGATCAGGAGATGTTTGGCGTCTTCCACTTCGTAACAGAGTTCACATCTATCAGATTCAGCATGTTTCAGATGGAGTTGCGACATGACAAGTTTGTTGGAGCTTTGTTTATGTATCATTCGGTACCATAGGTTGCGAGCTGAGTAGTGCACGTTATTCTTGTAGAAAGTCTGCCATTGTTGTTTGCTGAGGTGATTGTTGAAGTTACACGAAACGGAGATCTCTGTTCGCTAGCTTAAGTATCTGTTGTTGTTGGTATATCAATGAGTCGAGAAAGGACTGGAAATCAGTGTCACCAGTGCTATTGTTGTGTACAAATGGTTGGAGTGTGAGCTGGTGGGCGATGATGGCTCGGTGGAGTGGCTATCATACCATTTCATTTGCAGTTGTGTGGTGACATATTGCTTGATCTGTTGGCCGTCAGTGGACTTCATGGCACTGTCGTGGAGAGGGAAGGCGACGGATTTGCTGTAATTGATCTTGGCGTTGGAAGCTCGATTGTATACTCGTAGACGTTCTTGTAGCTCTACCAATTCAGCTTGCAATTTCACAAACGATAGGACATCGTCGGCGTACGCAAGGACCTTGATGGGAGCAGGAGATATCCATGGGTTCTGTATTTGGTGCAGGAGCTTGACGTGTTGCAGGCTGTATCCTGAGAGGTTCACATTGTTGACTATGGAGAGTAGGAACGGCTCAATGGCCAGATTGAACAAGACTGGCGAGATACTATCACCTTGACGAATCCCTCGTCGCTGAGAGATTGCACCGGTTAAGAAGCCATTCACATTGACATAGATGGAGTTATCGAAGAACAGGTTGGTAATGCATGTGACAAACGCTTCAGGGAAGCCAAACTTTAACAGTACTTGGGAGAGATACTTTGGGTGGACCCGGTCATAGGCCTTGGCATTATTAAGCATGATGCCAGCATAGGCAATAAAGTTGGAGAGGTTCCGCCAGCTAGCAGACTGAGCATTGTCGATAATCATCTGGAGAGACATTCCATGATCCCCAATATAACGGCCGGGCAAGAAACCGCATTGATAAGGGGTGATAATCCTGTTAGCCACTTGGACAACTCTGGAGTTCATGATGCGAGTAAAGACCTTGCAATCCGCTGCAGTCAGTGTGATGGGACGATAGTTAGCTAGGTCACTCTTGTCACCTTTCTTGTGTAAGATAATGATACATGAGGCCTGCCAAGATTTTGGGAACTTTGCCAAACGAACAGCGTCATTGAATACCTGATGGATAATATCACGACAGCTTGGGTGAGAGACAAGGAGGTAAAGTATCTCATAGCCAATGCCGTCCAGTCCTGGGCTACTCTGTTTGGGGGTTCGACGGGCACCGTCCAAGATATCATCATAGTCAATTGGCTCCATAATCATTGTAGCATCCTCCGGTGATACCGTACGATCAATATGACCGAGCATGGTATTCAAGCAATCCATGTCAATTGGCTCCTCCGTGTACAGATCCTGATAGAAGGATTCAGCAGCATTGAGTTTGGTTTCCGTGTCTAGGCAAGCATCTCCAGTGCTAGGATGTTTCAACATTGCAATTGTCCGTTGGTCAACACGCTGATCAATGGTGTGTTTGATATATCCTGGGGAGTTCTCACTCTGCTCCAACCATCGGCGGCCTGCTTTCAACATCTGAATCTCCACAATTTCCTGCTGTAGCTTGGATTGCTCTCCCTCCACGTCCGGCAGCAGCAGTTTCAAGCACTCAATGTCATTCCGGTAGCGTCGCAGCAAGTTATTCCTCTCGCTCTGCAGCGCCTTGATTCTGGCCTTTCTCCAAGTATCATGGTGTCTAGCAAAGTTGATAGTAACCTGTTTGGTCTTCCGCTTGATCAGGTCCCACTTGTCTTGAGCTGAAAGATTGTAGTCCAATTTGGTAGACACGAATCTCTCGATTTCACCAGCCAACTTCTGTCTATACCTAGGATTTTTGGCAAGGTGAGGGTTTACACGCCAAATGCCTTCACCGCAGTTTGTCAATCCGGTTGTGTAAGTTTTGGTCACAAGAGCATGGTCAGTCCATTCAGGACGTAGAAACGAGTTGGTGGCATCACTCATATTTGAAGCTATATCCTGTCCAGCAAACATGTAATCCAAAGTAGACATGGTTGATCCACGCTCGAAGGTGTATGCATGAGGTTCATTTCTCGGATTGAGGCAATCAGAGAAGTGGGTGTTCAAGAATTCCATAAACTGTTTCGGTTTACCTGCTCGGTGAGAGTGATGGTAAGTGTTGGTGTCAAAGCAATAGTTCATGTCCCCGGCGATAAGGAGAGAAGGAATGATTTCGGGCATAGTGTTAAGGTGTGTAATGATTTGACTAAAGAGTTGATTCCTAGCCTTGTAATCATCAGCATGGGCATAGATATTAAGTATATATATATATTGGTGGCATATTGTTGTTGACAAGAGAGAGCTTAGCCAAGATGGCTCTTCCTTCGTCAAAAGTCTTTAGATGTTGTAGTTGTAGAGCTTGGTCGAGTTGTAACGGTATCAAATGAGTGTGAAGAGATATTAGTTTCCTGGCATAGTAGCATGTTGCATAGTTCTCCTTTGAGATATCTTATAAATTGTGCTGTTGTGTTTGGATTGTATTGTTTGTTAAGGTTCCTACAGTTGATGGAACCTATCTTAATTTTGATATTCTTATTTTGGTTTGACTCACTCATTAAAATTATAGTGATTTGATTGTGGAGGAGTTGCCTTGCTCGGCCTCATCCATATGGCTGTCCTCTTGTTGTTTGAAAGCCTTTTTGGCAGATCCCTCTTGATCAGATCCCGGTGGAGTAGATGCCAGTTCCCTAATAGAACGCTTCTGAGAGGCCTCCTGTGCTGTGTCACCTACAGCATTAGAACTCTTCCTTTTACCCTTACTAAGATTGTATCTGTTCTCGTAATTGGTATATTCTACAGAACTTTCAGATATATCACCTCCTTCATATTCTGATTCCTCGCTGGTGAGATGAACGGTCTCCTGTGCATCTGGAGGAGCTGGTTCCTTGTCATCAAGATTGTCATCCTGATGAGATTCCACAGTTAAGGTTGAATCAAAGACAGTGGTTGGTGCAACTGAAGGTGATGCTACAGTCTGTGGCTCGACAGATTCAACTGGATCAACTGGTGCTACTGCCTCCTGATGGAGTGGATCAGCTGGTTCCTGAGTCTCTTGTTCAGGAATGGTGGATTCATCATCGGTTTCCATAGCGTCTTCGACAACATCCGTATTCTTCTTCTTGGTAAGATATTTGGGTTGCTTGACATTCATCAATTCTAAGAGATTGACCTCTCTTCCTGTAGGCTTTGGTGGAGGGTTACTCTCCTTAGTAACGGAATTGCGACGACGTTCCTGAGTAGGTTGGTCCCTCTTTCGATTCCAATGAGCTCGGGGATACTGGGCGATGAGATGCTCGAGACTACCGCATTTATGACAGACCTTCTTCTTTGCTCGAGGGCAGTCGACCTTGACATGTTCATCAGTATGACAATCCTTACAGATGGGTTGCATATTGGTCCAAACCAACTGGAAAATCTCCAAAAGGGATCTGAGGTGCCAACTCAGCTTCATATTGCTTGGATCTATCCATATTAAGTGTAACAAAACCTCTACCAGTGAACCAATTACCATTCTTGGAGTGACAGAGACCGACATTGAGAATATCACCATATGGTTCAAATGTCTGCATTAACAAAGGTTTGAGAAACTCTAAAGGCTTGTAAGTGATAGCCAAAGCCTTGCTGACCTGAATAATTTTACCATGGAGGACGAACTCCTTCCCCAAGGCCTCCATACAATCCTGTTCAGTGGAAAAGTTCATTTCAATTACCTTATGGTTCTTGCCAACCATACGATGTCTAATACCAAGACCTTTAAGATATTGTGCACGAAGACAGCTGGGTAGCGTCTTCTCCTTGAACACCATGCCAATGAATTGTGAGCAGTCGATGATGAACGAGAAGTCGTCGGTCGCTTCAACAAAAGTGGAAGTGAAGTTGAGGGCATTGCCTGGGGATGATCCATTATCAACAACGGAGGGAGTAACCTCAAATGGAGTGCGCTTTTGGTTGTGAATATCTTTGAAGAAGGAAGCATGTGTAAACATATTGTTGCCTGGATTATGGCTAGAATCCAGCGTAGAGCCACCATAAGTGGAAACTCTGCCTTTATATACTAGTTTGTGATCTTTAGTGGAGAAAGCCATGGTTTTCGATGAAAACCATGAGGGGTACCTCATGCTTTTTGGTCGATTTTTAGCCATGTTTTTTTTGGTCCCAAAAAAGTTGAGCAAAGGTGTCAGGAAGTTACTCCTACTCGAGTACAATTGTTTGGTGTCATTTCGGCAGCTCAGAAAAGTCTACATGTCAAGGTATGATGACCTGAAAACTGTCCAATTTGGTTGTATTTTTGCTCTATGGCTTTTATTTACGCGGCATGAATCATATCTTTGGCAGCTGGAAACTTCTGGAAGGGCAGTTCTGTAGTCTGTGCAACTTCTAATTCGAATAGGAGGCATATTGATTTTGGTAAAGCTGATTCATGCAAATTTTGATGCGCTATGTTGCTGGTAAGCTGATTAACGATGGAAATGAAACCCCGAATTTGTTGCTTGAATACTATGGTTTTGCACCTTCGCTTCGCTACGGTAAAATCCTTATTAAGATTAATATTACCAAATGTTGAGTTAGGTGCTTAGTTGCCATGGTTTTGCACATTCGCCTTGCTATAGTAAAACCATCTTATAGGTCAATGTTACCAAATGTTGAATTAGATGCGTTATGTTCTTGGTGGATGGGCTTAGCACTTCCCCCAAAACCCCTTCCCCAATGCCGGCTTCGCCGGTGGTTTATTCATCTTGTACGGTATTCAATTCTTTAGTTTGTCTACTTTCTTGAATGTTTTACAGTGTATATGATGATTAAAACCTTGAGTGGTTGTTGAACTGACATTTGAGATGCATGTGATGTCCTAGACTACCGAAATTTTCAGCCACTGAAATCCAATGGTAAATGAGATTCACTTCTAATTGAGGTCTGATGATTCAATGTTAAAATGTAATTTACAGATCTCTCCTAGTAAGGAAAACGCCCTACTCCCTAGAATCCCAGCGTATGTTTTGGATGTAGATTAACAAACATTGAATCGCTTTCAACATGAAACATATATTCATAATCAATAACCTTATCGTACAGAAATCTCTGGCTAGACGTCGGCTGTATAGGCCATCGGCTTTTGTTTGGAAGTTGATAGATATTATGCATTGCGGTCATAAGTGAGGTTGAATGCTGATCATAATACTGTCAAATGCTGTGAAGAAAGTGGATAGCAGAGACAGTGATAGCACTAGGATACCTATAAGCCGAAAATTGTGGCGCTGTTTGCGCATAAAATTGGAGGTAAAGAGACATTTTTAAATATATTTGAAACGATACAACAAATGCAGTTTTATTCAGCATAAGATCGCTATATACCAATTTCAAGAAATACTCGAAAAACATTGCATATGTCAAGCAACAAGACCCAAGCTGGCAGAAGATCCTCAATGATTTAATAGAATAGGGCTCCATTTCCAATCGAGGCAAGATCCATAATTAAAGCAATACAGAGTCGCATATCTGGAAACACTAAATCTTGGAGTGTATTGTGGTATGCTTGACAATAGCTAGAAAAAACATGACAAGAATAAAATGTTATTAATTCGAAATTTAAAACATAGTGTATTAATAGAAATAATACTTTCTTGAGCTTCAGGATAGACTATATGCGCAACAACGCAATATAGCTGCTTCGGGTGGCCCAGTGCCAACTTGGAAGACCCTCAGCCTACAGAAAGATGTTGACAACCTATACCAGAGATGGCGCTCCAGAGAGGATTAGAGTCAGCGAAATTACGCCCATCTTTCCATGACAATGTAGCAAGGAAACCCTTGAATGCCATGACTACGTAAAGACATAGATGCAGTGCTACGTTGCGTATGAGATCCAGAGCCAAGAAAGAAAAGATAAAAATGCGAACAATCTAAACGATTGAAGGCGCTGACGCAGTATAGCTGCTTCGGGTGGCCCAGTGCCAACTTGGAAGACCCTCAGCCTACAGAAAGATGTTGACAACCTATACCAGAGATGGCGCTCCAGAGAGGATTAGAGTCAGCGAAATTACGCCCATCTTTCCATGACAATGTAGCAAGGAAACCCTTGAATGCCATGACTACGTAAAGACATAGATGCAGTGCTACGTTGCGTATGAGATCCAGAGCCAAGAAAGAAAAGATAAAAATGCGAACAATCTAAACGATTGAAGGCGCTGACGCAGTATAGCTGCTTCGGGTGGCCCAGTGCCAACTTGGAAGACCTTCAGCCTACAGAAAGATGTTGACAACCTACACCAGAGATGGCGCTCCAGAGAGGATTAGAGTCAGCGAAATTACGCCCATCTTTCCATGACAATATAGCAAGGAAACCCTTGAATGCCATGACTACGTAAAGACATAGATGCAGTGCTACGCAAAGAAAATGTGAACAATCCAAAATGTTTCTGTATTTTCAGCTCTATAATAAGAAATGAGTAGTCAGCGTCAGCACCTTGATGACATCATCACCTGGAGAATATGTAATATTTCTGACTGAAACCTGAATTCTCTGCTTTCAGTCATTTAATCAATTAATTGATAATAATGCTTGAAAACCAGGATCGCTTGAGTTGCCGCCAGTACCTTATTCAACACAGCTGCAGATTTGACTTGATTGATTTTTACGTGTATTTCGACTTTTACTCAAGAGAGACTGCAGAAAGGGCGTTCAAAGGAGCGTTACTCAGTGTTAAGCGCGCGTCAAATAAAGACCGCCAGTTGAAGGCACTAGTGGACAGATTCGAACAGGACGATTACAAGGTACACGACTTCTCACTGCATCCGTGGTTTTGAAATTAAACATTATCCTCTACTCCATAGGCGCTTGACAATGAAGACATCAACAGATATTGGGGAAAAAAGAATGCTCAGAATATGACCCTTCAAGCTGCATATGTTCAAAAACAACTCCAGTCAAGTGTTAATATTGAAATTGATGAGTATCTTTTGAAAAGGAATCCAAAAAGGTAAGTTGGAGTCTTCTTGATGTCAGGGTGGCCTGTTAATCTAGAGGGATAGATGGTCAACCGGCAGTAAAGAAAAAGAAGAAATCTTCTCAGGTATTTTTGACTTATAATCAAGGAATCTTGTGCCAACTCTTACTATTAAATGAAGAAGAGGAGTTGGATGAGGAGTACTTAGATAATGAAAGCCTTTTAGGCCAATACTCTACAGACGATGACAGTGCAGCCAAAGCAAACGTCTCAGAAAACGAACCTACCGATGAAAACAGTACAGCCAAAGCAATCGCCTCAGAAAACGAATCTACAGATGATGAATATCAAACCAGAGAAAGCACTCCAAGCACAGATGCTACCCAAGATGTCGTGGTGATCAAACCTCGTGTTATGTTCAAGGATTACCTGGTGTCTACAAACGCAAGCGATTTGGTAGATCTACAAACGGTGCAGAGAAAATGGATTTTGAAGAGTGGCTACAACCTTTCAGCAGAGTTCCTAAAAAGACGAAATGAATTGGTCGAAAAATGTGCTGACTGCAGTATCTCATTGAAAACAGACGAAGAGCTCTCAATAAATGGTATCATTCTGTTGGACGACGACATTGACTCAAACATGATTCCGTTTGTCCAATATGAAGAAGCCTGCAGCGAGATGAAAGCCAATTATCAAAAATACAGCGCACAATCTGCCAACATTTATTCTGACGAGATATTTCTCTTTACAAAGGTACATTTTATAAATAAAAGGGTTGCGAGTTGACGAACTGATGTTTCACATAGCTCATGGTGCAAGGCGACTTTGATCAAGCAGAAAGTATACTCGATGCATTGAGCCTACCAAACTACATCAAAACAATCTTATACGCAATGTAAGCATGAAGACTTTCTGAGTGATTACTATTGTAAGTAAATTGTATCGTCTATTCAGGAAGCAAACATACTGCAAAGGCTACAGCATTGAAAACGTCAACGAGAACACCGCCATGAAAGATGGGATCTTTCCATTTTTAGAGAACTACTTTCCTAATAGCAAGCGATACACAACCTTTGGAGCAGACAAACATATTCAAGAATCAAAGAAGCGTTTTACTGATATGGACCCTTCTCTTACTGACAATGTTCGCAAGGGAGACTTTTCCATCGTTTCCAATCGTAGCAAGCATCTTATCTTCGCGTTAGAGTCAAAGTCGGAACGCAACAAAGGTCGATCAACAGGTGATTTGCTGAAAATGGCTAGATACATGAAGGATACGTTGGATGCCATCTCAAATGAAGGTTTTGCTGATGTCGCACTCGCTGGTATGGTGACAAGTGGTGTAAGTTGCTCACTATATATCATGGAACGCCGATGGGATTATGTATATACTCTTTACAAGCAAGGCTGTTTTTGTGTTCCGGTTGACTATCATGACATGTATAGAATCAATGGCATTTTTCCTTTAATGGATCAGCTCAAAAGCGCCCTGCAACAAACCATCGATGAGCTCTGCACACTGGAACATGACAGAAGCCATCCGACGCAGTTGAAGAGGCTCAAGACTTACCACACACCCGTCCAGCTGTCCAATACAAGGGTGAAAAAAGTCAACTTGAATACGCCTGCTGCACAAAGAGCGAAAAGAAAATTGCATTTTAGGGTTCCTCTCCAAAATGAAGCAAACCTCTGAAGCTTATTTGTCTGTTACCGTTGTCTCTACTGTCATTACTCTTTCACTTCAATTAATTTTCAACGTCAAACTACCAAGGATGCTGGCTTGAACTTCTGTTTAAATATCCTCCGTATTACCAACGAGCTTATTGCCGCTACCATTGCTTATGAATTTAAATCAATAACAAGATGTGTATCTTTGATAATGTTGGTGAACGCGCTAAGCACACCTTGTCCTATGCTGTGAAAAGCACCGTTGAAATTGACTTTCTCTTTGAAGATACTGATTTTTATATTCCTGCCACTTGTGCTCAAGTCAAAGAGCTGAACCAGGATCTTTCCCATGATGTCAATATTGGTAAGGGCTCCGTTCACGATATCGTACTCGTTGATGGTTCTACTCATATTCCCAAGGTCCAAGTGATGTTTCTTGACTTCTTCAGTGTCAAGGAGCCAGCAAGTTTACCGACTGTGACGAGACAGTTGCCACTGGTACCACTGTCCAATCTGTCATCTCCACTGGTGACAAATTTGGAAAGGTCAAAGGTGCTTACTGTTTGCATCAAGTGGTTGAATGATTCACAAGCCAATGATGGCGGTAAATAGTACCTCATGAGAGGGAAACCAAGAAGTAGGCATCTATAATCCTCCTTTCAAGTTTATTTTAGTAACCCTTTCTTTCATCTAGTTCAGTTTCTTGATTGCAAAAATGAAATTTTACAGAATTTCATGCTTTCCATACTTTTATAGCGTAATCATCTGGATAAACATTGCGAATGGCTTCCATGATATGATATACATCGCAACTGCTTATCGTCCTAGTGATCCCATAATTTGATGTAATGTGAAGCTGATCTATGACCTGTGCCGACGCATAGATCGAAACTCTTCATTTTTTGGAGATTCCTGTTCCTATAGAGTGCTATAATGCATCGAGTGGAGAAAATTCAAAGTCGCTTAGTCTCAGATGTACATGTAAAGACCCAAAAGATGAAGATGGCGAGCCATTTTAGCGGTACTTATTCAACATTTTTACCATTTCAGCTAGAAATGCTCATTAGAGATTTCTGACAAATACATTGGGCATTTGCGGTGAAATGGCTTGATGTCTCGTTAGTACGGCAGTTGGTGATTTTCGTGCTAAAGTTCTAAATTATGATTCAAGACATAGGGTCGAGAGCCACCAGTGCGCCTGAACCATAACGCCGACCCCATCCATCAAAGGGCAGCATGTGTCATATGTAACGCAGCATTCGCGCCTATTCAATTCAAAATTTGTCTTGATTCTTGCGTCTTTTTTTTTTTTTTTTTTTTTTTTTTCTTTACTTTCATTTCATCTCTTTGCTCTCACTACACAAGAATGACTTTAGCAAGCATTAGCAACGAAAGTGGAGAAACCATCATTGGTCATCTTGTAGAAAGGTCCAATGATAAAATCATCCTCATTGTTCATGGCGAACAGGGCAAGTATCCATACAGTTTGACGATATCTCAGCGGTTGATATACATCTTTTCGCTGACAAATGATATATCCACAGGACACAAAGATGGTCTCTATCAGACTGCTTTGGCAGAGAGATTGCCATTCTCTTCATTTCGCTTCGATCTAAGCGGCCATGGAGAGAGCGAGGGAGAATTCAATTTCGGTCATATCGCTGTAAGATGGGACACAAACACAACAGCACATGAGATGCATTATTGATGATATTGTAGAAACACACAGCCGACATTCATGCTGTCGCTCGCCATTTTGAAAATCTTGGATACGAGATATTTGCTATCATCGCTTATGGAAGGGGATCTTTGAGTGGACTGAAATATGCAACTACTTGTGATAAACCTTTGGCTCATTATATCAACATTGCAGCACCCTTTGAAAACAAGGAGATTGACGTTTCAGAGGTAAATGCAGACACTAAGGTATTACACACTGTATACTGAGTAAAAATAACAGGAAGACAAGGTGTATAAAAAGGGAGAATTGGTTTCAATCAAGATCAACAAGAGTGATATCGAGCGCTTTCATGAATGGGATAATTCACACGGTATTTCATATTACTACAACTTAAATGTTATATCCTATTACTCATTGCTTGTGCAATAGTGGTTCGTATGCCCAAAACAACCTGTGTTCATACAATCCATGGCATTCAAGATGAGGTATACACTGACAAAGCACAAGCATAGATAGAAACACTCACGGTTCACATGTAGATTGTGCCTGCATCGCATGCTGCCATGTATGCCAACAAAATCTCCAATCACACCTTGACGTTAGTGCCTGATGCAGATCACCAATTCACCAATCACCATGACTTCTTGATCGACACCATCATTGATCATTTCGACACACATACCAAAGATGCCTATCAAAAGGCCCTACTGATGGGACAGCATGTCAGTGTATGTATTCCTCGTTGGATCGATATTCCCGGTGTCAAGAATTTCAGAGATATTGGCGGCTGGCCACTCAAGGACGGCAGTGGATACATCCGAGAGAGAATTGTATTCAGATGCGGGCATCTTGTAGATATCACACAAAAGGGCATAGAAACACTCAATAGATTAAACGTGATTGCAGCCTTTGATTTTCGATCTGATCCCGAGATAGAGAGACAAGGGGTCATGCCTCAGGTCAATGGATTGACTCGTTACCCATCTGCCATGTTTACAGAGGCAGATTATTCTCCTGCTGCATTGGCTATTCGTTGGAAGGGTTATTTTGAAGGAGCCACTGGTTTCCCTAAAGTGTATGCAGTCATCTTGAAAAAGGGAGCTCCTCAGTATCGTAAAATTTTCCTTCATCTCATCGAAAATCATTCTATTACATCTACAAAGTCGATTATCGTGCATTGTACAGCTGGTAAAGATAGAACTGGTATCTTTGGTATGCTACTGTTGGGTCTGTGTGGTGTGGATGATGAAGTGATTGCGAATGAATATGCTCTGAGTAATCTAGGCTATTGGGGTAAGTTGCGGTCCTTGTCCAGCATGCTTCATGCTAACTGTTGTTGAACAGAACCCGAGCATGAGTTGCAAAAGAAGGCCGACATGCTCAATGTCACTATCAAGGATATGCGTATGGTGATGTCTGCACCGTAAGTAGATGTTTACAGCCGTCGGATAAAATTTCGACTCACACCACTGTCTTTAGCTACCTCGCCATGAAGGAAACCATCCGCCAACTCAAGGAAAAGTACGGATCCATTGAAGGCTATGTCCGTGAAGAGTGCCAATTGACCTCCAACGAGATTCAAAGACTGCGAGACTTGATGGTGGTGCCTATTCGCTTTGAAGAGCGTCAATTGTTTAGACCCAAGATTTAAAAAGACAAGGCTCGGGATAATAAAGCATGATCTGTCGTTGATTGTTTGTTAGTATAGACTCCCTCTCTGTCTCTTTCTTTTCTTTGCCAAAGTGTTTAAGTCAAAGATGAAAAAACTTCCGTATAGCAACAAATTACACCCTTTTTCTTTCTTCTTTTGATTTTTCCTTGCATTATCCATGGCTATAACACAACAACAACAAGTGCGGCTCAGACCACATTTGGCTTTAAGACTGCCTGAAATCGTAAATCACATACTGTCCTACCTGGTAGTTCCCTATCAATCTGACGACAGCAACAAACCAAAAGCCTATCAGCACATCCATGCTTGTTTAACCGTCAATGTGCTCTGGCATGATTGCGCTACTCGACTGATCTGGAGGCACATTACCTTTGAAGATTCTAAATCAGAGCTTGAGGCCTTTCTCAAGTTTGCGTCTGCTCTTACCAACCACTCGAAGCCATCGTTCACACAGCCCATGGATCTGTCGGCGAGCTCATTAGCTGCTGGTCTGGCTATTGCTGCACCCAAGTCCTCCTCCGTCATGTCCCTGCTCACAGACAGACGCTTGAACCTACTGAAGCCTACAAAGTCAGACAGCATGCAACGCTACATCAACCTCCAAACAAGAGCCATGGACGATCTTGACATGAACCGAGATCCCCTATTTCTGAATTACAACCACATGCCACAACAGCAGAGAAACACCAGATCCCAAACATCATACCACCGTCAACAGCAGCGGCAAACACAGCAACTGTACCAGTCAGCACTGGCACATCAGCATCAGTATAGAAACGCAGTGCGATCCATCACACTAAGAAAGATCAAGGACAAGTCTATCAACGAGCCACTGCAGCAGATAGGCCGGCACACACATAAACTAGAAAAGCTGGACATTTATATTTGCGATCATCTATCTGACAGCTCCATCTACACATTCATTACACACAACAATCAGTCATTGACCTACCTTTCCTTGGCTGGCTGCAACAAGATCACAGACGATGCTGTCCTTAGAGTAGCTCAGCACTGTCCCAAGCTAGAACACCTGGATTTGCGGGCCTGTGGTCTTATATCCGACGTATCCATTCAATCCATTGCTGAGAACTGTCCCAATCTGCATCATTTAAACGTGGGCCGTGTCCGAGATAGAGAGAAGATTACTATGCAATCCATCAATTTGATAGCACAAAAGACAAAAGTAGCCGTCTTGGGACTTGCTGGCTGCGATATGACAGACGAATGCTTGATCCTGCTAGCCAAATGTCGTGGTAAAGGACTGGAGCGCATCTCTGTAAATAACTGCCATCGTATCACCAACAAATCTATACGAGCTTATGTCGATTACTGCCCCAATCTGTCCGTGTTTGAAATGAAGGAATGCCACTGGATTGACGACTGGGCCTCTGTGGCAGAGTTGGTGCAGAGAAAGGTGCTATTGACATTATGTGATCAGCAGAATAGAGCTTGTGCTGATTGGGCTCGTCGAAGTGGGCGAATCATGGAGGTGAAAGCGCCAGTGAAATGATGACAGATACCCTTTATCTTGGATCTCATTTCAATAGAATAACGAATAAATACAATGCATATTTACTTGATCCGTGGGCCATTACTCGAGCATTGCAATGCCATTTCTTTACATAGTAGCGAGCCTTATGTTTTCATTGTCATCTGATTGGCATTTTATCCCTTTCAGCATGCCATTTTGAATCTTAATTGTCCGAGATGGTATTTCGATTCAACATTCGTTCATAATTAGATGTTGCCAATGTAGTTTTGATTGGGAGATCTGGACTGCTGATCAATACCAAATGTTGGTGTAATTTTAGACTTGGTTGCTGGGAGAGCGATGCTAGGTAGACAGGCAGAAGAGAGGGAGGAAGCCGGGCTTGCGGGAAGTGCATAGCTATTACAGTTCTTTTTCTCTTTTCTTTCTCTCTCTTTTCTCTCTTTTTTTACAGCCATCTCAGATCCCAAACCCCCCCAAACGAGACATTTGACAAGAAAAAGAAGAATCAACCATCATTCATTCTTCTTTTTTTCCTCTTGTTTCTTTTATATATTCAATTTCTCTCTCTCACTCTCTCTCTCTCTTGTAAATTTGTAAATTTGTAAATATTTCTCTATATTTTTTGAAACAAGAACAAGAAAAAAAAATGATGCCTACCAACTTGATGAACGACTCAATGTCTCCGAAGAAGAGCAGCAGTTTGCAGCAGCCTCAGGCTACAAATGCCCCTCAAGAACAGCAGGTTTGTTGCTATTCATTTATGTTGGCTGTTGGCATAGCAACTGACATAATCACATTAGCTTTCTGCCCTATTGCAGCCTGAATATGATTATGACCTTTTTAGTCATGCAGGCGCGTCCTCCCTGTTTCCCAATGATGAGGCTAGCTATGACCGTTCCAGCAGTGCTCCTCCCATTCAAGGCTTGTCCAGAGGTGCGCGTGATATGAAATCCAGCAGTACACATGGTGGCACACCCGCCTCTTCTGGTGCTCAAGCATCCTCTGCTTATGATCCTGGTCAAGCCTGGAAATTGTGGAAAAATGGAAGTTCCGATAATGGTATATATTTTAGTAGAGTTACATCAACATACAGAAAAAAAAAGAGTGCTAAATGTATTATTATAGAAATTATTCCCGGGCAAGAAACAAATGATAGCATTCGCACTCAACAGCAACGTCAATTGTATCATCAGCAACAGCCTCATCAAGGCGATTTGTTGAATCGCAAGGGAAAATTTGTCGACATCATTCAGCAGGTAAGGTTATATTGGATGTATGTGTGCAAGCAGGCCATTAAGACTTGGATTAGCAGGACTTCCCTCGCACACCTTCGCCCATGTTTGCCTTCCAAAACGACGGTGGTGTTGATTTAGACGCTGTCAATAGAATGTATGCTAACAGCAGCAGTAGTTATGACAGTTTGCTACAACAGCAACAACAGCAGCAGCATCAACAGGCCTCTGGTAGTCAACAAAATGGTGTGCCTTCTCGTATCAACGCTCTGCGATCCTCAATGTCTCCTCAATTTTCTCCTGCTCGTTCCAGCTCTACACCTCCCACGAGTCGAGGTGCTCCTGCTGCTGCTGCTGCCATCAACCCTGCTACAGGCTATTACGAAGGCGGCGCTGATGACATGTTGATGAAGCAGTTTGGCAGTTTTGGTCTTGGTGATGAAGACGATTACATTCGTTACAATGCTACTAGCAACATGCGCCAGCAGCAACAGCAACCTTCTTACCCTTATTATGGTGCCGACAGCAACCCACTTTCCAATGCTGCTCTTGATCTAGCTGGAAACGAAGAATACGAGTCTGTTTATGGCAAATGGTCCAGTGAAGATGCTGCTGCTGCCTACCATTTACGCAGCAAGCAAGGCCCACTGACTGCTCCTGCTCCTTACGATCCCACTGGATTCCCTATAGCGGATGCGCTCAGCAACAATGACAAAAAGTTGCGTGCTCTCCAATTGCAACAGCAACAAATTCTGATTAGACAACAACAGCAACAATTGCTCGCTGCTCGTCAGCAACTTTTGCTCCAACAGCAGCGCTATGGCAACGCTCACAACACCGGCCCTGGCGGCAACATGAATCAGCATCATCACGCCAACCATTCACGCGGTAGTCGTCAGCAACATCAACAAGACCACGCCTCTAGATCGCCCTCTCAGGATCTTGCTTTGAGCATTCGATCTGCTCTGTTGGAAGAATTCAGAAACTCCAAGAACAAAAAGTACGAATTGAAGGATATCGCAGGCCACATTGTAGAATTCAGCGGTGATCAGCATGGATCTCGATTCATCCAGCAAAAGTTGGAGACTGCCAACAGTGAAGAAAAGCAAATGGTCTTTGAAGAAGTGCTCCCCAACGCCCTTCAGCTGATGACAGATGTCTTTGGTAACTATGTGCTGCAAAAGTTCTTTGAACATGGCAATCAGATGCAGAAATCCATCTTGGCCAAGCAGATGGAAGGCCATGTGCTGTCATTGTCGCTGCAAATGTACGGCTGTCGTGTCGTGCAAAAGGCCCTGGAGCATGTATTGACTGAACAGCAAGCAACTTTGGTGGGCGAATTGGACGGTTGTGTGCTAAAATGCATCAAGGATCAAAATGGTAATCATGTCATCCAAAAGGCCATTGAGCGCGTCCCTGCTCAGCACATTCAGTTTATCATTGATGCGTTTCATGGACAAGTCTACAATCTGGCCACTCATCCCTATGGCTGTCGTGTTATTCAGCGCATGTTTGAGCACTGCACTGAGTCGCAAACTGGGCCTTTGTTGGATGAACTGCACCGCTGCACTAACCAGCTGGTACAAGATCAGTATGGCAACTACGTGATTCAGCATATTTTGGAGCGCGGAAGACCTGAGGATAAGGCCAAGATTGTCGAGAAGATTTTGGGACAAATTTTACCTCTGAGTAAGCACAAGTTTGCTAGCAACGTGGTCGAGAAGTGCGTCGACTATGGCAGTAAGCGTGATAGACAGCTCTTGATCGAAGAGGTGATCCAAAACCGTGCTGATGGGTGAGTTGAATCAAAGATATATATATATATATATATATATATATATGTGTGATACCTGTCCCCGAGGCACTAACACTGCTTGCAACTAGAACATATCCCCTTGTTACTATGATGAAGGATCAGTATGCCAACTACGTCGTGCAAAAGATGTTGGATGTCGTTGATGATGACCAGCGCGAGATTCTTGTCAACAAAATTAGACCTCATTTACAATCCCTCAAGAAGTATACCTATGGAAAGCATCTTATTCAGAGTAAGTGGGGAAGGAATCATTGTGAATTGTATATGATGGTATGCTGACTGTGCTCTGCTCTTTGTGTATAGAGGTTGAAAAGTTAGGCGTTACTTATGGCCTACACGATCCCAATCTTGATCAGCAACCAGCCGCCTTGGATGATGCATCAGCCGCCAATCAAGATGATAACCATCAATCAGCAGCTTTGACCTCACCACCGCAACACCTTGATGATAACAATGATAACGTAGCTTAGAGAGAGATCAGTATTATCTGGACTCCTTTTTTTTTTTTATTATTATTATCAGGCTTCTCAAACCATCCCACAGGAGTGGGTGTAAATATGTAAAAACTCCTGTATCATAAACATCCCTAAATTTTTGTAACCTTGTAGGATTTACTTTCTTTTCTTTTATTTGACCTTATTATGCTTTATCATTATTGTAATCCCCACCTCCGTTTTTTAAAATATATAAAATTGGTTTAATTCACATTTGTAGGTGATGTGAGCATTGATTTTGGCATTGAGAGCGATATCAATAGGGTTTATAATAGTTTCGTCTGCATTTACCACATACATTCATGAAAAATGAACGATTAAGGAGCTTGATTAAACTCAAATGGTTACTGGAGCGTGATTACTCAAATGCTGTCATCCATATGTTAATCATGCCATAGCAAAATGGCAACTAAAAAGTGCCATTTTTCCAGAGCCAAGTTCTCTACTATAAGCAGAGCATTCATATATACTATTAATGTTGCACTCCCAAGTTGCGTATTGAGGCAGTTGTCTCCATGGGCAATGTTTGTTGGCTTGACCATGAATCTCGATCAATGTCACGCCCTGGACTAGATTCAAATGCTGTGACGCTTATGCTCAACGGTGCCTGATTTAACAACATCAGCTTGTGCCAGCCTCTCCACTTTATTCATTTGATTACCACATTGAAAATGAACTTTTTGAAGGCCACTGGTCATTCCGTTCGCTTTGCCTCCAAGAGAGGCTTGATCAACAACTTCAAGCCTACCAATATCAACCAAAAGGCAACACGTTTCTATTCTGCAACTCATGCACAACAACAAGCACAGAAAGAAAGTAGTAACATCCCCTGGGCCATTGGTTCATTTGTAGTATTTGGTCCCATTTTGTTCAAGTTGACATCGCCTCCTCCACCAAAGAAGAAGACTGTGGATGATCATGCTCCTTCAAGTGTGCAAGCTGTTGCTCCTACTCCTGTTGTTGCTGCTCCTGCCAATGAAGAAGAGGAAGAGGAACAAGTTGCCACTCCTGTCAAAAAGGCCCAAAAGCCCTATGTTCTTGTAGGTGCTGGTACTGCTTCATTTGCTGCTGCTCAAGCTATCAAGGAGAAGGATCCCGAAGCCAATGTAAGTTACTCACGCATTTATCAGAAAGAGCGAGATGTTAAATGCTCCACTAGGTGATCATCATTGGTGAAGAGGAATACGCACCTTATATGAGGTAAGTACCTAGTCAATCATAGATTGCCAGTTTATCTGAACCTTCACAGACCTCCTTTGTCCAAGGAACTATGGTTCTCTGAAGATCCCGAGGTTGGAAAGACATTGGTTTTCAAGGATGTAAGTAGTCAAGTGCATATTGGAAGCTACCACATCTAACCATGCCTATGAAACAGTGGTCAGGAACCGAGAGAAAGTAAGCGGGTTGACTGAGCATACATAAATGCAGCGATTAACATGTTTGACAGCACCATTTACAAGGATGTTTCAGAATACGAGTTGATCAAGGACGCTTCTGGATCTGATATCGAGACCAACAAGATCAAGCTATTACTCAACAAATCCGTCTCCAAGTTGAACGTTGAAGATCACACTGTTACCTTGAATGATGGTAGCGTTATTTACTACAACAAGGTGTTGCTTGCTACTGGTGGTCAGCCCAAGCAACTGCCTGCTACCGCAAGTGATGATAAGAATGTCACCACTTTCCGCAACATCCGTGATTTCCAAAAGTTGGATAAGATTGCCAAGAATGGTGCCCATATCGCTGTTGTAGGTGGTGGCTTCCTTGGTTCTGAACTCGCTGTTGCCCTTGCTCATCGCTGTAAGTCTTTTATCGGGTGATTTGGAATGATATTTGACATTTTATGAATGCAATATAGCTGGCAAGGAGAATTTGAAGGTGACACAAATTTTCCCTGAAGGTATATAATGCCACTTGGCTTTGTCAGGTTGTATACTGTAGCTAATTCATCTATTTAGATGGTAATATGGCCAACGTTTTCCCTGGATACTTGACCAAATGGACCACTAGCCGTGTTCGCAAATGTAAGTTAAAAAAAATGATGGAAAAGAGACTATAATTAACCATTTTGTGGTAGTGGGCGTTGATGTCAAGGAAAACAGTACTGTCAAGGCTGTATCAACCGACAAGGAATCCGGCAAAACCAGTATTGAATTGAAGGATGGCAGCTCTGTCACTGTTGACCACGTCATTGTCGCCATTGGTATCGAACCTCGCATTGATTTGGCCCGTGAGGCAGGATTAGAAATTGACGAAAAGCGCTCTGGTGTGGTTGTCAATGCTGAACTCGAAGCTCGTAGCGATGTTTACGCTGCTGGTGACATGGTGTCTTTCCATGACGTTCAGTTAGGTCGCCGTCGAATTGAACATCATGATCATGCTGTTTTGAGTGGTCGTCATGCTGGTGAGAACATGGTTGGTAGCAACCGTGCTTATAACCATCAATCCATGTTCTGGTCCGATTTGGGTCCTGAGATTGGCTACGAAGCTGTTGGTTTGATTGATTCTCAATTGTCTACTGTCAGTGTGTGGGCTAAGGCAACTGCTCAAGATACACCTGCTGCTGCTGCCGCTTCTGAAGCCGACAGTCCTCGTAGCGCTCCTACAGAAACTGCCACTGGTGGTGTAGCTGAAGCTGTCAAGGCCAAAGAAAATAACCCCTTCAAAGATGAAAAGTTCGGTAAGGGTCTTGTTTTCTATGTTCGTGACCAAAAAGTAGTAGGTCTCGTCTTGTTTAATGTTTTTGGTAAGGTTCAAGAGGCCAGAGATGTTATTAACGGTGGCTACACTTCTGATAAGATCGATGGTCTCGTCAAGCAATTTGACATTTACTCTAAGGACCATTAGATTTTCTGCCCTTTCTTTCTTGTAACCTATTTAAACTTGCACTTTATGAACTAATAAAATCAAAAAGCACTCTGTAATCTTAAAAATGATGATGGTATAAGAGCAGAAAGGGATACACTTCTATGCGGTATGATTTATTTTATCAGCATTGTCAGTGTAAATGCTAAACTCGGGTAGAAACTGCAATTCAAGGTCGATCCGTCCTGCTTGCTTTTTGTGCTTAGGGCAACCAATGCAACAAGATATAAAGGGTACATTTTACTACTATTGGTAATTCTTGTTATAATTTACAACATCAGGTCAAACTGCATTAGAACAAATTTGGTTGTGGCTCGCTATGTGTTTTTCGTTAATTGAATATGCATTGTTTCTCGTCAATGCATTAATTGCCTTATTGATAAAATTGCAATGATATGTCAATCTTACAGCGTATCGGTGAGTTGCATTGCAATTTGCTGCATTGCTATTAACCAGCTGTTCCCCCTTTTTGTTAAAAAGCCAAACACATGTTTAATCTTTTGCCAAACCACAACCAAACATTTTATCTATCAGTTTACCACTCGTAATTGCTTGCAATAATTATCAGGTTCTTATATAAAGTTCAGTACTGACCGAAATTGCCTTATATCCAAAGAAAAAATAACTTCTGTTTCTTAACATTAACCCCATCTGGTCTAAAATCCATCTACACTAATGTGTTTCTCGCTAAATCCATATAGGAACACGTTGCTCTCTGAGAAAACTCCAATTGATTGTTCAAAACACCAATTATATGGCCTTACTATCATGAACCGTTGGACAGTCTTCCTGACTAAAGTTCGTAAAATAAAAGGCTTTGAGGACAATCATAAAGGGAACGTATATCTGGTACTTAAAACTAGCACATTATAATGGATATTACGTAGAGCTATTGTATGGTCTCTGTTTTGTGCAAATCCAGTCAGTATTTGTCGAGATACGGTCAAAAAAGGGTATCGTGCAAAACCATGGATTTTTTACCGAAATCTGCCTGTGATGGCAAGGGAAAAATCTGGTGACGATTTTTTGGTCAGGACAAGATTGTCAATATTTCATGATAGAGTTATGCCAGAGCTTCAACGAGTAGCTCATTCGATAGGAAATGTTTTGGTCTACAATGTTTAGTAATGCTTAACAAAATGTTTTGATGACAAATACTGATTAATCTTTAGAAAACTGTCAAAAAACCGCAAAAACAATCGTATCAAATACCAGGTGAACAATGTACATCAGAGACTTGAAACAAACACCATTGTATTCTCCTTTAAATTCTCTACAAGTTTCATATAAGTTTGAAGGGGTGTTTACTATCAAGAAACGCGTAATGTTACGGCCGATAGATTTTGGAATCCTATGGATCCTCATTTAGAATATTGGAAACTGAAGCTCCGTTGATCTTCCGCATGTGTACACCACACAAGTGTGCATTTGGCCAAGCATTTTAAAAATCGGGGCGTACGAAAAGGGCCATCTTAACTTGCTGGTTTCAAGTTATCAATAGATACTTGACATGAAGAATTTTTTTGTCAAGACTAGACAGTTATTGCTTGTGTGGAATTTGAGGCTTTATAGACTAAAATTCACAGAAAAAAAGAATAAAAAACAATGGAGTCAACTTGATAAAGGTATGTTTTATTATCAAACTGACAGGTGTAAAGTAAACTGAAGTAACTTTACTGGCCAGGTAGATGATCCTTCTTATATACTATAACAATGGATAAAAGTTCTGTTAATTAGTTTGACAAATAAGTCAACTCAGATCAACTAATGTCTAATCATGCTAAAAGACAACTCCAGCAAGCTAATCATGATTTAGCTCTGTCTGGATGAATAATTAGACTCTCATCCAAAGTACCCTAATCTATCCTTTCTATAAGGATAATTAACATCGATCTAGTAGCATGTATACGACGATAGGTACAGTCTCATTAGTCTATATCAATAGTACATATCCGAGTGTATATCGCTGAGCATACATCTTTAGCATGTATCTAGATATATGACATGTCTATAGCATATCGTATGCACGTCTGTAGCATGTCTCATATATAGTACAAGTCTGTACTACATAAAGTATCTGCAGCTAGTATCACGGATATAAGCATGTGTTTTATAGCGTGGATCATGAAGTGCACATCTGAAGCAGCAAGCTCATATTGCATTAATCTTGGTGCCTATCCAGATATGGTAAACATCCGTAGTCAATGTCGGAATACAAGTATAAGTCTATAGTGCCATCCATGTCCGTGGTGCCATCTATAGCCTATATCTTATATAGTATGAATCTTATAGTACTAGCGTATCTGAAGTCCATATCTTCTTATAGTATAAATCGATATCGTACATCTAATCCAGTGCACATACAGTTTATATCTAAATCTGGTAACTGGATGAACTGTCGGAATGCAGATCATAGTGGATGTATTTCACAGAATGTGCACGAGTGCCTCAGGAAGTACAATAGATTCAATCTCCCTGATGTCAAGATATCGAGATCCACCTACACTACATGAAACATATCGACTTAGGTGGCCTCTCAACAAGCTATACCAACAATCCACAAGGCCCCAGTGGCCTGCTATTTATATACCATCTCAACGTAGTAGTCATTTACCAGGCATCTATCATATTTAAGCTAGTTAGATGCCCTGTAATAAAGAAGCCCTTTGTTTTCGTTTTAGATGCAGTTGACAACTGATTATTATCATCGAGTATTATTGAATTGTCAGAAATAAATTATTTATAAAAAAGAGTATGAAATCAATCAGGTAAAGAATATCATTTATTACATTGAAAATAAGAGGGTTTACATACTATTCAAATTGAGGGATTTGATGTGAGGATAAGGTATTAGATGGGTTGATTTGGGTAATAGGATTATAGGTCCAATCTATTATTATCCTGAACATGCCATGATATGGATCGTAACTGAATCCTGTTTCATGTCAAAGTTTATGATCTGATGTGACCGGTGCTTGAACTGCTTGTTTCTACGCATTTGGAGATCCGGTTTAGAAATGATACATTAATTATTACGAATTCATCACTACTCCTTATGTTTAGGTCAAATTCTGTCCAAATGTAGTCATTTTTCAACTTGAATAACTCATGCTACAAAGCGTTTTGGACGCTTGGAATAACACCAAACGAATTCTCTTGATTGCGCTTTACTTATTGATGCTTTATCACAATTTTTTTGGGCCATTGCAAATTCATGAAAAATGATGATTTTCATGAGTATTAGCAAGGGAAAATTCTTGAATATCAAACGATCGCGGTTTTCACCCCAAAAATGAAGGCCTTTCCTATGATACATATTAGATCAAATTGATCGTAAAGATGGAATGCAACGATGGAAGCTCTTTCTATGAGACTTGTATATACGAAATCTTGACATATTCACAGAAAACCTGGTTTCATACATTTGCAAATTGCTCATTATTTTTGGCCTGAAAGCGGAGTGTAATGAACATCATTTGATGCAGCTTCTTTAGTTCTGTAAAGCTATATTAGAAAGCTCGGTGTGATAACGACAGTTTTCATAGTCAAATTTAGCAAAAACGTTTAAAAGATGTCAGATCATGTCAAATTTGAACACGAAAATACCCACTGCACAATTTCAAATTAAAATTCAGCAATTATGGCTGCCACTGCAGAAAACCGAGACTAAATCCACTGGCCGTGACGTCGGATAGGGCGCCCTCTCATTTTTTCCGTTTTTGCAAAGCGCGTTTAGTATCAAACCATGATGGTCTTGGAAACTGTTTGATTGATAATAACACTCTATCTTTTGATAACACTGTCGCGCACTGTTAGAAGTACTTTATACTGCTTCGTTAGAGTGGAATATATTAGGTACCATTCAATAACAAGCAGTGGAAGGCGTAAAGTTAACATTAATTGAATTTGTTTATTAGGTTTTGATGATTCTTTTTGTCTGTTTGACGTGGGTGTTACTGCCATTACTTCTCTGCTATCCTTACTGTCTGCTTCTTTGGTGTATCATGTCTGTTGGTTGCTTCTTTAACCGTTGTACGGTCTCTAATGCCGTTCGTTCTTTAGTTATTCTATGATGCTGGTATTGCTGCTGTTGCTAGTCTGGTCTTTCCTGGTCTACTGTATTTGGTGCATGCTCGTTCTCTGGTCCATATCCGGTAATTGCGTAATATCTGGTCTATCTGTGGTGGTGATAAGTGGTAAGTAACCTCTTTGGTCTTTGTCTTCTCTCCTCTAATGCCGTTCGTTCTTTAGTTTTCCTATGGTGCTGGTATTACTGCTGCTGCTAATCTGGTCTTTCCTGGTCTACTGTATTTGGTGCATGCTCGTTCTCTGGTCTGTCTCCGGTGATTGCCTATACTCTTCTGGTCTATCTGTGGCTGTGGTAAGTGGTAAGTATCTTTTTTCTTCTGGTCGCAATGATATAAAACTTTTTAAAACGTTTATATTATTACTTCCTTTCTCGTGATAATGCATTCATCATGTTTGCCTGGTTGCGCTTTTTTCTTCTTCTTTTTTTCTTTCTTTTGTTGGTAGTGTTTCCTCTGTAGCTTTACATGAAACAACAATAGTTATTACGTTGTATTGCAAACTTATAATACCACTGTTGCTTTTGCAGTTGTGCGTATTTGTGCCATGTTGCTTTACATCTGACTATTACTACCATGCACGTTGCTCATGTATGCATTTTTATTGCAAGAACAACGAGTTGTTTTGAACATCTTTGATGTTGTATTTGTGATATGCTTATCTTTGACCCACTACAAAGTGGAGATCATTCTTTTTGCCTGCCTACTACTCTACTCCTATAGTAATATGTTCTTTTCTTCTTTCTTTTATTATTATGTTTCTTTTGAAGCATACCTTTTTTACGTTGTGTGGATGTGCCTATCCCTGAAGCTCAACAAGACATTATCCGAGGCTAAGAGGTAGATAGGCTGCCTCCACTTGGTTATCACTACTTACTTTAGTGTTAATTGAGGGTCTCAATGCCAGAATTTAAAAGCTAGGTGGTGTAAGTAAGGCATGCTCTAGCACCTGGGGGAAATTTGATGATAGCATCTGCTATACTGCTGTATAGCGGAGCTTAAAATTTTGCCTCACATCAAAACAGGGGGAAACCCTCGCAAATTTTTTTTTAGGTCAGCGGAGTTTTTACGCAATATGATTGGCTGAGAGATTGAAATACCAAAGGGTTACAGCTAGTTGATCTTCTATTGATCCGGTATATATCATGATTTTGTGTTTGTAATAAAACGGTATCCAAGTAGATACAATTTAATTATTTCATCATTCAATAGCAAGATAATGTGTAATTGCTTGATTTGGCATTCATTACACAGTTTGATGTGAGGGATATCTTCTAAAGTTATTATACGAGGAGGTTATACAGTATGGGGACTACTTTAGCACAGTGTTATTTACGTTGTTGTTACAAGATATTGTCCACATAACTTGGATCCAGACGAAATTCTCCTTTGAATGATGTTAGTCTTGAAAATGTATTTACAATCTGTATCTGAATAAGCTTACTTTTTCACATATTTTGAAAGTTTTCCAAGAAATGTGATTATTGAATCTGTACCACTTCTCGTACAGCATTACTCATGATGCAGACCCAAAAACTACCTATCATTTAAGATCTCAGTTAAAGCTGTAACATTATTAGCTCTCCTGAATGTACAATGCATAATAGGTCGTCAGCCCCAACCGAAATCATCCATCAGCAATCGAGCAAGACTAATTTTTGCTACAGTGCAGCATATAAACTTCTTATTGTGCGTTGCTCTCATTTATTCCATGCCGTAGGCTTGTTAACTAGGGTTGAGCGCCACAGGGACGCCTTTGTGCTGTGATAAGCAAAAAATGTGTTTTTGTCACCACTGTAAATTACAGTTTTGGGGGGGGGGGGTAGAAAACCCAATTCTAGCAAGGAAGCATTGTAGAAACTCAAACGACGTCTCATTTTGTAGAGCAAACACAGGAGATCAATATTAAATTCATGATGGAGAAAAAGCTTGATTGAGTTGGCAGTTGTACAGATAATAGCGTCTTTTTACATTGTTGTTGGATAGCTTTTACTACTTTGCTCAGTTAATTACTTGAAAACCAATGTAGCGACTAAACATCCCTTTATATCTTTAACAACTCCTCAAGTGGACATCTAACGGCCCTGATATAAAGTTTCTACCATCAGCATAAGGCCCGAAATAGACGCTCGCCCATTTTCGTCAAATGAGCTACATAGCTTCAAACCTTTGCCGTACCACAACGAAGCAAAATGTCACCCAACAGCTTTCAACGCACCGTTTTCAAACATCTTATCTATCCATGTATTTCTTACAATCTTTGATAATCAACAGATTCTTATATCAAGCTCATTAATCAAAAATGTCTTGTTTCCAAAATTCTCTAATTTTCAACCAACCACCTCATCCAATCTAAAATCCAATTGCACCGCCGTTTCTCTCGCAAAATTTAGATGTAGAAATATACAACTTCTACAGCTCGAATTTCAATATCAAATTTCAGAAAAAGTAAACCAGACAGAGAAAAGGCAGCGAGCAAAGGCTTTATTTTATAGTGTGCAATTACAAAATAAACAGGAGAATGAGTTATGTTGGGCCGCTTTGAAAGTATGGCGGCAAGAAGTCTTCCTGATTTGCAATGGTGTTTTGTCAGAGCTTAAATATAAATGTTTGAAGCACTCAGGCTAATCACAATCAGACTTGGCATTTCATACAGCAGATGCATAAAATACTCGCTTACATAGAATACAGTTCATAAAGAAAGTCGTGGTCATCGTCATCTGCACCGCAGTTCCTAATACTTCTTAGTAGCTTAGTACATTTCCTGTTACTCGAGATCCACAAAGCTGCTTAGCCTATTTCCTTCATAGGCATTCAAATGTTGTGTACAACGGTAGTCTATAAAAGCTTGTGGCATGTACATGATTCATTCTTTCTTTTTTCTCTTGTATACACATACAACGTCAAAAAACAAGGATGGTCAAGCCTATTTTGTCTATCAAACTAAAAGAATCGCACAGCTATTATTCCCAAGATGAGACAATTCCATGCACCGTCAGTTTTAAATCAGAGAAAGTGCTCAAAGAAGGGTTTATCCGTATCCAGTTCATAGGTCGCAGTAGCTCCTACTGCAATGGAAGTCGACAACATCTAAACAGCATCTTTTCTGTGGAGAAGGAAATCAAGATCGATGAATGGAATAATGCTGCAAATATCAAGAAAATGCATCAGGTGGACTTTACTGTAGAAGTCCCAAATGGTAAAGAGATTCCCAGTTATCGAAATGTAAGTGCTTTTAGGCAGCGATGTAAAAGAGTGTGTGGCTCACATATTGGCCTCGCAGCTGGAGGGAAGCGATGGCGGCAAGATCGAATACATGATTGAAGCAAGTTTAGAAACTCCAGGAGGATTGTTCAAAAAGTCAAATGTGCTAGCAAATCATATCATTCAGGTACCATTGATTGCCAAAGTCAACATTACCGAAAATGGATTAGAAAGACACCGAGAGAGCTCTATTCGTTGGCCCAAGATTGAAGAGAATATCAATACATGTGCGTTATCAGCGAAGATTCCTCATGAAGGATATGTTCGAGGTAAGTAGTATAGGCGGGAATCATTGGTGGAAGACGGTAGTCCTTATGCAGACTCTAGGGAAAGAGGTGCCTGTGCGTGTTGACTATCAACAACCTGAGCATTTTGAGGCCGTTCAATCCATCAAAGTTGCCTTGATTCAACAGGAGATCATTGCTTCTAGCAAAGACAAAATCCCTGAAATGACCAAACAGCTACCCGATAGAATTATCAAGACTGAGGATAAGCCAGTAACGATGGCTAAGGTCATGTACTACCCACAATTACTCACTGTGAGCAGTCTTATCATGATCACTATACCATCCAACGCTACACCTACTATTGGTGGCACCATAGCTAAAGTGATGAGAGTGGACTACAAGATTCGTGTCACGGTGCATATTAGAGGTGCAGAGAACAGCAAAGAAAAAGAGTTGAATGTGAATCTACCATTGGTGGTAGGCACAGCTGGCCAACATCCCGTCTTACTTGACAGTGGTGTAGATACAACGAGACATAATGAGACCTATACCATGTCATACAACCCATACAGCAGCCCTTACCCGCCTTTGAACATGAATGCACCGTATCCTCCCAATGGAGGCGGATTCCAAATGCCAGATCCATTCCAAATGCCTCAACAGCCATACCCTCCTGCACCATATCCACACTTCATGCTCAATCCTCAGCACATACCATTTACCGGTGCCAGCAACGCAAGTGATTATGAAGGTGGTATGCCTGTTCCCCAGTTCTCTACGTCCGAGCAGGCTCTCTCTACAGCTGCTAGTCCTGTCATCGATCAAACCAAGATTCCTGTGTATCCATCAGTCGCATTAAGTTCTCAGTTGAGCACGCTGTCAGTCTCTACCAACCCCTTTTCAGCCACTGCTCATGCTGGCAACACGCCGTATCCACTTGTTATCACAGACAAAGCGCCTACTTCCACGCCTACAAAGGCAGGCAACATGCCATTCTCTCCAACATACGAAAAAAAGACAGACACAGAGACATTGGCATCGTCATTGAGTCGAGAATCTACTCGCTCCACAGCTCATAGCAGCAGTACTGCAAGCCATTCCTTGTATCCTCCTCCCTCGCTCCTCTCTATCGACAAGCCAAATACACCAACACCGCCGCAAACACCAGCTGTCATCAATAGAAATATATCGCAGCAAAAGCCTACCTCTCGACAAATTGAAGGCGGGCCCTCTTACCATAGTGGCGTATCTGTGATTGACGATGTTTTTTATTCTTCGTCTCCACCTCAAGCAAGTCATATAGCCACCAGAATTGACCCTTTAGAGGGCACCATTGTGTTGTCGAATGTAAGCACTAAATAAGACAGATGGCTGATGTTCAAATGCCCGTTTAAACTTTTTTGTTGTGATGGTTATCCTTATTCTTTCTTTCTCCCCCTTTTTTTTTTCATATGGGTACTGATAAGATGGCGACTGCCGAGAGAAAGCCTATTAGGTACGGTATATATCAAACTGCTGCTGCTGTCATGTTTTGTCTAATGAGAATCAGAGTATGGGTTGATGGTTGTTTTGATATGATGCATTATGGACACGCCAACGCCTTGCGTCAGGTACACACTTGTTTAACGTTACCTCTTGCTAGTCTTACTTATATCTGTTTGCCTTTTAGGCTAAAGAGATGGGTGATATTCTAGTTGTTGGTGTGCACAATGATGCTGACATAGAAACGAACAAGGGAGTGCCAGTGATGAAGGAAGAGGAGAGGTGAGTAAAAGCATTCGAGTGTCATTCTATTCATGCTGATTATCTCAATGGTAGATACGCTGCTGTAGCTGCTTGCAAATGGGTAGATGAAGTTGTTCCCAACGCACCCTACAACACCACAGTGGAGATTCTAAAGGAGCACAGTATTGATTTCTGTGTGCATGGCGATGACATTACTACCATGGCTGATGGCACTGATTGCTATCAAGCTGTCAAAGACGCTGGGCTCTACAAAGAGTGCAAGCGTACAGAAGGCGTCTCTACCACAGAGCTTGTCGGTCGTATGCTACTAATGACTCGCGACCACCACAAACGCAGACCATCCACCACAGCCGAGCCCATTATTGCAACATTTGATACCCGAGAATTAGCACCTTTCAGTGCCAACGGATCCAAAGTCACCACCGTCTCTCATTTCTTGCCTACATCTCGTCGTATTGTTCAATTCAGCGAAGGCCGTGAACCCAAAGCGACCGACAAAGTCGTTTATGTGGATGGCACATTTGATCTGTTCCACGTTGGTCATATTGAATTCTTGAAACGTGCTAAAGCATTGGGCGATTTCTTGATTGTGGGTGTCCATGATGATCAGACAGTCAACGCCATCAAGGGATCCAATTATCCACTGATGAACCTACATGAGCGTGCACTGAGCGTTTTGGCGTGTCGATACGTGGATGAAGTGATTATTGGTGCACCTTACAGTGTGACAGAGGAGCTTTTGAATGGCGAGTACAAGGTAGCACTTGTGGCTCATGGTAATAGTCATCTAGAGAAGGACATGGATGGTAGAGACCCCTACGAGTTGCCAAAGAAGCTTGGTATTTACAGGGAAATTGACACTCCCAATGCTACAATTACCACTGAGGGCATAATCAATAGAATCATTGAAAATCGCAAAATGTAAGTGCTTGTGTGGAGATCGAGAAAAGACGATATCTGATTTTTTTTTTTTTTTAAATAGCTTTGAGGAAAGACAAAAAAGAAAGAATGCAAAGGCTGCATTGGAGCGTCAAAAGGAGATTGAGGAAAAGAAGATGGCTACTGAAACTGCATGAATACCCTCTGAAATAAAGCATTGATTGTATACACTCTCGAATTGAATCAATAGTATGGGATCAAAGAGAGCCTCAATCAACAGATTGGATGTACTGATAAGCCAACTTGCACTGTAAGGTAAAGCTGTAAACCCTCAGATCAGACTTGCCACTTTCATCAAGCGCCTACCCTCATATTTCCACGTCATGTTGAAGCGATGGCAACATTTAAATGAGACGGCCGAAAAAAAAAAATCAATTTACATCTTCTTTTCCATTTCACACTTTTTTTTTTAAATATGGCTGCCGACTCACAAAAGCAACCAGTCCAGCCTCGCGATGCACGTATTGTATCTCTTATCCTTCAGTCATTAGGCGTCGAGGATTACGATCCCAAAGTGGTCCATCAATTGCTTGAATTTGCACACAGTAAGCTAGTCTTGTTAGATGATTAAATGAGACATGCATACTCATACACTAGCAAACAGGGTACACATCCGACGTATTTCAGGACTCGCTCATCTATGCAGAACATGCTGGCAAATCAGACCTAGACTTGGATGATATTCAGCTGGCTATACAGGGACGCGTCAATCACTCATTTACTACACCACCACCGAAAGAGGTAATATCGCTTACAGACATTGTTCAGTGAGCCATAAGCTGACCCTCAAGGCTACTAGTTTTTACTGGAATTGGCACAAGAAAAGAACAAGCAGCCATTGCCATTGATTCCAGAGAAATACGGCATTCGATTACCAGTAGATAAGCATTGTCTGACAGGCATTAATTTCTCGATTGTACCTGATGTAAGTCTAATTGTGCAGTGGCGACACATGTATACTGAATGATTCTACAGGCACCACCACCACCAAGACCCACATTGGACAAATCCAGCTCAATGCTGGTCGATACACAGGAAACGCCCTTAGATTTCGAACCTTCACCATCATCGGCATCACAGCCAACAGCAACAGCGACATCAACTGAGCCAGTGAAGCGTGGAAGAGATGCTATGGAGGACGATGATTATGATTTCTGATACGTCAAGACAGCAAACACACATTATTGTAAATAAACCCCTTTATTATTATACTATGACACTATTTCTTTGGGAAGAATACAGCACCTCTGCAGTTACCAGGCTGGAGGACGTCAGTGATCATGTAATCACTACGACCCTTGACGTAGAAATTGAGCGAGACATCAGTGAGAGCGCCACCACTGCAGTCAAGTTTTACGTCAGCGCCGTATTCCTTTTTGATGGCATCACGGATGGTTTCGACATTGTATGTATTTCCAGGAGAGACACCGTTCAAACTGGACACAAGTATGGATGGATTTAGCGATACAGATCAGTTGTGGGAGGAATTTGCTAAGGCAACTTACTTGAGTGCACCGAAAAGATCAAATTTGTCACGTAAATCAAGTACTTGCTGTACAAACAATCAATATAGGGACGTTATGGTGGAATTCAGGGTTAAATTACCTGGAAGTATTCAATGACATCTTGATACTTTTTGTAGGATGTACCGTAGCAAGTTGGACGCAAGGTAGAGACACACGTGCCGTGCTTTGACCATTCATGTGACCAGAACCTGGTTTCATAAAGGTTAATGAAGCTAGGAAAATTTTCTTTTGTCTAAATGTGGGGACACGTACCAGTTGTTGTCTCCCTTGTTACTAGGCCAGAAGGTGGACATTCTGTTGTAGACAGTTTCATTCATGTCCCGGACAATAGTGGCAATTTGGTTGGAGTTTCTGCTACTGTCGCAACCATCAACAGGAGCCATACGACCAGCACTGTAATGACCGAGGTGAGAATGCTTATCGATTGAGAAAGTGAATCACAACTTACCATGTGTCGGGCCATAAACCTGTTATTTGAGACATGTTGAGTGAAATGTATATATCACAAGCATTATACTACGACGAGGACTTACCGTGGATGGTGAATTCATCAGCAGGACCCCACCCAGGGCTCCACTGGAGAGCAAGAACCACCAAACCGTACTTTGGAGAGCAACAAGCATCAACAGCGCCAGACCAATGGCAAGAAACAACAGATGCATTGCAGTAATTGGGTGCGTCCAAAGCATCCGATTGATTAGCAGTGATTTGGGCACTGCTGAGTCCGAGCAGTGCAAGCAAAGGTAATATAAATTTCATGATGAGTAAGATAAAGAAGAAAGACGGAATATGAACGATAACGTTCCAAGTATTTATATTTTTGACGTTTCATGAAATTTGGAATGAAGAGTTTTTTTTTTTTTTTTTTTTTTTTTTAAACAGGTCAAACGTGTTACATACATCATGCACTGCCAATCCATTTTTTTTTCCCTGCAAAATAGAGAAACATGACATGTTTGGTAGTTTGTTGACGATTTGGCTAAAAGCTTTCAGTTTTGTACATTAAATTGGTTGCCATTGTGTGTAACTGGTTGAGCGAATGATAACCAGCAATAGCCAGCTAGTTACATGTGGAAATCATACTCCACTGCGATTGACCCATTTAGCTCAGGTTGGTTGAATCGAGATGCATATCCAACCGATCAGCGACCACAGCATAAATTTAATACTGTTTGTAAGACGTCAACCAGGTAGTATTTTACTAGCCCATCCGGTAAAAGCGATGGTTGAACGCCATCACATGGAAGATGCAAGCTGTTTGATTTGCTATACACGGAAAATCATAGCTGATATAGTACAAGATGTTGAATTTAATAGCAATTTAAATAAAAGGGAATATAGCTTAACCAGATGGTTTTTGTTGCGTTGTGTCGTACATTCGGATGATCCTTGATTGATCAGTCTCATTTTGAGCAAATGCAAAGCCTCTTGATTGCTTGAGTCTTTGGATTTTGCGCACCTTGTTGACTGCACGACGGAATCGATCCATACGAGGTCTGTAATCGGGGAAATTGTACTTTTGGATCTCTTGAATATAGTGGTAGCTTTGAGGTCGATACATACGCTTGATACTATACAGTTGAAATGGGTGAGTGAACGTCTTTTGAAGTTCATTAGCAGCATTGACTTACTATTTCCAAATGTAATCACGCAAGACACATGCCAGGGGCACAACAATGAAAAAGAGCCAAAAATTGACATTGCCAAAGAGCAATGGTACAATGCCGTAGTATTCTTGAAAGATCTCCCAGGGCAACAGAGGTCCAACATAAGCAACCAGTGGCAGAAAGATGAACCAGATCACCATAGATCCAGGAATAGCAATAAAAGTGTATTTTGTCCAAATGCTATGTAAACAAAGGTTAGCAACAAGCTTTACTCGTTCCAAAACGTATACTTACTCTGTGATCAATGCTGCTTTCCATAAAATAGTAGCCAATGTAGCAGAAAAGATGGTTGTACCCACCCACCATTGCCCACCCGAGAAGCCTGCTGTAAACACAGAGTCGTCTACAAATGCAGCCATGCCAATAAAGTACAGCAAGGCAGAGTGATACACTGCATTCACAATCCAGCCCCAAAATCTCTTTTGATTGAAGAATTCGTTCTTTTGTCCAAGAATGTACATTTGAGGGTATTTATCCAAGAGTCGTGCTGATGCAAATTGATCAAATATACCAATAGCCATTGGCGGTAAAAAGGTGAAAAACACATTGAAACAAGACATGGTCCATGACTCGTACAAAGTTTGGCCCGAGAATCCATTGAATATGGCATACTATCAAGGTATTAGTATGCTTGGAAATGTCTGTGTGCCATGATACTTACCCAAAACTGTGTCAGATACATGGCTACGTTCTTGTAAAAGTAGAAAAAAATCATCTTACTCAACCTCTGATAAGCCCAAGCACCATGCACAAGCAATAGTTTCTTCAAGAACCTGAATTGCGATATAGCGAAATCCGCACTGCGAGCAGCTTGCAAGCCTTCAACACCACTGATGCCAATGCCAACATGAGCTGCTTGGATCATGGATACATCATTGGCACCATCACCAATAGCCAAAAGAATCGACTTGGAGAACTTTTTGACGACCTTGACCACAAGGGCTTTCTGTAAAGGAGAGACACGACAGCACACAACAGCTTTGCAGCGAGTAGCCAGGTCGTAAAATGTCTTTTCCAGGTCTTTTTCCAGTGCATATGTCAGTGCTTTTCCTTCAATGATCAAGGCAAATGGCTATTGAAGACGTATATTAACGCACACTGTTTAATCTGCTATCAACTCTACTTACATCGTGCTCCATATGTTCAGATAAAGTCATGACATGTGCAAGCTTATCTTCCAAGAACGCTCTAGTAGACATGTGGTCTTGTTCGTCGCAAATAATCAAATCCATCTCCTCTGTCAACAGTTTGCAGCTGTAGCCAATATTGATAGCCGTCTCCTGCCTATCACCAGTCAGTACCCACACCTTAATGTTTGCTTCGTGCAGTGTATGAATGGTGTCTGGCACACCGTCTTGCAATTTGTCCTCAATAGCAGTGGCACCCAACAAGAACATGTCCTTTTCAATCAGTTCTGCAGCATTGTCCAATTCTTGAGCACGGTTTACTAGTGTTGTCGACGCCTTTTCGTAGATGGCAGCCCAATCCATGTATTCACTATCAGAGATATCACGCATAGCAAAGCACAGGGTACGCAAGCCTTCGCAGGCATAGCTTTCCAAGTGTGCCAATGTTGGCTCCACAAAGGGATTGTCCTTGGACAGACGCTCCAAAATCACAGTATCCGCGCCTTTACAATACAGCTTTACTCTGCCATCAGGACCACGCAACACAACCGACATGCGTTTGCGGGTTGAATTGAATTCACATACGTTCAGAATTTGGTATTCTTCTTCGAAGCCCTTGCGCAGGCAGGTGATAGAATGAGGCTTGCGTGCTGTAAATTGGTAGCCAAAGACATCGCTGGCACCATTCACTAATGCAGCCTCATCAGGTGAGGATGCTTGATAGATGATCTTGCCTAGTTCTTCATTCATCTCTGGAATTACAGTATGGCATGTCATCAAAGAGGTCAAGAACTCATTGATAACATACTGATCTGGTGAAGTCTCCAAATGCGTTTCCAATTGCTGAAAAGAGTACTGTCCATTGGGGTCGCTGTCGGATGTCGGTCGTTTGTCAGGATCTGGTACCGTTGCGTAAGATAATCCACCGATGGAGCACTGCCGGAACTCCATCTCATTGCAAGTCAACGTGCCTGTCTTGTCTGAAAATACATATTCTACTTGTCCCAATTCTTCAATTAAACTACTGCTTCTGGCCACTGCGGGAGTGTCTGTCTTTTCGTAGTAAATGTCGAGATCGTTGTCAATCATGACGGCTTGAATGTACTTGACAATCTCCATGGTAACCATCAAACTATATAGAGCTACTATTAGCGCCATATACTACTCTTGCTTGTATCCAACTTACCTGATGGGAATGAAACTGTTGAATAGAATCATAAACGTCAGAATATTCAAGCCAAACTCTTTACCAAGCTCGGCATCTGGAATCATCATGTAGTCCCTCGCATCACCATCCTTTTTCTACCAAGAGAATCAGTACAAGCAACGAGTCAATCCATGTATACTTACAGAGATGGCGTAACTACCCACCGAACACAAGATACTCATAGCAACGAGCATGGCAAATAGGTACAAGATGTTTCTATTGGTGATGCGAGTGACATTGGAGGCCTTTGTAGGCTTCTTGCTTGAATTCAGCATCAGTTTTGTCTCATGTCCTGTAAACACCACCAAACCATAGATCCAGCTTGTGTTCCTTAACTGAGCTCCTCTCAGCAACAACATGCTTGGATCCAATGGGTAGTCCTTTGATTTGCCTCCACCAATGCCATGGTTAGCTGTAGTCAGTGTACCATCGTAATTGTAAAGTCGGTTGTTGGGTTGTTCTGATTTCACAACACCTGACATGGTGGATAGCTGTGCGGGTGAAGTGTGTATCGCTGTCTCTGGTAACGCTTGCTTGATCTTGAGATTGACTTCGCCATCCAGATTACTGGTTTCAATGTAGCAAAGGCCTTCTGGTTCGGAGCTACTCAGTAATATCAGATCTGCAGGAAAGAATTGTGAATTGTCGATTCGACAAATGTCGCCTACTTGAAGATCTCGCCACGGTTTATCCACAAACTGTGATCCGTCGTATATTTTGCATTTGCGTGAGTTCAACTCTCGATCAGATTTGTGTACTCCCTACAAAAAGAGTATCATGGGTGAGTGAATTGTAAGGTTGGATACATCATGCCACAATATTACAAAGTCTTCGATAATCTCTTTGATGGCTGTGATTAACAGCACAATGATAAGTGGTACAAGTGTTGTATATTTTGATGTGGGTGAGATGTTGGGAATTTGCTGTGAATATCAAGCGTTAGTACAAATAGATCGACCTATAGCTCTTTCTCTCTCCAAAGCCTCACCTGGATGCCAGAAATGAATAAAAAGAACACATTGGCTGATTTACTAAATTCTTCATAGAGAAACTTGGGCAGAAATGTGAATAGATTGTATTTTGCTGTAGACACTGAATTTGCCATGAATTTCTGTTGACTGTTGAGCTCTTTGTTATTGATGTGGATGATACGAGGTGAGCCATCTGTCACATCTTTTCCTCGGCTGAATAGGCCCTTGATGGTGTCTTTGACGCTTTTTCGAGGTGGTTTCTTTTGTTTCTCTTTCATGGCTGAGCGACGAAAACCTTCTTGGTGCGAGTTTTCTACTCTATCTGCTGTATACACTTCTTTTCCATCCACCACCGTCTGTTGCTCCAGCATTTCAGTGGATTCATCAGCTGCATACGCATTGTTATTCATTGATGAAAATGAATAATCAGGCACAAAGTTGTTGATGTTTCTAGGCTGTGGACGAGCTTCGTGGTTGAGTAGGCCTAATCCTTCTTCGAAATCTTCTGGCATGGTCCTGCCACCGTCAGAAGAGTCTGCTTTAAACGTTGTGTGGATTAGCTTGCTTTATGGATGCGCATCTCTCTAGTCGTACCTGTATCAAAGGATCTCATCTTTTGTATAGGTGGTTTCAATTGAATATTGTCTTGGTCGTTTTCAACTTGCTGCTGCTGCTGCTGCTGTTGCTGTTGCTGTTGCTGTTGGTAGTAAAAGGGAGAAGATGAAGAAGAAGCAGATGGGTGGTTTTGGTCGGCACTCATATATATATATATATTCAGGTCGCTAATGGATGAGTTGGTAAATGCGACAAGTCGGTAACGCTTTAAGGAGGCAGCAAATTCAACAAATGGAAAGATAGAGTTGATCAAATCTCCAGCTAAGGCTAGTTTTTTGTAAGTAAAAAAAAAAAAAAAAAAAAAAAAGGAAAAAGAAGAGAAAGACAGCAATAAAGAGAAGAGTTATTAATTATGTTGCAACTGGGAATCCAGGCCCTTAAAAGAAGCATCGTCTATTAAGATATTTATAGCCTCGCTTCACCAAAACAGGGACTGAGGCTGAATGTATTCTTGATATGAATCTAAATTTGTTTGAATGGCACCAGAGGTAACAAAGATACACCATGGCTGATGCTTTTTGCTGTTCCCTGTAATACAAGCATGATATCATTTTTGTCGTTTACATTTGCATTGTGTTTGACATGAGAAAGAGACACCATCATGGATGTGAGATACCACTGACTTTCAAAGCCTAATGATCCAGACGTTTACAATTGTAATTAATGAAATGTGTCTCCAATGACAGTTTTACATTGTGGAAGCAGGTCTTTCAAATATGGAGCCAAAAATTAGTGGGACAAGAAAAGTCAAGGCCCCTGCCTCGTAAAAAAGTTGCTTGGGATGAATGGCAGCTTGATATCGTATGTATTCTCGCTTGTCAATCTACAACAAATGTGAAATCAGGTCCATGTCTTTGTTGATGCAATGATGTGGCGTCCGATGCAGGCAAAAGATACAACTGGGCCCTGAATGGCTTTGGGAAACTATATAGCACGCTCTCGAGAGAGTGCATTTGACATGTATACAGGTACTGATGAGAAGGATATTCTGTCAGATCAATAAATTTCACACAGAAAAGACCATTTCGTAGTTTGATTTAACCCATATTAGGATGGTCTGATTAAAGTGTAAATGTATTCTTGGCATTCAATTCATCAACTAGGAACTCCTCTGTTTCTACATGATTATCACAAGCGCCAGCAATATGATCAGCACAATGATAAGGCAACATATACAATAGCCAGATTTCGACTCTATCATCATAAAGCTCTCAGTAAATACCCCCCCACCACAGTTTGTGTCATAGACATACCTTCTTCCTTCTTCAAAATGTCGGTGACTCTGCGCATTGCGTTCTTTAGCTTTCCTTCTGAACGATCTACATGATCTCCCAAATCATCCAATAAACTAAATATAATTTAGTACCGAACTCTGCGTAGTATTCTTCTCCAAAAAGCTTACATAACTTGGTCATCAATCTCTCTGTTCATTGTGCCTGCAATTTCCTTCAAATTAACCAATGTGCCTCCCATCGCATCCAAATGTTGATCTTGATCTTGCATAATCATCTACTCGAGATAGCATGTTGGCATTTCTGTGATTGAATGTGATGAGCATTTACCATTTGTTGTTGCTGTTCGTTTTCAATAAATATGCTATTATCGTTTTGCCGTGCTGTTTGGTAAGAGCTACCACCATTGGGTGACTAATAACAACATGATCAACACATGCTGTATTTGCAACCCACAAGAGCTTACCTGATTATTCGATGGAGAGTATTGCTTTTTGCTAGGTGGGTTTGCTAATGTATTGCGAATCACTTGAATATTGTTACGAGAAGTGCTCAAAAATTTCTTGCGAGCATTCATATCTTTTGCTGTTAGGTTAAATTGTTGAGGATTTTGTTGTGCTGCTTGTAGAGCTTCCTCCAAGTCTTCTATATCTTGTTCAATAGCTTCTAAAGCCGAGTTCAGTTCGTCTGCTGTCCATAGTAGCTCTTGGTTTTTGGGTGAAGACACTGTTTGTTGAATACGTTTCCATGATTCGAAAAGATTGTTTGCATTAACAAGAGATTCTTCCACTTGGCTGTATTGACGATATGAGTGATAATATACATTTATATGAGTGTGTTATGTCTAAACCTTTTAACGATAAGAAAAGGGTCTTGTTCCATTTTTATATCGTAATATCTGCATAACACGCGAAAGACATGCTTCGTATACTGAATTTACAAAGTCTTTCACTGTTCTCATCAACTCCGCGTAGAATGTGTGTTGTGCTTGGTCATTCGCCGTTGGTGAATCAAGTGTGGCCCAACCATCCAGATGACTTGGTGATAGTAACAACTGTAGCATCTCTTACGAAAACAAAGACAATCGATTAATATATTAGTTTTTATTTATTATAATAACTATTTGAAACCGCATCTAAATGAAGAGGGCACTGCTTGATGGGAAATTGCACCTTGATATGCATCAGTCGCAGAGATGTTCCGCGAGCTTCTTTTACCAACACTCCACAGTATAAACTCTGATCACGGCATTACTGTTCCAGTCCAAATCAACTATGTATCCTCTTCCAGTCTTGTATGATTGAAATTGAGAAAAGAAATTAGCAACTGAAGCCCTTCAGGTTTTCTTGTGAGACAGCAAAGAGCTCACATTTTAAAGATGTGTCATGGAGTATAGTACAAAGCACGGCGATGTTTAATGAGAGATATTAGTGCGTTCAGTTGATTAAATCAGCAGGGACAGCATTCTTAATGTATCTCACGTAAAATTAGATTAGAGCGATGTGGACATGTATGCCAAAACACAGCTGAAGCAACCAAGAACCACGCACCGATATTTCAAACTTTGCGTACTATCATAATAGTAAATGTGAACCGTCTTTGGATAGCCAACGTAGTGCTGAAGTTGGGTAAATAAGCAGAGCATTTATCATCTGTATTAGTAGTATTACATCTTTATTACATACGAGTGTTTATGCTTCGAATGGCTCTCTACCTTCGCTTCGCATTGGTGAGAACCAACCTGCGCAGCGGCAACTATCGCTACCAATTGCCATTGCGTATCTTATCAAAACACTGCTACCTTCATGTTGACCCTCTACTTTCACATAGAACCCTTTATATTATCTGTGGATCTGATTCTTATGTGATGCTATATATCCAAATACATGTAGCCACTTCCTATATGGACGAGGAGTATACTAGTATTTCCCCTTTTTAGTCCATAGCTTCCCTAATACAGCAGAACCTGAGTGCACTTGAGCTGCGTTTTCTTGCGTTTAAGGCTGTTTTAGATGGTCAGAATAGTACCAAACAATTGCTCCCATCTGGTAGTTACTTCCTGACACCGTTGCTCAACTTTTTGGGGACCAAAAAAAAAATGGCCAAAAAATGGCCAAAAAGCATGAGGTACTCCTCATGGTTCTCATCAAAAATCAAACGATTGCGTTTTTGACCTTGATAATGAAGAATTTTACTATGGTATATATTAAATCAAATTGTTTCTATCGATCCAACGCAACTCCTGAAGCTATCTTTGTGGGGCCTTTATATGGAAAATCTCGACTTTTTGGCCAGAAACCTCTTTTTATATTTTCATAAATTGCTCAATAAGTTTATTCAAAATATCTACCTTACTAGGTACCATTGGATGCGTCTTGAAAAGTGCTTCGAAATTTTATTAGGAAGCAAAGGGTGATCATCACAACTAGTATAGTCGAATCTTACAAAAGAGTTCAATCGAGTCGAAAAAAGGCAAAATCTGTCCAATCTTGAACAGAAATAATGTTTTGGATTTGAATCAATTTTGGCGGCTGGTGGGGCCGGCTGGCAGACTCAATGCCCTTTCCATCATGAAGGCAATACAGTAATAGATGCTTTTGAAGCGTATGGAAAGTAGGTGGCAAATCATATATCACTATCGCTAGTTGTGCTGCTCTTCTTGAATCTATATTTAATAACGTCAGTCTATCAAAATACTTGTTAGACCAATTTCTTTCCTTTTTGAGGCTTTGAAAGTGTCTAGGGACCATAAATTTATCATGTTATGATATCACATACTGGCAACATCTCTTGACGTTAAATTATATGTATATGATTAAATTATGTACAGGCTTTAAAATACATTGGTCATAGCAATCAAAGGACAGTACAAGCTTTGAAACAAGATGCAATCAGAAAAGAGCATAATATTGAAGCTAATGACAAGACGTGTTTGTTTTTTATTAATGTGTATTTGAGTTTATGAGATCACCATACTTGATGGATTAAAATATTTCAGATTTTTGAGGCTATTTTGACTTGTATAGATAGAGGTAGCAGAGATATAAGAACGACTTGGCCTTGTATAGATGTCAGGCATTAATTGTCTTGATAATTGATTAAGAGGAAGCACAGATGAGAGTAGGGCTTGACCTTGTATAGATGTAGAGATGGTATATTTGAACAGTCTTGTCATTTTAGGAGCTTGTAGGAAGCACAGATGAGAGTAGGGCTTGACCTTGTATAGATGTAGAGATGGTATGTTTGAACAGTCTTGTCATTTTAGGAGCTTGTAGGAGGCACAGAGAACTTGGCTTGATAGCATTTGGAGAGAACAGCTTGCTTTAGATGAGATAGAACATGAGATGGCAGAGGTAACTAGATAAAGATGAGATGAGTACACAAGTACTGTGGCATGAGTGCGTAACAAACCATTTGGGCAAAGAAAATTGACCATCAATAAAAGGAACCAACACTATATAAACAGGTACCAAGGTGTAAACTTGCTTCATCCATCACAAGATCATCGACACGCTCAAGCCGCCTCCATCTCCGGATCATAGGGTTAAACCCTACTCTCGTCGGCAATAAAGCTTGTGATCATCCCGTAGCATGACCAATGGATTTGTCCTGCAGTCTACCCATGATTATGAAGCGGTGATCCTACTCAGTCCCTACAAAGTAGTTTTTCGGCACTATGTAATCAATAGGTTAGTCAACATGGCTCATACGTCCAACAAGATAATAACTTACTCGCACAGTTCACCAAGGTCTGCATGTATCAAAGATAGTGTGGCCTTTTTCTAGCATGGACCAAAAGACGTAGAGAGGACCATGGATTTGTAAGGCATTGTATGTAGCAGTAGTAGAGGCCAATAGACAGTAGAGTATTTGATTTACTTGACCATATGTAGAGAGAGAGAGAGAGCCCAAATGTCTTGTAGAGAGTTTGTATGTAAAGAGTATTTTGCTTGTTGCAGAGAGATGAGATGAAGAAGAAGAGGGAAAAGCTGTTGAAACAAATCCCTATTTATATCCTTCTCATCGACTTTCATGTGAGTCTAGTATCCTTGCCACACTCAAATTCGTTTCCTTTTACTTTTCTCCACGATATACTACTTTGAGCGCGTGAAAATAGTACCATTTTGGCGTTTGACACTTGCTCTATTTGATCCGCTTCGTCCGAGGCTTTCAACTGTTTTCTGTCTCGAGTTATGTCCATTTTGCTACTTCAAAAAGCCCTTTTTCCACCTTCACATGAAACGAGTTCCCCCATCTCTTCCTAGATGTAATTAACAGACAACTTTTTACTGGCTCATTCTCATCAAAACGTAAACAAAAAAAATGTCATTTGACTCTGAAACAAATGCAGTTGGTTGCTAGATCAAGTAATCTTTTTCTACCTCTCCTTAATTTCTCTCTCCAAAATCACACAGTGCCCGATCCATCTCTCTTGTTGTTTGTATTCGCCATGAACTCTCCATCTAATTGGGCAATACAGGATGATAAGGTTGGCTTACTTGTTGTTTACATCATCTTGGAGCCAGTGCAATTGATTCTGGATCAAGAGACAAGTGTACACCTCGGAAAGCAAGAGTATCATATGAATATTATTGCGGCAATCTCCATGGAATGGAACATAATCGATTGTTTTCGAACCAGTGCAAGTCATCTTATTTCCAACTATCATGGTTGCTGTCAATAATTTAATCAAGTGTTTGCGCTACTAGACATCATCAATATGCCCACATTTACATAGTGAGTTGGTCATTCTCGTGTATCATTCCTGCGACCTGTTTGTAGTTTTTACGCCAAGAGTATTCATCTCATAAAGAGTCAACACATTTCATGTCATTCTTTTAGGGATTGTCCTCTTTTAGAAGGTATTCGGATCATGCAAAATCAAAACAATTCATTTGCTAGGCAAAATTAAGCTTTAAAAAAAATCACATGTAAAGTAAACAAAAGGACATGAATTGAAGAGAGATAAGCAAGTAAATGGCCAATTTGTGGTCAAAGAGAGGATATTTTATTAGAAGGTATGTACATCATTAGAAAGCAAATCGCTTGAGGAATCCAATGGTACTATTTTCAGGGTTCTAAGTAAAGTACACATTGCGAAATTCATCAAACAAGGCCGTGGGATTTCCAAAAGAAGGAGGTTTCTGAATTAAACTTCACCTGCAATATCATTTTTGCCTGTGTGCTATTCTGTTGATTTGGATCATGCCACGCTCCTCCTATGTCACCAGCCTGTCCTTTTTGGGTCTCACGTTGGGTACGCTATCCATTTGAGAAGGAGTCTCGCTTTCTCGTATAATCGTTTCTGTGGGTATCATTGCCGTTATATTATAGGGCTTTGAGCAATCAAGGAGAGTCTTTTTTGCCAGCCAGAAGGAATTAAAATCTCGATCGACATTCTATCACAATTCGTTGATTTCTGATCCTTTTGCGACTTGATCGACTCATTTTACAAAATTCGACTATGAAAGTTGTAGTGATCATCCTTTACAGCCTTAAGCTATCTAGAAGACAAGTGTATGTAACAAAGTGACTTGCCATATATAATATTTAATTAAACTACTACTTATATTAATGCTTGAGATCTGACAATCTCATCACTCCGGCACAGATCTTGGTGGTGACATAGTTGGTATCAAAAAGCATTCCTTCGAATGTATGTAGGAGGTGGAATCTCCATATCATACGAATGGTGGCAGCAAACAGGTCGAAGATTGTAATCTTGATGTCTAAGTTGTAGATGAAATATTGCTTCAGGTTCAAATTGACTATGGATTGGTATACTTACTATGGATTAGGAGCTTTGGGGTATCCCAGGAATTGTTCAAAGATGTTGGACCAAATGTCGTTTTTGTGGGGGAAGCTAACCATGAGATGTTTGGCATCTTCAGTATCATTGCAGAGGGTACATTTGTCATCTTCAACGTTCCTCAGGCGTCGAACGAAAAGAGCTGATTTACTTGGGCATTGCCTATGGATCATTCTATACCAGACATTTCTCGCGGAGTGGTGCATGTTTTGATGATAGAAGTGCTTCCACTGGACTTTGCTGATGGATTTTCGGTGAAAACCATGAGGTATCTCTCGTGGTATATTGTTGAAAAGCCAGCTCCGTAGTCCAGATAGTATATAAATGGCTCTCATGCGATAATTGAAGGCTAAACAGCGAAATCCTAGCATATATTGGTAGAATGACTGAATGTCACACTATATAAGACGCCAAAAAGCACGACCTTGATCGTGTCATTGTCACATTGCCATACTTTTCAATGATCATCTGGAATGATAGAGCAGCATTCTGCATTATAATATACGAGTGATTATGCTCCGGATAGTTCTCTACCAATTGCCCTTGCGTATCTTATCAAAATACTGCTACTTTCATTATGACTTCCCGCTTGCACTTGAAAACCCTTCACATCATTTGTGGATCTAACTTTTATGCGATGTTCCGCATCCGTATACATGTAAATACTTCATATACAGGTAAGTAGCATACAGGTATTATCCCTTCTTAGTCGACAGTGTGGCTAATACAGCAAAATCTGAGTGCATTTAAGCTGCGTTTTCTCGCTTTCAAAGCCGTTTTAGATTGTCAGAATAGTACCAAACAATTGCTCTCATCTGGCAGTTACTTATTGCCATTACTGCTCAACTTTTTGGAGACCAAAAACAAATGGCCAAAAAGCATAAGGTACCCCTTATGGTTTTCATCGAAAATCAAACGATCGCATTTTTGACCTTGATAATGAAGACTTTTACTATGGTATATCTTGAATCAAAACGTTTCCATCGATCCAAAGCAACCTCTGAAATCATCTTTGTGGGACTTTGATATGTAAAATTTCGGCATTTTGCCAGAAACCTCTTTTCATATTTTCATAAATCATTCGATAAGTTTATTCAAAACATCTATTTTACTTAGTACCATTGGATGCACCTTTAAAAGTACTCCAGGAAAGCTTAAGAAAATACAGGATGATCATTATATTCTACTTAGTTGAATCTGCAAAAATAGCTTTTTTTTAATTTTTTTTGTTTTTTTTTTGTTTATTGATTGATTCGCGTACACTGAGAGTAATAGGTCAGAGTGAAGAGGCGAGTGCAATTTAGATACAGAATTGGATAACTATAACCTAAAATATAAAGAATAAGATACTAAACTAAACTATATAAAAAAAACTATCTAATAAATGGTTTTGGATTACAGGAGGGAATGGCACTGATCTTCCGCAATGGTCTGACGAACACTGGTTCAAATACTGGCCAATATCGCTGTATGGTCCATAGGAACATTGTCATAGATGAACCTCATGTGGGCAAGCCACAGTTGACCAAGGGTGACGATGAGGATTCGGAAAGGCTTGATTCCAGCAATTTGGCAATACCAAACGTTGGAGAAATCAAGGTGCAGAAGAGCCTCTTTAATATCTAGAATCGAGGTGGTAGGCCACAGAAACTCGAAGATGACTCCCTGCCAAACTTTCTCTTTAGAAGGACAATGAAAGAGGAGGTGACTTGGGGAATCGTTCATAGACAAACAAACTGGACAGAGAGGAGACACAAAGACTTTGGGTATAATAAAATGCAAGAATCGACGGTGAGGAATTCGACCCAGAATGAGACGGTATATCACATTACGTTGGACAGTGTTAAGAGACAGGGACCAAAAAAATTTCCAGCTGGACGCAGAGATTTTGCGCAATGCCAAAGGAGAGACCACAGACGAAAGGACAGCCCGACGAAATGCCTTAGCCGAGGCCTGAACATTACCAAGAGGTAGATCATCAAGGAGACGAAACTGCTCAATCAAAGGAGCAAATGAGACGACTGAATCCTCTAAAGGAGCTGGGCTACAGACTGGCTCGAAGTAAGGTTGAAGCTGTAATTTCCCTGTCGCTAGGCCTTTGAACACTTTGGAGGGAGTTCTTTTCCAGGTGAGCAGAGAGGGGTCGCAAGTATCCTTCCAATGGACGAAATTGAGCCGGGAATCATACTGAAAAACGTCGGCCACCATCATTTCTTTGACACAAAGAGGAAGCACGAAGCTGGAGGAGGGAGGGACAAACACTGCAGCCTGCAGTGGCAACGCCATAGCAGTAGCTGTATTAATGCGGGCAGAGCCAAAAGAACGAGGGAGATAATCAACAGCACGATATATCATATCCACAGTGCCAGTTCGTTGTTTCAGTAACCATTGAGAACGAGACGAGGGAAAAAGCAAAGGGATTTGGTGAAATTGGCAGTTGTTAACATTTCGAATGTGATAGCTGAGAAGAGATGACACAGGATGGGCATCAATGGTGGCAAAAATAGCTTAATCGAATCCAAAATTATCAAGATTTGTCCAATCTGGAACAGACTATGATTCTGGGCTTGAATTGATTTTGGCTTGTGGGGCCAGCTGGCAAACTCAACGCCCTTTTCATACTGCATTACAGTAGTAAATGCTCTTGAAGCGTATGAAAAGTAGGTGGCAGGCCATAAAGCTATCGTTTATAATAATATTTTATTGCATTCTATATCGTTCATAATGACATCGTCTTGCATTCTATATTTAATAACGTTAGTCTGGACATTGACGATTCATGGGCTGCGTAAGATGTCTGCAATAAGTAGTGAAATCTCTAAGGCTCCAAAACGTCGTTGAAAGAGAACGTTGACAGCATTGAGCAGAGGAAAGAGGGTAGAACTAACAGTGGTTTTTGTTGGTTGATTGTAAAATCATTATTCTCATATGAGCCAGGCCTGACAGATGCCTTGAAACTCTGGTTCCATATTAGGGTTGTAAAGTGTCTAAGGACTGAACATTTATTATTGTTGAGAGGGTGCGGTAACGGTGCTTTTAGTAAAGATTACGCTTATTCAACTATAAAGAATTTGGACACGTCAAGTAGCTATTACGATCAATACTACTTCTCTAGTGTACAAAATAAAGACTACACAGAAGAACAAAACTAAAAAGGGGATTTTCTTAACTGTGTTTATTGATATGACATACGACTGATATTTATATATAACGGCTTTGTTTACTTGCTTGCTTACTGATTTTGCTAACCTCCCAGATGTAGTCTCGATGCGGACATCACCGCTCACAACATTATGTTATGATATTAAGTCAAAATGTTTCTCTCAACCCAAAGCAACTTTTGAAACCATTTTTATGAGGTCTTTATATGCAAAGTTTCGACATTTTGGCCAAAAACTTTATTTTATATTTTTCTATAATTGTTCAAAAAGTTTAGTCAAAACATCTATTTTACTTGGCACCATCGGAAGCGCCTTGAAAAGTACTTCGAGAATATATTAGGAGGCGTAGGGTGATCATTACAGTTTACATAGTCGAATATCATAGAATGGATTAAAGAAGTCGTAAAAAGACGATATTTGTCCAATCTTGAACAGAAAAAAAAGCTGGGCTTTAATTGATTTTGGCGGTGGTATTGCTGTTGGCTGATATAAATGCCTTTCTGTTGATAGCAATGATGATTGCGATACTGATTAATTGGGGATCATGAATTTGAAAGAACAATCGATTAGCTTGAAATATTTTTTTATTTGGTTTTATTGCGAGTTTTCCCTTATATTGATGTCTTTTGCAATGATAATCTCTCAGAAAAAAAATCGTTGTAGATCTCATAAAGGTCCTGTGTTTACACAAGGCCAGCTCTGTGTCGCCATCTCAAGAGCAGCATCCGCCAATGGTATCACAGTTCTGCCTCCAGAAAATGCAACTCGGAGGGAGGATGGAGTGAACCAGAAGCCTTATAATAGCTTGATCATGGAAGTAACACCCAAAAATTGGATAGCCTACGGCGAGAATATTCAAGGCAACTTTGATCAAAATACAGATGTCGTGGAACAAGAAGATGATGGCGAAGAGTTGAAATCAAGCAGCAGCGCAACAATGACTCCTTTCATTGACAACAATGCCTCATCTCCCATCCTTGACCGTACTATGGGCGATGCAATGCCAATTACACCTTGGACCAATGGAACTAGCAACATCACTGACTTGTTTCAACAATACCGTCGACATATTGATACCATTGATCCCCCCTTCCTTTTGAAACATCGTTGAAAGAATTGCTGGCTGTTGCCGACATCCTCTTTCTTGCGCCTATGGATCACAGCCCCACCATGATGAAGATATTTGGCCAACGTACCTTAAACGATGTGTGCAATCAAGTGCTGGGCGAATTGATGTGGCCAAGGTTGGCAGCGTATTCACCACGAAACAATCAGTCAACTTGGACATTTTCCGACTAGGTATCACTTGCAAGCGCGCCACCGAACGGTATGATCTACCGGCTTGTTTAGCCTTTATGATAAATGGATACTCCATCTCCTTTTTTTATTGTATCCAAACGCCACGATTGTCTTTACGCCATGATGGAAATTGCCTTGCTGGACTTTGCTTCTTCATTATCTGATTTGCACGCTTTTGTTTCTCGCAAAAATCTGGATCTCCTTGCTGCGGTAAGCCATTGTTTCTGGCCGATCTGTGCAAAGGATCTACCAAATGCTGCCACCGTTACCACCGTTTGAGAAGGACTTGTTGACCTTGTCCCAATATCACATTATATGTCACTTATGGCCAAATCAAGCAAAGGAACCCTTGGTAAATTGTCTCGATATTGATTTTTATTCTCTTCGTATCCTCTCTGGCATTGCTGAAAACCCCTATTATATCTTATATTCCTATATTCTCTATTCTCCGTCTCTGTTTATGACTCCCACTTGCTGTATATCTTAAATTTAAATAAAAAAAAAAATCCATGCAAATAACATAAACATATAGTGTCTTCCAAAGCGTTTGGTAGGATTAAAGAAAAGTAGCATAAGATTGGATTCCACCATCAACAAGTGAGTATTAAGAAGTTGTTGGTGACGATCCAGTTTCATGGTTTAGCAATGTTCATGAATGAGTTATTGACATTTTTCTTAGCTTTAGTGAAGTCGTTAATGGCTTTACATGGGCTCTTTGTTTCAATATTTATCCCAACACTGGTAAGAATGCGAGACGAACCCTTTGAAATGACTTTGCTTCACACTGTTGCAGGCTTCTGTAATCCTCCTGGACAAAGTGTCTTTCTGTAAAAACCTATGGCGCTTAACCTTAACCTTTACCACTGCCCAGAATTGTTCAATTGCGTTAAGCTCAAGGAAATACGTAAGAAGATACACACATTTATATCCTCGATACTCAATATACTTTTTTACGTTTTCATTAGTATAAATGAGAGCATTATTCATAACTATATAGTAACCTTTCATATGCGGATGTCTAACCATTTCATCGAGAGCCATTTTCAAGAAACTAATTTTGTGGTCCGTTACAGTACCTGAGCTTATGTATCCATCAGCTTTTCTCTTTAGTAGCAGGCCTTGCTGACTGCAAGATACACTTGCGACCTGCAATTAACAAAAAACATTTTTATTTTTACCCTCTTTCCTCTGCTCAATGCTGTCAGCGTTTTTTTTTTTTTTTTTTTTTTTTTTTTTTTGAACGACGACCCGGAGCCTCAGAGATTTAGTCAACGGCTGCAATCAAGACAACAAAACGAACGTACTAGATCATTGAAAAGACTACGTCGTAATTGAAACCTAGATAACATATTGTTTGAAATACTAAAGAACATGGAAGTAATGGTTATTTTTTTTCCAAAGTTGATATTACTGATAACACTTGGTTTAACAAAACTGACCATCTCTTTGAGAGAAATGTTGATTGATTCAAATTCCCTACTTACTGCTACAGACATGTTATGCAGCCCATGGAGTGTCAATGTCCAGACTGACGTTACTAAATATAGAATGAAGAAAAATAGCAAGACCGGCGATAATGCTATGTCATTTTCCATCTACCTTCCATACGCTTCAAAAGTATCAATTACTGTTTTGCCTTCATCATGATGAAAAGTGCAATTGAGTTTGCCAGCTGGCCTCACCAGCTGCCAAACCTAATTTAATCCCAGACTCTTAGTCTGTCCAAGATTGGCCAAAGTTTGATGATTTTCGACTCGATTGAACTATTTTAGCAGATTCGACTGTATAAAATATGATGATCATCGTTTGCTTCTTTAAGCTTTCCTGGAGTGCTTTTTAAGGCGCATCCAATGGTACCAAGTAATATAAATGTTTTGAATAAACTTATTGAGCAATTTGTGAAGATATCAAAAGAGGTTTCTGGCCAAAAAGTCGAATTTTACATATCAAAGTCGCACAAAGATAATTTCAGGTATTGCCTTAGATCGATAGAAACATTTTGACTCAATATATGCCTTAGTAAAAGTGTTCATTTTCAAGGTGAAAAACGCAATCGTTTGATTTTCGAAGAAAACCATGAGGTACCCCTCATGCTTTTTGGTCGATTTTTGACCATGTTTTTTGGATCCTCAAAAAGTTGAGCAAAGGTGTCAGCAAGTTACTGCCAGATGAGAGCAATTGTTTGGTGCCAATTTGAAGGTTTAAAGCAGCTCCTAACGCGGGAAAACGCGACCGAAGCACGTCCAATTTTGGCTGTAGTCTGCATACTCTTGCGTAGTAAGAGGCGATGCTAGTATGCTGCTTACACAAATATGAGTTGTTTCCTTTTATACAGACGTAGAACACTCAAGAAGGGTCAAACACTCTCTTACAGGGGAGTCTATAAAGAACTCTCATGGAATGTTGAACATTTAAGTGGTGAAATTACATTAAATGCTGGTAGCATTCAAATTGCAGTTGCTAACGTTATTCCATGGCTTTTGTATGTATATGTTATTTAAAGGCCTTGTAAGAGAGCACTGGATATTTTTCTCTTATCATCCAAAAAGCATTAAACACTTGCTACATATAAAATCTGCTTTCTTTATTTTCAGGCTACATATATGTGTAAACGTTTCTATGTAGGCAGAATCATCTAGACTGAATATTGGAGAGTCATGCGGCGCTATTACTAGCATAAGGGCGGTTTGATAGTTCCTTGTGCGACATCATAAATCGAGAAGCATTTTATTGGCCTTGTAGCAACCACAGGGTAAGGATGATAATTAATTAATGTGGCTATCAAACAAGATCAGAGCTATATATACGAACGTATATTTCAAATGAGGCTTGTTTCTATGCCGAACCACTTCTTGTTGACATCTGTCCAGGCAGTCAATTGCCATAGCAACCCTGTTTTAGTGCATTGTCATACCAGATTCACTAAAAAGGAAGGTTATCTGGTGCTGTTGGTTAAACGTTTTCATCTTTCTCACTTCACTTCTTTTTCGTTGTTTCTTTTCTTCATGCCGTTAGTGATGATGATGCCAATCAAACTTACAAGAGGTACAGCATCAATTTATTGGATTGAAATTCATTGTTTGGAGGGCTAACCTCCGCCTCCTTCATTTTATAACTATCCATGTCTGTGTGCTGTATGTGCGCTTATGTTTTTATCGCATATCAGGAGTGCAAAGGAGACTAGACATACATCTCACAATGAGCTTCATTAATATACCGTCTGATTTTGTGTATACAAATCTGCGTCTTTTTAAACTGACGTTTTTCCACATTGTGAAGAAGACAAAATCAAAGCAATTTCGGACGCTATAAACCAAGATCTCCACAAAGATTGACCCCTTATAGATCGAGGACAACACAAAACTGTTTGGTAAAGGCCAACATGTCTAGTAATCAGCAATTAGGCGGAGTTCTGCGCTGTTGTCTCATAAACCAGGTAGATGATTTTAGCATGTCAGTTCGTCCTGATTGTATAGAGCACCTGCAAATTGCCATTAAAGCGTTTTCATACCTCCAACAGAAGCTTTTTGCGAATAATGCTGTTAAGATAATACACTACGAAAACACCATTATGCAGATGAAGGTAAATAGAAAGGAGGTTCATTTAGACAAAGGGAGAGGGAAAACATCAAGGTAACATAATTTTAGTTTTGTGCAACTCTCTATTTCTTTTTCTCTTTATTTGAGGAACCATCGCCTATTTGATACTTGTTCTTCTTTTCCTTTCTCTCTCTCCCACCCTTATCAATACAGCGCTTTTCTTTACCATCAGCTGATTTCTCTAACTGACACATCTCATTGCATTCTAAATTTACAAGATCACACATCCATATAGCAACACCACAGGAATTCTTGAGTTATGGCTGATCGAAAGAATGGCATGGTTCAAGCGTATGGCTATCCCAGCAACGCAGGGACTAGTCAGATAGTGTCAAGGGCTGTTGCTGCTGCTGCTGCCAATAGTCATCATTCAAGCCGAGGTAAATCAGGTCGCAATTCCAAACGATACTCGGTATCTGCATTCTACTCGATGGCAGCTGAGCAAGACAATGAAGTAGAAGATGAATTAGCACAAGGTATATTCGCAATAAATTGATATGGTAGATCATCTATTCTTAGTGAAATCAAAATTAGCTCAACGAAGTTTACGTGATTTGAAATCAAAGATCTCTGGTCAGTCGAAAAAGAATTTTGTGTTGGAGAGAGATGTGCGTTATCTGGATTCTCGAATTGCTCTGTTGATTCAAAATCGAATTGCATTGGACGAGGTAAATAGGATTCAATGTAGTGATGAAGTGTTTCTGTACTGACACTAATCGCAGCAAAATGAAATGGCTTCTCACCTGGAAGAACATGGTGTCGAGAATAGCGATTCTTTTCCCGATGATCGTCGAATGCAGTTATACGGCAACTTCTTTTTCATTCTCCAGAGCGAACCTAGACATATTGCAACACTGTGCCGACTTGTCAGTCTTTCAGAAATTGATACACTGCTGCAAACTGTCATGTTCACACTGTATGGTAATCAATACGAAAGTCGTGAAGAGCATTTGCTGTTGACCATGTTTCAGGTAAGTAACATACCTGTATTCCAGATTACCACACGTATTGATGAACTCCTGCTAGAATGTGCTGGCTGCTCAGTTTGAAACATCCACAGAATTTGGCTCATTGCTGCGTGCCAACACACCCGTCTCTCGAATGATGACAACCTACACCAGAAGAGGACCCGGTCAAGCCTATCTGAAATCAATTTTATCCGACAAGATCAGGGATTTAGTCGAGGATCAAGAACTGAATCTGGAAATTAATCCTCTCAAAGTATACGAGCAGATGGTGGCACAGATTGAAAGCGAAAAGGGCTTTTTACCAGCAGATCTACCTCGCAGTGTCACGCCAGAAGTAGCAGCAGAGAACGAAAATGTGCAAAAGATTATCCAGCCTCGCCTAGAGAAGCTCATTGAGATTGCCGAGAGTTTTTTGACCACCATCATCTCCTCCACTGCGTCTGTTCCATACGGTATTCGCTGGATCTGTAAACAAATCCGTTCGCTAACAAAACGAAAGAGTCCTGATGCATCAGAGTATTCCGTTTGCTCTATGATTGGTGGTTTTTTCTTTTTGCGGTTCATCAATCCTGCAATTGTTACCCCCAGAGCGTACATGCTGCTGGAAACTGCACCTGGCAATGCGCCTAGAAGAACACTGACTTTGGCAAGTACTTTGTTAGGAGAGAACAGATGAAGGAGAGGTGTTAATACTCTGGATAGATTGCCAAGATGCTGCAAAATTTGGCCAACAGACCTTCTTATGCCAAGGAAAGCTACATGTTGCCTACAAACCCATTTGTCGAAAAGAACAAGCAACGCATCAACAAATTCTTGAATGAGCTTTGTGAAGTCAGTGATTTCTATGAAACTTTGGAGATGGATCAGTACATGGCGCTTAGCAAGAAAGATATCGACATTAATATTACCCTCAACGAAATATACAGCACTCATACCCTCGTTCAACGCCATTTGGATATCATAGCGCCCAAAGAAAAGGATCACCTTCGCATCTTGGTCAATGATCTTGCTCCTGCTCCTGCACAAGTATCTCGAAAGGAAAACAAGACTATTGACTTACCCCTCTTCAGTCGCTGGGAGATCCCTATCCAAGGTAAGCCTAAGATAAAAAGCGCCCTAAATTGATGTCTCACAGTGGCGCCAATAGATCTCACTACGGCCCTCATGTCTGAGAACAACATTACGCAAAATGACATTCTGTATATGGAGACGAAAGCTATCTATGTTCAACTGATTCGTTCGCTTCCACATTTAGCGTCAGGTCCACTTGATCTAGACTACATAGCAGAGACAGCCGCCACGACAAAGGATGCGCAACTAGTGAGAAAAGGGATCAAAGTAAAGGACATGTTGAGAGAATTGGAAGACGCAGGCGTCATAGATCATAGAGACCATTACAAATTGCTGGTAGAGGAGATCACACAAGAACTAGCACATCTCGGTAACCTCAAGGAGAAAGTAAGACAAGAATCCGACTCATTGGAAGGTGTATACAAGACGATTCTGGACCACAACAACTACCTCAAAAGCCAACTGGAAAGCTACAAGGCGTATCTGCAGAATGTCAGAATACAAAGTGGTGGCGAGAAGACGACAAAGAATTCTGTAGGTATTGGAGTAGAGATCGAAGGAGGCAAGCCTAGAAAAGCACCCAAAGGGCCACCAAAAGGACCTTTCAAGTTTTCGCACAATCATTTGGAGAAGGATGGTGTTATCACAGAGAGCACAGTGCCCGAAAACAGACGGCCCAATATTTTCTTTTCCATTACATCACCTTTGCCTGGTACATTTATCATTGCAATGCACTTTAAGGGTCGTGATAAGCCTATTCTGGAGATGGATCTGAAGCTGGATGATTTACTTGAAAAGGTATGTGTGTTGCAGGGTTCGTCTATAAAGCAATGTGCTCATTATCGCCACAGCAACAAGATAATGTTGAGCTACTGGATCTTGAATATGTTCGACTGAATGTGACCAAAACACTCGGCCTCTTGAACAAAACATTCGTAACCAGACACAAATAAGGCTTCTTTTATATACTATACACTATTCTTATTCCCACTTCTAATTCATATTTTACTATTATTTTACTACCATCTTTACACTGTTGCCATTAAATCATTTATTCTCCTCTTGTCCCAAAGTAACGTTGCGTGCCTGATTCAACTCATGCAAAACCAACATTTCTGTGACTGGAGATATTGCGGTTCTATTGAAATGAAAGGTTTTTCTCATTTCAGATAATCAAGAACCACACCTTTTTACTATAATATACAAACAATGGCCAGCAGACCTGATCGTCGCACTGACAATACCCAACTGAGAGCATTTTCAGCCTCTCAAAACATCTTGAATAGAGCTGATGGTTCGTCCAAATTCGAATTTGGTAAGCAGGATCATAGACGACATGAAGATTGTTATTGACATGTCAGTACAACAAGGCTCCACATCAGTTATTTGCTCAGTATCAGGCCCTATGGATGTTCAGATTCGTGATGAAAAATTAGACGAAGCTACAGTAGAAGTTGTCGTTCGACCTGCAAAGGGAGTAGCTACCACCAGAGAGAAATTGTTGGAGAGCATCTTACGTACTGCATTTGAACCTGTTATTCTCGGCGGTATGCTTCCTCGTACACTAGTACAAATTGTCATTCAAATCACAAAAGACGATGGTGCTATTCTGGCTGCCTCTGTCAATGCCATTACATTGGCCTTGCTAGATGCTGGTATACCCATGAAGCACATGGCTGCTGCTATCACAGCTATGGTCGATCGCAAGACAAATGATTTGGTGTTGGATCCTACCGCCGTTGAATTGGAGAATGCCAAGTCAGTCCACACATTTGCTTTTGATAATGTCAATACAAAGCCAATGGTGTTATTGTCTGATTCAGAGGGCTTATTCAGTGAAGACGAGGTAAGTTTTAGGAAACAATATCATAGTAACAATAAGGGGTTTTTTATTTACAGATTCTTTTATAGTATTTTTCATGTCATGATCTATGTTTTGAAGCAGTGGAAAAGGTGCAAGGATTTTTAAGAGTGGCAGTGGAATCGAAAAAGGAAAAGGAATTGCAACAAACTGTTGGTCATTAGCTATCACCATATATAAATAATAAATTGGTTGTGTACATACAGTATATACGAGGGCGACATCTATCGTAAATCTACGTCTTGACATGTAAAGCAGCCTGTGCAGACACATTCACCGGTTCGGTATTTGTGTTTTCTTATGCAATTTCCTCTGTAACCAGCAATATCCATATTCCAAGAAGATCCTGGACATCGAGACATTTCAGATCCAACATCTTGAATACATTGGCAGGTGGAATCAGCAGAAGTCAAGTTTAATGTAACAGAGATCACCAGAGCGAGTATTGCGTATTGCCTAAAGAGCATCGTGAAGTTGAAAATTAGAATGAAGAAAGGATTGCAGAGGAGTAATTGTTCTGTCGCATTTTATACCTTGGAAATCATTCTTCAGTGAAGTCGCGGTCATTGTCAGTACCCTCACAGCATCTTGAACAAAGATACCTTGAAATTGAATCATCAATTAAGCTCTGATAGCCGCTTAAATGGGGGGAAATTATTTGTAATCATTCGGTATAGCAGAAACACAACATGTTGCTAATTTTAAATACTTGTTGTAACATAAACGACAATATCAGATCGGCAAGCGACTCGGTAAAGTACATATATCTTTGTCTTATCAGAGCAAAGCTCAAGTAAATTGTTCTCTTCGTAATGACATCAGTGATCTACAGTTTATATGGAAATTGCAAGCCGTCTACTACAACTAATTTCTATAGTAGCATACACCACTACTTGGATCACCAAGAGTTACAGTATATAAATAAAGATATTGAAATCAAAATTGCCAGCCCAGAGGAGTTTTACACAAGAATATTGTACATTTTTAAACCTCTGGATCAAGGTTTACAATGCGCGTCTATGATAAATTCCGTTTTATCGTATATACTGCACTTCACCTTATAAGCTTCTTATGTTACATAGCTGAATCACATAAACATTTGCTATAGCATGAGAAGCAATTTCAGGCACATTGAACCCTCTCGGAACAAATCATGAATTAAAATTTATCATGTACGCTGACAGCCTTGGCATTCCCTGATAGTATGTTATATGCAGTTCATGTACCACAGAGAATTTGGGTTCCTGCCAGCATTCAGTATATTCCAAATCTTTTGACTGGTTCATTGAATCTATATATAGAGGCTTCGTTTTATGGTGAGGAGTATGCCATCGTATCAAGATATATGAGGCATACGAAGTATAAATACATTTGATTGCTATTTTCAGGTCCCAAGACATTGGTGTTCCTGATACTTGATCAGAATAGTTTAGTAACTTGCAATTTTCATCACAGATTTATGGATGTTTCCATTGATCTGGCAGTTTCCGCTTCCTCTAGTACATTAAATATGGTTAATTGGCATAAGAAACAGTGTGTAATATATAAAAATGTCTTCAACGTCATTCAATCATTAGCGTTAAACAACTGCAGTATGTTAATTCAGAGCTTTGTATGACAGATTGTATCGTTTTTCTTATAGAACATCTCCTTTTCCTTACATAGCATCCCTTTGTTTTATCTTTTCTTCGTAAAGACATGGTTAACGGCATCCCAGTACGTTTTTTCTTTCGTCTTGGGTGGAATCTAGCGCCAACAGCTTTATTTCTCTCTCTGCGATTATGAGTGTGCTTGTGGTGTGAGTGATGATTACCGAGCCGACGGCAATGGTTGAGGTTGTATCTGTGGTTAGCTTAGATGCTTCGTAAATCATATATTTACAAGCTCTGGGAAATACTACTGCAAATCAAGCAGACTTCTTACAACCATATTTTCAAAGCGGTCCAACACGACTCATTATGTTTTATTTTGCAACCAGGCATATTAAAAAAAAAAACGTTCACTCAGCCTTTTCTCTGCCTTGTTTACTTTCACTTTTTTTTTGTTACATTCTCTAGATTTTGAAATTCGAACTGTAAAAGTAGCAGGTTTCTACAGCCAAATCTTGCGAGAGAAACGGTGGTACAATTGGGTTTTAGAGAGAATGGGTTGCCGCTGAGGAATTGGAGATTTTTGAAATTTGCAAATTTAGAGTCGATGCTATCAATAAGAGTCATTGGATTACTATACAAATGATGATTATATGTGTAGTAAAGGTTGTAGAGAGTACTTTATTCGATTAATACGAGTTAGAATTGGGCTTGTTGTGGATAATGTGGATGAGTAATGAGAAAGAAGAGTCAAGATGGACAATTTTCAAAGAGCCGTCGTAGTACCGCAGAATTTCAATGAGTGAACGTGAGGTTTAAGCTTAGTTGCTTCTGTTTCTCTTTCAATTCTCTATACGATGGTATGATTTGTATAGATTTATTCTTGAGTTTTGAAATTCCTCTGCTTGTAGCTCATAAAATATATGATTTTAAGCGAGTTCATAAACGGAAGATACACCTGGTACCTAAAATTTTAACATTATAATGGATACAACGTAAAGCTATCGAGTTGTTTTTGTTTTGTGCAATTTCAATGAGTATTTGTTGAGATATGGCCAAAAAAGGGTATCGTGCAAAATCATCAATTTCGGTTCACAATCTGCCTGCGATGGCAAGGGAAAAATCTGGCGACGATTTTTTGGTCAGGACAGTATTGTCAATATTTCATGATAGAATCATGCTAGAGCTTCAAGTAATAGCTCATTCGATAGGAAATTTTTTGGTCTAAAATGTTTAGTAATGCTTAACAAAATGTTTTGATGATGGATACTGATTAATCTTTAGAAAAGAGTAGTCAAGAAATTGCAAAAGCAATCGTACCAAATATCAGGTAAGCAATGTACAACAGAGACTTGAAACAAACACCATTGTATTCTCCTTTATATTCTCTACAAGTTTCATATAAGTTTGAAGAGGTGTTTACTATCAAGAAACGCGTAATGTTAAGGCCGATAGATTTTGGAATCCCATGTATCCTCATTCAGAATATTAGAAATTGAAGTTCCGTTGACCTTCCGCATGTGTACACCACACAAGTGTGCATTTGACCAAGCATTTTAAAAATCGGAGCGTACGAAAAGGGCCATCTTAACTTGCTGGTTTCAAGTTATCAATAGATACTTGACATGTTGAAGAATTTTTTTGTCAAGAATAGACAGTTATAGCTTGCTTTGTTCAATTACAGTAAGATTTGTCATTTAAGGCATGCATATTCCCCCGCTTAGAAATAGCATCTTCAATGTCGATTAACTCATGAAGTAAGCTTTTCCAATATAATATCCCCGCTTAGAAGTTGCTCCAATATCATCACTCTACAGCATATTTAAGTTTTATGAGATTCTAATTTCTTTACCCATGAGGACCTGGATGTACAAAATGTTTTTTGTTTTTCAAGTTTCCAACTTTTGGACGATCGAACATCGATTTTTGAAAAAGTGATGCTAGAGCTTTGAAATTAGCATGTTACTATAGCGATTTTTTGTGTAGAAGACGATGGTGCAATTGGATTTTAGATAGGAAGTGTAGGTGATGAGGAAACGAAGATTTTTGAAATTTGCAAATTTACAATAGATATGTTGCATGCAAGCATGCATCTTAGGGTACATTCACTTTCTCCAAGCCACTTCTACAGTGTAGCAACATAGATGATGTTCATCGTATCATATCACATCTATGTTTACAAGTCCAGTCAATTGTGTGTGTGGAATTTGAGGCTTTATAGACTAAAATTCACGGAAAAAAAGAATATAAAAAAGTAAAGTCAACTTGATAAAGGTATGTTTTATTATCAAACTGACAGGTGTTGTAAAGTAAACTGAAGTATCTCTACTGGCCAGGTAGATGATCCTTCTTATATACTATAACAATGGATAAAGTTCTATTAATTAGATTAACAAATAAGTCAACTCAGATCAACTAATGTCTAATCATGCTAAAAGACAACTCCAGCAAGCTAATCATGATTTAGCTCTGTCTGGATGAATAATTAGACTCTCATCCGAAGTACCCTGATCTATCCTTTCTATAAGGATAATTAATATCGATCTAGTAGCATGTATCCGATAGGTACAGTCTTCTTAGTCTACAGTGCGCGAAAAAAACGTTCCAGTGTTTTGCCAAATTGCACTTATAGCCAGCTTTCTCTGCAAATATCAAAGCTACTGGGGTTTGCTTAGTTTCATAAATAGCCTAAGTAGTTGGCTATCAGATGATATATTATGCACTTTATTCACGTAGTTAGAAAAAGAATGGTAGCCTCATGAAAAGTGAAAAGTCGAATTTATTAAATCTTATAAAAAAGCTCAATATTTAGTTGGACCACCTTTACTCTTGATAACCGCTTTGATTCGGCGTGGCATGCTGCCTATGTATTTAAGGCAGTCTTCTTTTGTGAATTTATAACATTCCTGTTCAATTCTGTCTTCTAACTCAGAAATGCTGGTGGCCCTAGTAGGGTACTTGTTCAAACGACGTTTTAGTTGATGCCAGACATGTTCAATGGGGTTTAGGTCAGGGCTTTGGGGGGAGGCCAATCAAGAACATTTTGAACAGAGAATCCGTGATACGTGAACCATTTTTCAATGGGACCAGAAGTATGTGGTCTTGCGTTATCTTGCTGGAATCTAAACGTTTTCTTGTCCAGCCCATAGTACTCGATAGTGTCTAGCAAAGATGAGTCCAGAATTTCAGCATAACCTTCTGAGTTAACAGTTCCTTCGGTAATAGTGGAACCATAGCTGGGTTCCTCCGCTGTTATCATGCCCCAGAAAACAACGCCACCACCATCTCCCTGAACTTGAGCCTCAGTTTGATGAGGCATCAACTCAGTGGGCCTGTCAGTCCAGTAGAAAGATTCGCCGTCAGATCCCCAAATGTTGACCCTGGTTTCATCGGAAAATCCCCATTTACGCCAATCGTCCGCAGTCAAATGTCGATGTCTCTTGGCCCACACAAGACGTTTTTTCCGGTTCTCCGCAGACACGAAATTGGTCTTTACCTTTCGTTTAGCCTTGAACCCTTTGCGCTTGAGTATATACTGTATATTCCTCAAAGTCATCTGAACTCCCATATGAGCA